TAGAAGAATATAGGTAGATGCATCAACGCTTGGGAACATTAATATGTCAAAATATTTTAAATGTTTTTTTAAAAAATAATTGGATTTTAAATGTTTTTATGCGACGCAAATTAGAGGTTATTTTTCAACAATTTTTACAAATTTTAATAATTTTTCGTTCAACATTTTCAATTCCAAAATCGGTTTGACAGTTCATTGTCCTAGCAGTTGTGTCGATGCGACTACCTGTATTCTTCTTCCATGATATACTATTACTGCATGCTAAAATCGGTTTGCCAGCTTCAAACTTCTGCCTGACATTTGCAGGGTCTGCAATAACATATTTAATCTATTCATGTTTTTCAAAAATTTCTTTGGTTTTAACGGATATTGTTTAGCATTGTTTGCTAAAAATATTAATAAGTTTCATTTTCAAATTAGTAGAGAAATCTCGAGGCAAATTCTTGAATAAATAATGAATTTAGTAAGCCTCGTGTTTATACTATAACAAAGAACAGCTGATTGTCATTTATAACATTTTAGTACTAGCATGGTAGAAGAATACAGGTAGATGCATCCACACTTGGGAACATTGATATGTTTTCTTATACGACGTCATTCGAAGGTTATTATAATACGCGTTTTTCAACAATTTTTACAAATTTAAATATTTTTCATTCAACATTTTCAATTCCAAATTGGTTTGACAGTCCATTGTCCCAGCAGCTGTGTCGACTACCAGTATTCTTCTACCATGGTAAGCCCCGTGTCTATACGTAAACAAAGAAAAGCTGATTGTCATCGATATCGATCTCGTTTCTCGATTAACAAATCGAGTCGTTTTATTATGGCTTGTCTAAACATGGCGTTACAATTTGTTTTTTTTTTCAGAATCTACAATAATCCACTATTTTTACAATTTTTTGGATATCATGAAGTGAAAATCGGTTATCGTAGTAAAAACTTTAACATTCTCGCAAAAAACGGTTTCATATCTAACCACAAGATGACCTTTTATAATTTTGCCGCGATTATAGGCAAATATGCAGGTTTACCTACTAGATTTATTAAAACTTCAATACGGTAAGCGTCCCTTTATTCAATGAAGTTGACAATTTTCTAGAAATCTCTACATCACTGACTGACCTCAATAAAAGAAAGAAAATACTCATTTACCAAGTGTTTTAAATTTCGAATTTATTTTAAATTAAAAATGAATTTGAATCCTTTTTTATTGTTCCTCATTTTCTTGTTTCAAACTTTCATAATAAACTGCAGGATATTTGGGAGTTGGCACCACTTTCCCATTGAACATGTCAATATTAGGTTTATTGTTGGGAACATGAGGTTTATTGTTGGGAACATTTACAATCGGCACCGTTGCTGGCAAAAGTGATGGAATTTTATTTCCCAATTGTTGACTTATTGCCAGTTTAACGGGAGCTTTAGTTGCTGACACTGGTTTCTTTCCTGGTGGAGCTGGTCGATTGGCAAGATATTGGCTCAATGGTGATCCAACGGGACGATTAATTTGAATTAGACCTTGGCGTACTTCAATGGGTTGAGTCATAACCATGCTCACCATGATGGCTAAGCTAAGAACAGCGATAGAATATTTCATTTTGTCTCAAATTTCGGCTAACAGAAATAGAACTGAAATTCCGTGCTTTATAATTAATGCTTATATAGTATTTTTTTTTTCTTAATTTAGGAAGGAAATTAGCAAAATGTATATTTCATTGATTTATCTGATGACAATTCTTGGAGGAACATTATAATTTCGTCGAATAGCCGTGTTCGCTCATCAGTAGTTATGTGGATGTAATTATAAATTCGCACCAAGATAAGATAATTGTATTAAAAGTTGATTATTCTTTTGTACGCTTTTGGTACCCTTATCCCAATTTGTTATTTCAGATACCCAGATGTACAACAGACAAGCTAGCTAGTCATGTGGAATTCTGTAAATAAAAATACAATTCACAATATTTCCAATTTTTAGCCAAATTTGATAATAACGCTGTATGTTAAACACGTTTAATTAGATTATTCATTTCAAATCGAATTAGAGTTAATGTCTTTAAAAAATCAGACATATTTTTTATCCGTTAACCAACACTGTTTAAATGTACTCCTAAAAATATGCCACAATTTATGTCCCTGTTATTAAATACTATAGCGTTTACGCCGCTGTATTTTATCATTGAATCATGGTAGAAGAATTCAGGTAGATGCATCAACGCTTAAGAGCATTATTATATCAAAAGTTTTTAAAAGTTTAGGGTTTTTCAAAAATCAGAAGATTTTATGTTTTCTTTTACGACGCCAATCGGAGGTTGTTTTGATATGAATTTTTCAACCATTTTTTTTTTCATTAAAAATTTTCAATTTCAAAATTTGTTTGACAGTTCCATGGTAGAAGAATATAGGTAGACGTGTCGTGTAGACGTGACCAGTTTTGAAATTGAAAATGTTGAATGAAAAATTATTTAAATTTATAAAAATTGTTGAAAAACGTGAATTATCACAACACCCGAATGACGTCGTGTAAGAAAACATATAAAAATCTACTTTTATTTGAAAAAATATTTAAAAATTTTTGGCATATCAATGTTTCCAAGCGTTGAGGCATCACCTGTATTCTTCTGCCATGGACAGTTTATTGTCACAGCAGCTGTGTCAATGCCACTACCTGTATTATTCTACCATGCTTTGCATAAATGAAACACTCTAAGGTACATGTCATTGTTGTTCATTTCCATCATGGCAGAAGAATGCACGTAGTCGCATCAACACAGCTGCTGGGGCAATGAACTGTCAACCCAATTTTGGAATTTAAGTTTTTGAATGAAAAATTATTCATATTTGTAAAAATCTTTGAAAAATGCATATAATAACAACCTTCGATTGGCGTCGTATAGGAAATCATATGCAAATCTACTTAATTTTGAAAAAAAAAAAAAAAAAACGTTTAAAAAATGTTCCCAAGCGTTGATGCATCTACCTGTATTCTTCTTCCATGATTTCTTTTGAAATCGAATTGTCAGAACTCCTAAGAATCTTCACATAAATAAAGCTTTAAATAAAATCGTAGCAGATAACCACCAAAGGATTATGTAAATAGTAGCAGACTAATGCGCTTTTTGACTAGAAGCTATTAAATATTATTTTTTTAAGTTTTGTTTTATTTCTAATTTTTTTAAACGAGCCAACTGTAGAAACATTTGTTCAATTTTACTCTCTATTATTATGTCTGCAGGATTTTTGGTATCGAAAATGGGACATGCAGGTCAACGTTTTGGGTCTAATTTTTTTAAACGACCCAACTGTAGAAACATTTGTTCAATTTTACTCTCTATTATTATGTCTGCAGGATTTTTGGTATCGAAAATGGGACATGCAGGTCAACGTTTTGGTATAGCCCCCACATAATGGTACCTACCTTGTTTTAGTATTTTGACGATTTAAGCTACATTATTCACCGGAAATGTTTCATATTTGGTATTTAAAGTTCGTAATGGATATTACAGCATATGGCAAAAAAATTGTCTGTGCAGGTCCACGTTTTGATATAGCCCCCATATAATGGTACCTCCCTATATTCGGAGTTGTGATGATTTAAGCTACATTATTCACCTAATTTTTTTTTTCAAGTTTCGCATTTTTTCGTCGTCGTATAGACTCAAATATAACGGCTACATTCGGTATTTTTAATATTTTAAAAGGATCTTTAACGGATTTGATTTTTTTAATTGCCTAATTCGTTCCAAATGGTGGAGGATATTCAAAGTTCGGCCGGGCCAAACTTACAGCTTTTTTTACTTGTTTTGATATAAATTTTCATTGCAGGACAATGTGAACATATATTTTGTCTAATAATAGACAAATTCGATGTTATACTTAACGAAACGCCAACGACTATCATGCGGTTATAGAACAGCGACTCCGCATTAGGTAATAAATGGTCTGGAACAGACCATGCCAACAAATGCAATAGTCTATTTGACACTATAAGACTCCAGCACAGAGTTGTATTTTTCTAGTTTCTTTGAAGTTGAGCAACCTATCCTATTGAGCAACAACTACATCTAACAATTTGCAATAATCGTTACACATTTTTGAATTTAAAATAAATCCGTTTGTCAAAAGATATTTTTGTGTGTAAAATCTGCTTGAAAAAAGGTGCAAGATATGCAAAATATGCTTGAAGTCATGGCTAGGCATATTAATGTCAAATTTTAATGGAAAACGACGGCAAGATTTTAGTGCCGCTCTGTAATCCCTTTGTGAAATGTCACAAAATATGCCTAGCCATGACTTCAAGCTTCTTATGTACTTAGCCCTTAAATTCAGATTAAGCACACAACGTGCATTTAGTGTCCCAATAAGTGGAATGTTGGTTGGTGATATAGGTTTTTTGTTTTTGTTTACATATATACTTGATTTTTCACTTGTTATTACTTTATTTTCTTATACCATGGCATAATGAGCAAATTTCTCTGAAACTAAATTAAATAATTTACAAGTTTTAATAAAATATTTCAAATTCTATTTCCATTGTTCATACCGTTATATTCGACGGCGCCACTCCATTCTCACATTACTTAACGGCGTTGTTTTTATATATGCAGCGTCAACGCCGCAATTGTGTCTCATTGTCTTATTCGAATCGCCGACGACTCTTGCCAATTGAAATGACATATGTTTTGTTTTTAGTCATAAAACAACAACACACACAAAAACACCAGACTAGCAGTAGCAGCAGCAGATAAATATAATAATTTAACACAATGAATTAAAGTGGTAGAAGTAATTAATAATAAAGAAAGAAACACACATATACAAATTAAAAAGCCAAGTTTTGTTTTATGAATAGGTAAGAGGAAGCAGAAAGCAAGATAATTATTAAAAAACAGCAAAATTACAATTCATGCAGAAAAGAAAAACGTTCAAAGAAACTTGTACAGGGTGGTAAATATTGAAGTGTGAAGTGAGCGGTGGTGGTGGTTGTGTTGTGAAACAGTTGTTGAAAAAAAAACTAATTTTGCACAAAAATGATTTAACAAAATATAACAAGATTGTGATGCGTGGCAGTTTTATCGTTAGCTTTCTTTTTCATGCACCGTAAAGTGTTGTAGCAACTTTAAATCAATTGAAAAACGTTAATGGTTGAAGTTGAAGGTTTTCCCTGATTTGAAATTCTATATCAAATTGCTGGGCTGTCTGTGGTTTTACAATGCCGTCGAAGAACCCCCCAAAGCTACAACTACGCGTCTCATTAACAATAAGTTGTTATTCAAGCATTTAGTTGCAGCGACTGAAGTACTTGGATAAAGTGTTTGCCCTTAACTGAGTAGTCGTCCCCCATTGATTTTCCTATTTCTACATGGGTGAGTGATTACAATCTGTTGTGACACATATGTTTTTTTCCCCTTCCTACTTTGAGTTGAACCTCCATCTGACCGGAGCCATAGAGGTTTGATGTTAGAATTGATTTTTTTTATGATTTAAAACACCTATGAAGACTTTTCATTTTTGCATGCTCTTTTGTTTGTCGATTGCCGATTTACCTTGGCTTGGGCCAATATGAATATAAGAGATACAATAAAACAAAAACCCGTCTATTCGTCTGGGTTGTTTTTTATCTTACCCGCCTGTCCGATAACCTCCTACTCCAACAATTCAATCCATTTTGTTAGATGATTCATCTTTTGTTGTTTTGTTTTCGAAACGCAAAGCATTACAATATTTTTTTCATTTTTTTTTTTTTCAACTAATATTAAATGTGAATGTACTATTATTGCATTATATTTTTTTGTTTTTGCTTTTGTTGCAGTGCAAAAGAAAATGCCAATGATTTTTCCATTTTTTCCCTTCCATATTTCGTTTTCTTACACATCATTAGCTGGCAAGAGCGGCAAATGGTCATTAGGTATACTTTATACTGGTGGTCATGTGTTGCATTTCTTTTGTTGTGTTTGTTTGTTCTCCAATTTAATGCCTTTTAATTTCTCCCCCAAAAATAACGACATTTAAATTTTTTTCTTTATCATTTAATTGTGATGGCCTTCTTTGTCGGTGTGGGTATTAGGAGGCGTTAAGATAGTAACACACTAATTTTTCAGTTGTATCTCCAGAGTTGTCGTATCACTATTTTGATGTGATCAATGGTGTGGTATGAAAATTATGGGAATATATAAATTCATATTTTGGCTAATTAAATTCAGGCATCGGTCCAGGTTTTGGTATAGCTGACATAAGGGTACCTCCCAATATTCGGTATTTTAATAGTTTTCGCCACATTTTTTACAGATTTATCTAAAAGTTGGTAGGGCATAATGGGCTCTAGCTCCGGTGGGAAAACATTGGTCCACATTTTCGTATAGCTCCCATATAACGGTACTTCGCGATATTCCGTATTTTAATTATTTTTGCCACATTTTTTCACGGATTTGTCCTAAAAGTTGTATTTTTAGTTCGCAATGGGTTCTAACTCCGGTGGCGGAATAAATTATATACAGGGTGAAATGAAAAACTGCAACCAACTTCAGACTGCTGTCATTTCTAAGCCACTCGTCCGAAAGCTGTTAAAATTACCCATTGACAGCTCATTATATTGTTTCCAAAGAAAAAAAGTTATTCGTGATGGAATTCAAGCGTGATAGTGTGATTTTTTATATTTGGCTGGGAATCCACACGTGGCTATCGTTAAAGCAGTCCATCATTTAAATGTGAATAAATCTTTTGTGTCTCGTACCATCGCTCGTTACCGTGATACTGGTAGCGTAGCCCGACGTGAAGGAAGTGGACGGAAGAAAACAGCAACATCAGCAGAAATGTAAAGAAGCTACTTGATCGAAACCAGCGTCGCAGTGGCCGAAAAATGGCTCGTGAGCTGAACATATCGCAATATTCCATTCGGCAAATATTGAAAAACGAATTTGGTTTTCTCCGATGAGAAAACATTCGTTGTCCAACAGTTTGTAAACAAACAAAATGATCGTGTTTGCTTGCCAAGGAGGTCAGCTGAAAATGTGAACCTTCGGTTGGCCACCAGAACTCAAGCGCCGGCCATGGCGATGGTGTGGGTCGTCATAACAGCCGATAGTCGCTCTCCGCTCGTATCAAAATGAATGCCGTGGCATCAAAATAAATGCCGAATATTATCGCGAAAATATTCTGGAGGTTGTATTAAAGCCTTGGGCACGCAAACATTTTGGCCGCAGACCTTGGACAATTCAACAGCTCTCAGCACCATCGCACCATCCAAGAATGGTTACAAATTGAGGTTCCTCGCTTCATTTCCAGCGCCCAATGACCACCATAATCTCCGGATACCAATCCGTAGGACTATTGTGTTTTGTGTATTTTGGAAAGCAAGGTTGATACTAAAAAATACCAAGTGTCGATCACCTCAAGAAAGCGCTTCGCCGGGAATGGGCCAAAATACCACAGAGCAACATTCGGGCAGCGTGTGACGGTTTCATTGGCCGTTTGAAGGCCATAATTCGTGCCAAAGGTGACCAATTCGAACAATTCTAAACTTATTCTAAAACATTTTTTGCTTTTCATTCAATCAAATTAAAAAAAAACACGTAAAAATTATGGCGTTTGACATTGTTGCAGTTTTTTATCTCACTCTGTACAGGTCGACATTTTCGTATAGCCCTCACATAATGGTACCTCCGGATATTAAGTATTTTGATGATTTTTTCAACGGTTTTGTCTAAAAATTAGTATTTGTAGGTCATAATGGGTTTAGCTCCGGTGGCAGAAATTGAATATTTTGGTCCACGTTTTCCTATAGCGCACATATAACGGTACGCATCGATATTCGGTATTTTAATAATCATAGTCACATTTACATACGAAATTGTTTCAAATTTGATATTTAAGTAGATTTGGTAGATGACATTCCTTGAAGTTTAAAATTGTTGAGACTCTCGATCTACCTAAAGAATTCGAACATGTAATTCGAGTGCTAAGGAAAAACTTACCACCGATCATATTTTTAACGTTAAAAAATAAAATTTCAATTTGGACTCACTTACTACTACTACAGATCATCGGTCTCCCTCTCATTGGCGATGGAATATTTTTATAGTCTTAATCCTTTTGGTGATTGAGGATTGTTCCAGTTATAGATGATGTCTACATTTGCACCTCTATCCCACTATTAACTATTTTGGTAGCATGTCAAGGAAAGGGAGTGAGTGGCGACCCTAAATTGATTGATATTTAGGGCTTTATCCCGAGGATAAATGTAAATTTGTATAATAACAAATACTATTTCTAGGCTTCATTAATTAAATATGGTAACAATAATAATATTAGGATATTATTTATTTAAAAGAGAACAATGTTTTTTCCTTTCTCGAGAAGCATCGATTTTGTGGAATAAAATAATCCTAAAAGTTGTTTATAAATGGTCTGTTCCAGAACTGCAAGAATTTAAAAGTTTTTACTACGATAACCGATTTTCTCTTTATGACATCGAAAAAATTGTAAAACTAGTAGATTCTTGCAGATACTGGAATTGAGCAAAAGGAGATCTACCATTATCAGTTTTTGTCTGTTATTTGCCTATCTTCCTATAATAGGGTATATCCCTTATACAATTTTCCATTCGATTTGTCATTAACATTTGAACAATGATTACAATATCACCCCTTCTCACTTCCAGAATAATGCACTGATATGGCAATTGCCTGTCTTTCTCTCTAGAATCATTTTCTAATAATTTTTTCCATTTCATTGCAATTCTAAATCACATTCTCTCTGCACTCACATTCATTCATTTCTAATTATCTCCGACCTAAATTGATAAAAAAAAAACTCACAATGAAATATTATTAAATTGTTTTGTAAACATTTGAATGCAAAATTATTTAACCTACCACCATCACCACAATCAACGTCACGCAGCATGAAATTGCCGTAATATTAAAAAAACCAAATTCAAGTTGATATCAGTTTCTTTGCTCCAGAGCAGACATGTCGGCATAATTTCAATGCGAATATAAAAGATACTGTTGTCGTCATCGGTCAACAATAAATCGAATGGAATTTAAAAGTGTTATGAGACGAATGACCAACAGACCGAACGACCGACCGGCTGATCAAAACACTGGAGGAGGAGTATAATAACGCATAACTTCTTATCTCCCAAGTCAAGGAATTTATTAGAGCATCTCTGTGATTCCGTGTATATTGTTTAGCAGCATCGTTTCCTATATAAACAAAGTTAGGTCTTTGTTTTGAAAAAAAAAGGAATATTAGAGATGAATCTTTAAGCGGCGAGTAAATAATTCACCACAGCAGTCATTAGACAAATGTTCTGCAATCTTTCCAATTCGAGTTGGTACAAAGAAAACTTCCAAAAGATTTCTATTGTAGAATTTGTATTGCTCCTATATTCTCTTAATCTTTAAGCGCGGAGTAAATAAATCCAAACAACAGTTATTAGACAAATGTTCTGTAATCTTTCCAATTCGATTTGGTGCAAAGAAAACTTCCAAAAAATTTGCTCCTATATTCTCCTAAATTTATATTGATACCCCTTATTTTTTATCTTTCCAGGTCTGGTCAATTGCGAACTTTCTAAGGAATTGCGTGCGAACGCAGTTTGATTTTCAACTCCGCCCGCGTAACGTGACCAACGACAAAGCCAATTCTAACAGTCATGGATTCATTTTTCAATATACGCAGTTTCGATGATGGGTCCAGCTACAATTGCTCTGTGGCCAATAAAACAACAGTTATCACAAATGCCTATAATGGCATACCCGAAACCCTTATTCTAAACGTATCGGCCTGGGTATTACTTATAATTTTATTTACCGTATTAAGACATCATGCCGGGGACTATGGTCGTTTGGCATTGGTGAATAATGGCGGCAATCGCAAACGTTGGACTGAAATTTTCTATTCACGTGGAACAAGTCTGGTTGAACAACCTCATACGTCGAGTAATGGTGCACGCAGAGATGATGGGCCATCATCATCGTCCGGCGCCAATGCAAATGGTGGCCTCGATGAACCCCGAGGCAGTATAACCTCACACTCGACGGCGGATTCAACACCTTTATCGCCCATCAACTATGATCAGGGTATCTTCTCATGGATTATGATAACCCTTAAGCTGAGAAAAGAACAAGTTCTCCTACATACCGGTCCCGATGCTGTTTACTATCTCTCGTTTCAAAAGCATTTGATGTTGGTAATGGGAATAATAACAGTTATTTCATTGGTTGTCATATTGCCGGTGAATTTCCTCAATGGTCCGGCCAACAATGTCAACGATGTGAACTCGTTTGCTCGCACTACAATGTCAAACATACCACCCGACTCGGCTTGGTTGTGGGTACATGTTATTGTGGCCATCATATATGTACCTTTGATTGTCTTGATTATGCGTCGCTCCTCGGGACGTAATGCATTTAAAAAGGCCGCTACCCGCACCATTATGATAACCAATATTTCACCCAATGATCGCAATAAGACGGTGATACGAAACTACATACAGGAATTGTTTCCCGATGTCAGTATCGAAGATGTTCAAATTGCCTATAACATATCGAAACTCTATGGAAAGAATTCGGAATATGAGAGGGTATGGGATGCGAAAATGTATTGTGAACAACATCGGGATAGAGACAGTTTGGTGGTAAGTAAAGTTGGTGATATTTTCCATTTTCAAAAAGGAAAAACCTACACCAAATGTAAACATATTATCCATGGATGTAGATAATTTATGCTCCAAGTAGATAAACATATTAACTAATGTGGATAAATTATCTAGGGACATAAACCAATTTTTCCTTCTGGGAAGGAAACTACCCAGGTTTTGGTGAAGGTTATTTCCCCTCCCTCTGTCCTCTGCTTTAATTATTTCCCCTTTCTTTCTAGGTTCGCACACAAATGTGTTCGTGTAAAACCGAAAATGCCTATGAATATTATCAACGCGAAGAACGTGCCCTACATGGCGATGTTTGCCGACTTAGAGCCGCAGCGCTCAATGAACCCCTGGGCATTGCATTCCTCACCGTCTCCACCGTACAGGAAGCCCAGAATATTGTAGCTCACTTTAGTCCAGGCACATATCGTCAATGGGATCTTTCGTTTGCTCCATCACCCAATGATTTGTTTTGGGAAAATCTAAATGTCAGTCGTGGCCATTGGATGTTAAAGTGGGCCACAGTGAATGTAATTCTCTTCGTGATATTGTTCTTCTTAACCACGCCAGCCATGGTGGTGAATCTACTGAATAGTGTCGCCTTGGCCAAGGATAAAATCTATACATTATCACCTTTAATATCGGAATTTTTACCCACTCTCATGCTGTGGGTCTTGTCAATACTGATGCCTGTCATTGTTGCTTTTTCGGACAAATGGATGAGTCATTATACCAAATCGAAGCAGAACTATTCCATAATGACCAAATGTTTTGGATATTTATTATTCATGATTCTAATACTTCCCTCGTTGGGTTTGACCTCGGCCCAGGCCTTGTTGGAGTGGTCCGTCAGTGACCAGTCGTTGCGTTGGGAATGTTTCTTTGTACCGGATCGTGGTTCGTTCTATGTCAATTATATTATAACCTCTGCCTTTATCGGTACCTCATTGGAGTTGATGAGATTTCCGGAATTGATTGTCTACATTTATATGTTGATAACGGCCAAATCGAAAGCAGAGACACCTTATATTCGGAAATCGATCTTGCTAGAATTCCCCTTTGGCACCCATTATGCTTGGTCAACACTGGTGTTTACCATTTCGACCGTGTACAGCGTATTTTGTCCCCTAATCATGCCATTCGCTATGGTGTATGTGTGCTTTAAGCATTTTGTCGATCGTTATAATCTCTATTTTGCCTATGGACCCTCAAATATGATCTCACGTAATGGTGGTAAAATACATTCGACTGCCGTGACAATGACAAAATTCTCAGTGGTCATACTACTGCTAGTTATGGCTATGATATCGGCCGTAAGAGGCTCTGGCATGGCAAGGGCCATAATTCTGAGTATAACTTTAATTATTACCCTTACCTTGTTTACGTTCATGTCACCCATTAAGCGGTGTACCCAGGCACGTAGACCCAGTATTGTTGAAATTGCTGGTCCAACTCCGGTCTATATACCAGATGTCCTAAAGCCTAGAAACGCCCACAATTCCACACCTCTGGGACCACATTCATATAATGGTTCCGGTACAACCACGGTGCCGGCGTCAAGTAATGCAGGAGTTGGAATTGGTGGTGCTGCACCTGGTGTCTTTGGTGGCTATGGTTCAGATTCAGTATCCGATTTTGATGCCAGCTCTCAGTGTAGTGTCAATAATGTAGATGCCTAAATGATGAGATCATAAAGATAGCGGCCGGTGTGTAACAATCAAGATACTTTATTTTGCTCCATTTTTCATAGAGCAGTGGTTTCACAATTATGTTTTTCTATGGAGACATTTCCCAGGGGAAAATTCCAAGGTCCGGTTTTCGCATGATTTCACATATTTTCAAAACACTAAATTCACTGAAATTTTTGATTGAATAATAAAACCTTCCAAATTCCTGTAAAAGACACAAAGTATTTTAGGACCCACAAAATTGTAAATGGCCACAAAAATTATTTTAAATTACATAATTTACCATCCCCTGTATTCAATGTTAATATCTTTTTTTGCACATCAGTTATTATTTTATACTACTATATTAAATTAGCGTGATATGGTTCACAACAAAGAAAATTATCTGTAGAGAGTACACCTTTTTATAGTTATTTTATATATATTTTTTCCTTTAAGTGATTCTATAAAAAAAGACTAGTTTTGCTAATCTATTTCCTCGTGATTCTAATTTTTTATGAGCAAATATTTATTCTTCCTTTTCCCCATCCAAAAAAAAAAGTTCGAAACTATTACAACAATTTGTAAATACTAAACTTTATTTTATTTTTAAGCATCCTACATTTGTTTTCTCATATCTTTCTCTATTTTTTTTTAATTAGATAATTTAAGTGAAATTGTAAATAGTCTACATTTACACACACACACAAAATAATTATATGCTTATTATATAAATATGTATCTTATAATATTTTTTCAAGATATATAATAAAGAATATGCTTAAGAAATAAATTGTTAGTTTTGTTATTTTTTTTTAAGATGATGATATTAAAGAATGTTTATTGATGGGTTTATGTATGAATTTGAAGAAGTTGTTGATGTGGATACTGGTCTAAAGGTCAGAATAAATAGAAAAGGTTTATTCCTGATTGTCAAATGTTTTTAATTATACTACTGAAGATAAATCCTGGCGCAAAAGTAATCCTCCTATCAGAAACTGCTATAAATTTTACGATTGGCCCCTAATTACATCCAAAAAACATCGGAATGTCTGTCAAGTACATATGCATTTATAAGATGGCGCAAAAGTAAACTTCTGATGTTTTTATACCCCATACCACAAGGTGGTCAGGGTATTATGTCTTTGTGCATTTGTTTGTAACAGGCAAAAGGAAACGAGATAGACCCATAGTTCCTTTTGATGATCCGCATAAAATCACATTCTGAGTCGATTTATGCATGTCCGTCTGTCCGTGTATTTTTGTAAACAAAGTACAGGTCGCATTTATTGACCGATCCAGATAAAATTTTGCACAGATCTTTTGTTTGGTCCAAGGACGAACCCTATTGAAATTGGAGATAATCGGTCAAAATTTAGATATAGCTCCCATATATATCTTCGTCCGATTTGCCTTTTATTGTGCACCAAACGTGTAATATCAGCCTGAATTGTATGGAATTTTGCATATGCACCCAAATTAGGCCTAAAAATTAGTATGCCAAATTTGATCGGAAATCGAAATCGGTTCAGATATAGCTATAGCTCCCATATATATTGTTCATCCGATTTGTTATTTTTTCCCTCCGCAGCCGTAATATGCACTCTGTAACAACAATATTTGTTGAAATATATCAAATACAGCTCAGAAATACATTTGCTAAATTTTATCAAAATCGGTTCAGATTTGGATATAGCTCCCATATATATCTTTTTCCGATTTCAAATTAATTGTGCACCAAATGGGCAATACAATTCCGAATTTAAAAGATACAAATGCTTCGGCATATTTAGTCCTTTGAACTTTAAATTATAATTATAATCATAGCGTGTATGATTGAATTCTCCCATAATAACTTTTAATTGTTATGTGGAGCTCTACTAAATTAGCAAAGTGGTGTAGGGTATCATAAAGTCGGCCCCGCCCGACTTTAAGACTTTCTTTACTGGTTTTAGCTGTAATTAAGACATTAGGGGCCAATCGTAAAATTTATAGAATTTTCTGATGCGAGGATTACTTTTGCGCCACCTGTGGAATCAGGATATAAATATTTGCGTATACAAATGTTGATCTTTCATAAATTTTGCGCGTTTTTTGTTTATTGATTAAAAATTAATGATTATTTGACAACTGCAATCCATACAGGTATGTCTATCTGCTTGCAACTTTTTCCAACTTAGCCTACCTTGTCTTCATTGTACCATGATTCTGCCCATGGTACAATGAAGAAAAGGTAGGACATAGCAATCACCTGGATGCATTTGTTTCTTTTGGTAGTCTTGTAATGTCAAAACATACAGGGTGAGATAAAAAACTGCAACAAAGTCAAATGCCATAATGCTCAGTCCTGTTTGAATGTCCAAAATCTGCGGCAAAAATGTCTGCGTGCCCAAGGCTTTGATGCACCCTCCAGAATATTTTCGCTGTACTATTCGGCCTTTATTCTTATGTCACGGTCGATTAATACGAGCGGATAGAGACCATCGGCTGTTATGGCGGCCCACACCATCAACATGGCCGGCGCTTGAGTTCTGGTGGCCAACCGAAGGTGCACATTTTCAGCTGACGCCTTTGGCAAGTAATTATGATCATTTTGTTTGTTTACAAACTGGAGGACAACGAATGTTTTCTCATCCGAGAAAACAAAATTCGGCAGTTCATCACTTTCGGCCAAGCGAAGCAACTCTTTAGCTTTTTGAGTCTATTTTCTTTCTGTTGCGGTGTAAGCTCTTGAACTTTTTGGAATTTCAATGGCTTTACCCCAAGCTGATTTTTCACTATATGCCGAATGGAATATTGTGATATGTTCAGCTCACGAGCCATTTTTCGGCCAATGGCAATGGAGCGAAAACTTTTTTTCGAGGTTAAGTAACGGCGACACCACTTTCAATAATATAGTTGTATATTTCATGTTTCCTAAAATTGCAAAATGTGGAATACTTTATGTATTTGTTTGGCTTTTTCCACGATTTTCTAGCCATTGCTTGAAGCGTCGAGAGATTTGGACCTACAGCTAAGAACTATACATTCAGGGGAATGGCGTGAAAGCATTAAAATTAAATATTTTAAGAGCTATTCCTCTGCATTTTAAATTTAATAACTCAATTTCTAAAAATGAACATTTTTAAAATTTAAATAATTTATTAATCTTTTATATTTTATATTTTTGGACATATAACTCTAACACATGTATTACGTACAAAAACAAATTTGTTTGTGGTTGTTGCTACGTTTTTTGTACAACAACACTTGCTGTTACCTGTATTATTCTATCATGTGCCATACATTGTAATTATTGTACCATTATTTATAGGTATTTCATAAACTTAAAATTAACAAATATAAAAGCAGTAAATTCAGCTGGGTCGGACTGTGAATACCCTCCACCATTTGAAGGGAACTAGGTGATTTACGAAATAAAACACGATGAAAAATATTGTTAGAATCATAAAAAATACTGTATATAGGAAGGTACAGTTATATGGAGAATATACGAAGACGTGGACCTGCTTAGGCAACTATAAAATCCTGCTGACCAAACACATATCTGAGTAATATCAGCTTTCGAGGTGTTATAATAGACAAAATTTAATATACCCTCCATACTATGGTGGAAGGTAAAAAAAAGCAAATATATTAGAACACTTCTTATTTTTATTTTAAATAGTATTGACAAAAAGCGGCCATAACCTAATCTTTTTAACCAACCCTTTTCCTTCTTATTGTGCCATGGGTTTCGTTTGTGTTGTAACATGCTTCCAACGCAGTTACTTTGTAATTATATCTTGAATTAATAACTCTTTATCGATTTCCCGATAGTCGACCTACACTACCCTAACTAGCAAATAGTGGAAACAAAACAAAACCGATAATTACTGTAAAAAATAGACGAGTTAATGTTTTTTTGTTGTGCAAGGGGAGGAGGGTGCACACAATTTTAATCAATCTTCTAACAACATTCGAGAACTGAGAACTCACAACAATAACAATCGGGGTACGACAGAACTTGTACTTCGTTTCGCCAATAATACTTTCTTTCTATTCTATGACAAAACAACAAAGCGTGTGACCACAACTACACTCGACGGGGAATTTAATGATAAAAAAGTAAATAATACTCGTCTAGAGAACTCAGATTTCTTGTAAATACCGACCGACCGAGAAGGAAAACGTCGCAGTCATTGTGACAGTGAATATTTAAAAAATATTAAAACTGTTTGCCTCAGCCAGCACACTCAGCGGCTCTGTATAAATTTTTGCTGGTTAATTGCTTTACTACTTGCATTCATTCATTATTTGGATTTGTGGTGAAATTAATAAAAATCGAAACCAATCAAAAATATCAATAATAATTTATTTAATTTTCTTGTAGTACAAATTTCACAGTGAACAAACTGAAAGAGAAAATTTCAATTTGAAAGAAAACAGAAAAAAATAGCAAAATTCAAAATAAAATACCCATATAGAAAATAATCGCGTAAAACAGAGGAAAAACAAAACAAAAACATAAGATGACTCTGGCACAGACGAACTATTGTCAATCTGTTGCTATTGCCAGTAAAGAGGGAATGGACGTAGAGGTAAGCGAAGCTAGCAAAACATAAGAAACGTAAATTTGTCGAATATCAAGTGAGCGCAAGCAACAACGTCAATAATAATTTTATACATAGAAAAATAGTCTACAACGTAATACAGCCAGCCAGCCAGCCATCGAGCGAACGACCGAACCATCATCATCAGGAAGCAAATGCATGAACAAAAAAATTAAAATACATCTGAGCCGCAATTGTAAATAAGGGGGCCAGTGCTAATCCCGACGTCATGGTTTATTTGCACTTCACCCTTCAAACCGAAAATTGAGTAATAATTTTAATATTGGTTCGTTGCCCCCCTCAGATCCCTTGCCATGATCAATGATTTGTGTAATTGCATTCGTTTTTTGTTAAATAACTTTGCCATATATCAAAGGGCAAATGCAATGCCTTTCTTTTGTATGTTTAAATATGAAAATTGAACAATGACGTTATTTCTATTAGATAAGAATTTTAAAGTGACTTGCAGTTAAAGAATGAAAGAGGACATTTGTATGGAATATCTAAATCAGTTTCAGAATCTATTTTGATTATAAACAGAATCTCTGTATTAAAATCTCTTCAAGTCGGCTATAGAAAGTGATAGTTTTAAAGGCAATTTGCATTGCTAATGGACTGGAATATAATTTAGACTTGTTGTCTGCAGCTCAAAAACTTGAAATTCCATTCCAAAAGTTGTACATTTTATTTCATATGTTCAGGTACTAGTAGTTTAAAAAATTCTATTATAAATTGTTTTATAAAGTATACATCTTCCGGGATTGTTAGAGATGTTGCACTACCATGTGGAATTGTGAAATTATTAAATGCATCAGAAATAGTTTTAGCGTGTATTTTTTTTTTTTTAATAAATCTATTTATAAATAACATGGCAACGTGGGGAATGTGTTGTGAGTTTCTTTTGTGTAAAAATGTGTATTTCCCAAAACTAAATGTATCGACGACTCATTTTATGGCATTTAACATCTTTGTATGTCAAATTTTAAGAATGCCGGGGCGAGTCGTACCGTATATGTTACACCCTTTAAATTAGTCAGCACCGTCATATAGGAGCCTTTAAATTACAAATTATTGATTGTAGACAACTAGGATTGGTAATCAAAGCTCTTTGAAACTTTCACCATTTTCGCCACCAATGCCAAGGTTTTTGGTATTATTTTCAATCACCAACAGAAGGAAAAATACAGAGGAATGTGCGAAGGGATGCCAAATCACTCTTTACTCTTATAAGAACCCGCAAATATTTGAGTCAATCCAAGAGGAGAGCACCATCGATGCTGAATTTGTACTCAGCATTTCGAAGTACTCCTCAGGCAATATTGAACATCTAACTTCACCTAAACCTTAAAAGTCCATTTGTGGAGAAACAGGCAACCAAGTGTGCTCCGGGTTTTAAAGAGCCGATTTTAAGGCTAATATGATGTATAGGGAAATTAATACATATCTCCACCAGCGAACCTCGAGCCATTAGGCATCAAGCCGACATACTGGACAGGGACTTCTGGACCCCTAACAACCCACATCCAAAATGGAAAGTGAAACGGGCCCAAGAGTCTTTTGCAAACATTAGTATAACTTTCAATCTTAACACCGACCGCATCGTTTTCCACGCAGCAATCTTTGCTATCAAAAATACTACAAATCTCTAAACTTGCTTTGAAAGCATCCAATATCTATGCCATCAAATCCATTGCAGTTTTGAGGTGTAGAACAGCGCTGGAAAAGTTTAAGACATTCATCATTTCATTGGGTTCCTAACCATCAAAAAATTGTTGGCAATGAAGTGGCATATAAATTAGCGGAACGCGGATCAGTGTCAATTGGCATGGTGATAAATCACCCGGTGAAGCCATCGCCATGGTATTTCTTGCAAATTATAGAGAAACTTTACTACGGAAGGATCCAACAAAACTGGCTAAATGGGAGGGGTGGCAACGTCTCGAAGACAATTTGGCCAACATCCTCCCGGAAGATCGCCTATCTCCTGGCCTAATTATAAGAGGTCAATGCAACATATCGGACTTGATTTCCGATGCGATGGTTTTCAATGACCTTCAATGGAAAACTAAGGCTTATGGAAGATAGAATAACCCATGACCTGTCTTCTTTCTTTGATGCGGAACCAGCAACATTGGTTAATTTACTACAGAACGGCAACAGTCTTACAAGTCGCAATTAAACAATAATATGAGCATTTGAGGATTAGTTGAAATCAATTTGTAAATGCTAAGTGGGAAAATGGAACTGAATCCCTTAATTAAAGAACTGCCGCCATCAGTCAATAAAAGCCGTTCAGGAGTCTTAATTTCATCTCGAGTTTATTGGTAGATTAATCGACTACGGCAGCCTTTTAAATCTGTGAACAATATCTAGGATCCACAAGAGCTTAACCAAGTCATGTACCTCAATAAGATCCGTTCAACAATCATGCATTGGTCTCAAGTTTAAAATACATGACATGAGATATTTAAGGCTGCTTATCGATCTACAAGAACTAGTTCCTGTAATAACACAGCAGTATCTCCCTCAATATGGCATTTAGGATCTAGTCATGTCCATAGCGATTCCGAATATAAATGCCACGTCTATCTTAAGAATGGGAACATATACAGGAATGAACCGGTCAACATTGCATTGCTGTATACCGGGACGCAATCCATCTAAAATATCAAATTGTCTATACAGACATTTGCAAAAATCGATTACTCAATTTGGAAAACTCAAACCGTCCCACTCTTCCTCTCAAAAAGTATCAATTTCAGACTGGTAGTAGGTATTTTAACTAGAGCACTCACAGGGTCATTGTCCAATTATAAGGAACAGAAGACGACGACTGCTGGGTGACTAAAAAAACAAAGCTTCTGCAACTTTGAGTCAGTAATACTTCCACTTTTCCAGTCTCACAAGATCGCAGACATTTCTCGGAGACCTCAGGTCCATCTAATTCTGTGTACATAGAAAAAAATCGAGATAAGAGGAGGGAAATGATTTCGTCTTTGAAATCAAACACCTAGATGCCTTAGGCAAATCTGAAAGTGAACATCAAGAGCTATTTGTACCTTTCACTTCAACAAGAAAATGTAGCTTCCAATATTTTCTTCTTGTCCTTAAAAATCACTTAATCCTCTGAGAAAATTGGGAATTTAGAAAATTAGCGATACAAATTGAAAAAATTGTTTTTTAATTCGCAATCGGTGTCGAATCAGATTCTGCAAATTTATGTGCTCCATATATTTAGACATATACACTACAATACAAAAATGGCTTAGCAATTCCTTTTGCTCCTTATGATTGGTCAAACTTTTTGGTGGTTTATTTCAAAAACTTAGATGGTTATGGGCAAGATGGTAATGACTACATATTATAAGGCTTTTGAATAAAAATTACAGTCGATTTTTTTTTTGTTAAATCACAATACTTTACTAATTATTCTGTTTGCTGTTGTTTTTGTTTCCTTCAGGACTATAAACCTAAAGGATTTTGGTTATTTCGACTTCTACGCAATTGGACAACTAGTTCACCAACCATGTTACGGGCTGTTGAAAAGAAAATTCTGTCATTTCTAAAGACACCATATCGTGGATTTTTTGTTGATATTGGTCCAGCCATTGGGGAGTCGGATAAAATATGGACGGTGAGCTTTAATACAGAATCCAAGGAAGTTCCATTGGTAATGTTGCATGGCTTGGGTGCCGGTGTGGCCTTGTGGGTTATGAATTTCGATGCCTTGGCCAAAGATCGTCCGGTGTATGCCATCGATATTTTAGGATTTGGCCGAAGTTCCCGACCCAAGTTTTCCAATGATGCCCTGACATGTGAAAAGCAGTTTGTCAAGTCGGTAGAAGAATGGCGACGTGAAATGAATATTAAAAATATGATCTTACTTGGACATTCAATGGGTGGTTTCATAGCATCCAGCTATGCCCTCTCATATCCGGATAGAGTTAAACATCTCATCTTGGCCGATCCATGGGGTTTTCCGGAAAAACCTTCTGATGCTTTGTCCAGCAAACAAATTCCTCTATGGGTGAGGGCTTTGGCTCATGCTCTGACACCGCTAAATCCCTTATGGGCTTTACGGGCAGCTGGACCATTTGGTCAATGGGTTGTACAGAAGACTAGACCGGATATTATGCGCAAATTTTCGTCTACCATTGAGGATGATATTAATCTCATACCACAATACATACATCAATGCAATGCCCAATATCCCAGTGGAGAATCGGCTTTTCACACCATGATGGAATCTTTTGGCTGGGCCAAGCATCCAATGATTCATCGTATCAAAGATGTGCGCCACGACATACCGATGACATTTATTTATGGAACACGTTCGTGGATCGACTCATCTTCGGGTGAGAAAATCAAAGCACAACGTGGCGACTCCATTGTCGATATAAAAGTTGTGAATGGTGCTGGTCATCATGTCTATGCCGATAAACCGGAGATCTTTAATCGTTATGTCAATGAAACATGTGATTTATATAAAATTCGTCAACTGATACGAGATTCAACGGAATCTGATGAAGAACATGCAAATACTTCGGGACCCGAGGCACATTCCAAAGAAACCGAAGCAACAGAAGCCGAATCGGAATCATCGAGGCAACAGCTACAAACAAATGCAACGGCAAAGCAAACGAACGAAAACTCCTCCACATCGACAGCTTTGAAGAGCACCGAAAATCGCACCCAATGATGGTTATTTCAATACGGTTATGAAATGTTTCATCAATTATTTTCTAATTCTAATAGCGCTTAATAAAAGTAATTTTGTGTATTATATATTTCTAGAATAGTACAATTTAATTCTTTCTTCCTTCTTTTCGATTTCATTGTTTATGTATCCTCCGAGAATAGTATTAATTAAAAATGAATTCTCTTTGAAATAACTACAAATTTTTAGACAAAATAAATTATGAGATTTTATACTATTGTGCATGTGAATGGTGGACTATTTCGTATTCGCCCTTATGCATCCAATTGTCAATTGCAAGAATGAATTCTAATTATCGAAAATACAACATCAGCACCAATATATATTTCAAATATTTTCAAAGCTAGAAATTATATGCTACATTTGTCATTTGTAGGTATATATATAAAAGTTATACATATATACAAAACAAAATCCATGCAATTTTATATTTTATTTTAACACAATTGAATTAGAAACATTTTATTTTGTTGTTATTTTAGTTCGTAAATACTATTAATGAAAAATGTTATTAAATATCGATATTTTTGTAATATTAAAAGCAAAATTTTGTAAACCATTAATTGGTATTAAATAAATATGATAAGCTAATGCTTAATGTTATTCATTACTTTGCTCTTTTTTTTTCTTATTCTAATATTTTCGTATTACCATGTGAATGGATGATTATTTTCAAGTATCATACATGGAATTGATTAAATTCTATTCTTGTTATGGACTTTAGCACATTCATGTATTTCTTATGGCATGAATCAATCTTATCGATTTGGTTAGTTTCTTCATTCAGCCTAGAAGTATGCTCTGAAAAAAATGGACAACAAAATGAAAAAAGAAAATGTCAATGCAACTCAGTTTAGATACATATATTACTTGCTATAATAAGTAAACAAATTATTACAGGCCATGGCACAATTACAGGAGGTAGAACAAAACTACCCCTAAATAATTTTTTTCTTTCGGTGCCCACATGGTAGACTCGTCGACACAGCTGCTGGGACAATGAACTTTCAAACCAATTTTGGAATTGAAAATGTTGAAGAGCCTCCGAATGACGTAGTATAAGAAAACATATAAAAATCTACATATATTTGAAAAAACATTTAAATTTTTTGACAAATCAATGCTCCCAAGCGTTGATGCATCTATCTGTATTCTTCTGCCATGGGTGCCCATAATCTTTCAAAACATGTAAACATTTTGTGTATGCGTGTGCATTGTTTTGAATAAAAAAATACAAAAATTTGAAGTTATTTCAAATTCGGTTGCAAAATAAATACATATTTTCGACGTTAATGAGCAATACATTATACAATGGCATAAAACTGCGTTGTCCTACTATTTTATATTCAATCTTGTAGAATAACCCCAAAAAAAAATTAAAAATAACAAAACTAGCTGTTGCATATTTAAAAGTCTATTTGACACTGAAAGATTCAAACTTTCTTATTGAGCCATGTTACAAACTATATAAAAATGGAAATTCTGAAACATAGGTTTAGTTTATCCAAGTCCAAATTTGGTTATCCTTCAACGATTATTTAATTATTCGCAACAGAGACTACAAAATTCAACTATTATTTATTGGTGGCTGTGATGGCTTGTGAATAGAGCTTAATCTCCTTAGGACCAACAGAAGAAGTTGGTTCTCATTCAGACACAAACCTTATTCATAGGCTAATAAATATAAAGACAACGTAATGCTCACAGTGCTTATTATCGAAAAATAAATTCTTGCAAAACGAAATGTGTTTTCGAAATCGAGTAGGTCGGCTACTGATTGAGCACGTTGACTATGCAAAGGCATGCTGAGAGCCACATGGACATAGTATAGAGGTTAAATTTATATTGTCATTCCGTTTGTAACACCTCGAAATATACATTTTAGACCCCACAAAGTATACAGTGTGAGATGAAAAAACTGCAACCAACTTCAGACTGCTGTCTTTTCTAAGCCACTCGTCCGACAGCTATTAAAATTATTCCAGTGACAGCTCATTATATTTGGCCTGTTTCAGAACTGCTAGAATGTAAAAGTTTTTACTACGATAACCTATGTTTCTTCGATATCATAAAGGGATATGATATCGAAGAAAATGGCAAAATTAGTAGATTCTTGCAGTTACTGGAACAGAGCAATTGTTTACAAGCGTACAAAAGCATTTTGGTGAGAATTTTCCAGAAAAAAAGTTATTCGTGATGGAATTCAAGCGTGATTTCTTTATATTTGGCTGGAAACCCACAAGTGTCTATGGTTAGAGCACTCCCGCATTTAAATGTGAATAAATCTTTTGTGTGTTACCGTGATACTGGGGTAGAGTAGCCCGACGTCAATGAAGTGAACGGAAGAAAACAGCAAATTTAGCAGAAATGGTTCGAAAAATAAAGAAGCCACTTAATCGAAACCCGCGTCGCAGTGGCCGAATGGAATTGGCTCGTGAGTTGAACATATCGCTGGTCATCGAGGTCAGCTGAAAATGTACACCTTTGGTTGGCCAACAGAACTCAAGCGCCGGCCATGATGATGGTGACCAGAATCAGAATAAATGCTGAATGTTATCGCGTAATTCGCCATAATTCGTGCCAAAGGTGACCAATTCGAACAAATCTAAACTTATTCTAAAATTTGAAGCTATTTCCGAAATTGTTTGCTTTCATTCAATAAAATTAAAAAAAAATGTAAAAATTATGGCGTTTAACTATGTTGCAGTTTTTTTATCTCACACTGTGTATATATTAGAGATCAGCGTAAAATTCTACGTCGATTAAACGATGCCCTTCTTGCTGCCTGTCGATGTGTGGAAATCACTGCAATTTCAATACAATTTTACTTAGATGTATTTTAGGTCGGTAGAACTTTTGGTATTTAAAATGGGCCCTGCAGTTCACGTTTTTGGTGTAGCCACAGCATAAAATTCTACGTCGATTTAGCAATTTCTGTCTGTCTGTCTCTCCATTTGTGGAAATCTCTCTAGCTTCCAAAGAAATGAAATTGGTTGATAAAATTTTACTCAAATGTTTTTAGATCCGTAGAATTTTCGATATTTACAATGGCATATATTGGTTCGCGTTTTGGTATAGCCCCCCCCTATAACTGTGCCGGCAGATTTAAGGTATTTTGGACGTTTTAGTAGCAATTTAAAACGGAATTTGCAGTTTGTATTCCCAGTATATTGGAAATATCCCTGCATAGAACTGTCCATATATGTCAAATAACAATTTCCTCTAGAATAGTTACAGATTTGGTTCTTGGGTTTCTTAATGGTTAGTACCTCTTATGACAGAAAATGTCCTAGTATAGGCCCCATATTTTATTAAGAGGTAGGTATTTGCAACCTGATTACCTGAAAGTATATTATTCTTAGGGGACGGACCCAGATTCTCAAATAATTGACCGGAAAATCCTGGTCCAAGACCCGGATTAGACCCAGACCTACTTGACCGATATGGACGTCGGGAAAATTTTTCAAAAAAACCGAGAGTTTTACTAAACTAGAGTTAAGACCACCACACAATATTCAAAATGTTTACAATTTTAGAAGTATTTCAACGGACTTTTCACATTATGCAAGTTCTTTCCAAATGGTAGAGGGTATTTAATTTACATATTTAATGACTTCCCATTCATTGACCCCTGGGTTCAGTTGTATTAGGGACTATTGAAATTGCCTTGAATCTCTTAATGAAATTTTATATGTGAAGTAACCGGTATAACTTTGCCTTTTATAGTTTAGCGGTTTTTCCTCAGTTACTCATTATTAGAGGAATAATTTCTCGAGAAAAATGCATTCCGTTGGAATCGAATTCCGCGCGAATATTGGGATGGAAGGGCATATTATTATGGAATCTATCATTTTTACCAATGCAAAACAATAGAGCTAGAATCATTTACTGAATTGAATATGACAACCCAAAATGTATTTTCATATGTAAATTATTTAGGCACGGTGTATGGCAGATTTTACTGAAATAATAAATAATCTCTTATTCTCGAAGTTCCTTTCCACGTAAAAACACTTATACCTTCCATATCGTAGAAAGACCCTGTTTATTTTTTTGTACTTGTGCTTAAACATGATAAAATTAAGAAGGTAAAGTCATATCAAATAAGCATTACCATCTCTGCAATTTCTGTAATTTACCTTGTCAAATTTCACTGCATGGAGAACAGGCTCCCATCTCTGATTTATGAATGTACAATGGATTTTTAAGACGTTGTTAAATGAATAATTTTGAAAAAAAAAATGTGTATATATGATTGCTTGACTTTACCTTATTAATTCTACCCTGGGCTTTAACTTATCAAATGTCGTCTTATTTTAAGACCGCTTAAAATCACCTGCTATAATGATTCTGTACCAAAACTAAAAAAAAGGTAGCCAAGGAAGAATATAATATATAACAGGAAACAAAATATTAGTCTGATAAGTCATGCCATAATTAAAGGTGTAAGTACATAAGAAGCTTCAAGTCATGGCTATGTATATTTTGCGACATTTTATAAAGGCATTACAGAGCTGCACTAAAATCTTGCAGTCATTTTCAATTATAATTTTACATTAATTTGCCTAGCATGACTTCAAGCTTTTTATGCACTTGCACCTTAAGTCTTACATGACTTATCCTTCTAAAGAGAGTAAAAATAACAAAATATTTGGTCGGAATTAAATGCAAAATTCTTGACAACTTTACGCCCATATTTGAGGAAGAACTACAAAATATAAATTTGACAATGAAGGGACCCTGGTAGAAGAATATAGATAGTTGCATCGACACAGCTGCTGGGACAATGAACTGTCAAAAAAAATTTTGGAATTAAAAATTTTGAATGGAAGATTATTAAAAACTGTTGAAGAATGTGTATCATAACAATCACCGATTGGTGTCGTATAAGAAAAATTATAAAAACTTACTTATTTTTGAAAAAAAAAAACATTTTAAAAATTTTGACATGTACATACCTTTATTTTTTCTACAATGGAAGGGACATAAAATAAAAAATTGTAATCATATTACCTTGGGAATTATACCATGATTTTTACTAAGTAAAATTTCTCAGTAACTTAGGGTGGGAATACATAAAGCGCATATTTGGCTGCATTAAGTCATCGACTGGCTTCTTCGTAGAGGAACAAACCAAAGACCTAAAATGGTAAAGACTGGACAAAATACACTATGGAAACATAATACCCTTACCACTATGTAGTGTAGGGTATAAAAATAGATAATGTGAAAAATATATAGGGGCTCTGCAAACAACAGTGACATGTTAGCACAAAAATCATATTTACAGAGGAATTTTACAAATATTTACTGTAAACCAAAAAAATGGACTTAAAATTGTATTCCTTTGACGTTTCCAATTAAATGAAAATTGTATTTGATGTTAAAACAACGTAACATTGGTGATTTTGTTGTTATGAACTAATCACCACAGATCTACTTACACCTGGTGACAATATTTTACTCTGTCTTGTCCCATCTTTATACTCCTATGCCTTTGCTTTGATCCTCTACGAAGAAGCCAGCCGATGAATTAAGCCAGTCAGAAAAGCAGTTTATGTACTCTCGCCTTTACTGACTAAAATTTCTCAGTAACTTAGCAATACAAATTGCATTGCCAATTCACTGGGATTTACTGGACTTTGGGTTATTAAACAACATTTTGTAATAGTTTGTGCAAATGATTACAATTTATTGAGTTACACACCTATTTTCACCATTCCGTTTTTGTCGGATATATTTACAAGAATTACATTCTACGTCGATGTCCGCTTATCATGTAGGGTGTAAATGTGGAGTAACAGGTCATTTCGTTGCAAATGCCTTTTGACTAAATGAAGTTCTATTAATTGTCTTTGCAACACTTCTTCGGAGAACACATAAAGGATATATTTTTATAGGTCGGTTTAAGGATGTCCGCTTCCAAATATGGTGTATTCAAAATGAAGTCGAAATATATTGGTCTAAGACAATGTTGGCTTGGCGTCCTTCCATCGTTATTCTAAGGATTCAATGGGCGTCCATGGAATACTACCATTACAATCAGGCACGCCCCTGATCTAGACGGCCTATAAAAAGTCCCATATTCTTTTGTTTTCACTCCAAACGTTTGCTTAATTGCAAAACAAGACGACTCAATTTCTGTTTGGATTTTATTTTGTTTTCAATGTGCAATCGGAACAGAAGCATTCATTATCTTTTAATGACCATTGAACATATGCAAAAAAAGCGAAAACGCTTTGAAATACATATATTCTTTTTGTTTCCATTTGAACAGAGTTCAATAAGTTATCTGTCTTTGTACTCATGTAAACAAATATTTAATATGAACTATTTATGGAACTATCCATGTAGGGTTATAAATCAAGAGTAATTCCATTGGAATATATTCATTTGTTCCCCAATAAGGAGACAAGATTTTGTATGGGCTAATAAATCTAAATGCAAAACGTTTACATATTTACATACAATACTTCTAGGCATCTTCCTTCCTACCTTCTAGAAATGAAACTGCGTAATCCACATTAAAAGCTGTATCCTTATTTGGCAGACTTAACATATTTCCCACTTCAGTACTGAAGGTAGTTTTAATTTTATAAACACTTTCAGTTCTATGAACAGAAAATTCATTTTTTTTATCAATATCAAATGATTCACCACTTAAAAAGTTGTGAAAGAACTGAACAATTCTCTGAAATGCATCAACGCAATAAACTAAACAATTGCAAAATATAGAAACATGTCGGGCGGAGAGGAGATCGACAAGCAAAAAAGAAGACCAAATGAAATTAATCATACAATTGTGAAAAGCTTATTCACATAAATGCAAAGAAAATCGTTTATAATCGAATGGCAAACCCTCCTTGCAGTCCAGAAAGCAAAAGAAAATAATAAACACCTAAATTGATCAAATTTAATCTTTATTGTTGTTTTGCATTTAATACGATACAGTCCATCATTTTACATTTACTTTTAACAAAGCCATCATACACATTACCAATACAAATAAAATCCAAAACATTTGATAAAATTAACAAAGAAACTTCACTTCTGTTGGATTCACAGACAACTGCTGCTTATTTGGCAATGGCAAAACCAACACGGTCATTGCCCATATCAAATTCTGTATAGTATTTGCCAATGAAAACATCTCCCAAAATCCATAGAGGTCCATTGGGTGGTGGAATGTCAATGCCCATGAAACCGGACAAGCAAATTGTTTTACCCATTTGAGCAATACGCAATACATAGTCTTTACCTTCCAACTCAAATGTTTTGCCACCAAGAACAAATTTAATAACAGGCAACTTGGGGATATCTAGAAAATAAGATTTTACAATTAATATCACATATGATTATTAACATTTTCTAAACAGTATTACCATCACAGGCCACCATGTATTGACCACCCATAATCGGAGTTCCACCAATAGCTTGGTTAATAGATGTAGCTTCACTGGGAGGTAAAGCAATGAGAGAGGTGCCGGTATCAGCAATTACTTGACAGCCTCCTTGGCACAATTTCAAATCACCCATTGATGCCGAGTCCATTTTGATTTGCCAATAAGCCTTGCGTGTTACTGGCAAATATGTAAAATCACCGGTATAGTGATCAGGATCAGAACCACCGAAAATGATTTCACCCCCTTCTGGGGCTTTGGGATCGCGATTTAAATAGAATGAGAAAATTGGTTGCGAAATCAAACCCTGTTCATACATAGCATAGAATGGTGGCTTAACACCATCCACCGATATTGAACTGTAACCCAAGCCCAAAATACCATCGAATTTGGCAGCAACAAAGACCAAGCCGGGTTCACTCAAAGCTTCGGCAAATGTCTGGTCCTTAATATCCAAGCCGCCAATGTTAACCGTATCCGTAGACAAATAACCAGACAGACTACCAGATCCATAATGTATGGCAAATTCAGTACCGTTTTGCTTAAAAGTCTTGGACTTGGTGGCATCGTATTTATTATGCATGAGGCAAGCAATGTTGGTCAAATGACATTTTTTGCTAGGAACCCACAGATTCGAAGAGCCGGTATCGAAAACTACCTTGAAATTTTGTGGTGGTGTGCCAATTGAGATTGGGCCATAGTATTGCGCATCCAAATAATTTGATAAAGGTTCAGGTGTGACACCTCCAGCTCCATATTTTAAACGTAGTTGTTGCAATTCCGTTCCTACCTCATAGAAATGTTTTCGTGCCGATTTTATTTTCTGGATGGGAACTCGAATTAATTTCTCCTCAGCAAAGCTCTCCGGGAGCAATAAGCTGAGTAAGCTTAATAAAATGACAAACTTAATCATTGTTCCACTGTGGAGAAAGAAGTAAAGAGGGGGAAAGATTATTTTCCCTAAACTATTCTTTGTTTAAATAACTGTTAACATCTAATGGAAGCCATATTACTTCCAGAAAATAATAATTATTAACAATAATTATAATTAGTTGTAAATTTATAGAAATACGAACCTTATTTGTGGATTTATTTTTCTACTTGATCTTGGCTTCGAACAAATAAGTTGTTGTTTTCCCGATGGAAATTAATTGCTGAATAATTAATGAAAATAATAATACGAATTATATAAACGAAGCGAAAGCAGCAAATGGCAGACTTGTCTTGTTCGGGATCGGGCAGTTACTGCGCAACAATGAAGAGAATTATGAGAGCGTTGGAAACAAAAATTAAAAACGTCCCAACGAAACGAATATGAAGACCACAAAGGAATACATGATAAAAAATAAACAGAAAGCAAAGACTCGGGGTACTCTGTTGTTTACGAATGAGTGTAATGCATAACGCCCGGGTACTCTGTTGTTTACGAATGAGACATGAGAAAATTGAACATCTTCACTAAAGAGCGCGGAACTAGTTGCTAAAGAAGCCGATGTGAAATTCCCGGCAGCGGCGGCTAAAAGTTTATATTCCCGGATTTTTATAAATTTTGCCTTCGCGGCAAATTAAATTATTAAATAATTTAATAATATAAAGATTGGAATGATTTTCGCAAAAACATTTTTTTTTGGAATCGGTAATTGGTTACGCCGTCAAGACGAGGTTGGCAGTGTTGCCAACATTTTGAGAGCTAGAAGCGTAATTAAAAAACCAGAAAAGCGTAAATGGCGTAAAAACTTTCCCTTAAAAAGCGTAAAAAGCGCTATGTATTTTTTTCTAACCAAAATACCAAAATTCAAAATTGTCAATAAAACACTTTTTATACCCTCCACCTTGGAAAGGAGTGTATATTAACTTTGTTATTCCTTTTATAACATCCCTAAATATTCGTCGTAGACACCATAATGTGTATATATTCATAATCAGCATAAAATTCTTAGCCGATTTAACGATGTCCGTCTGTCTGTCTGCCCGTCTGTCTGTTGAAATCACGATACAGGCCACATTATTTGACGTAGAGCGTCAAAATTTAGCAGAATAATTTGTATTGTGTCTAGGATGGTTGGTAATGAATATGAGATATATCGGTCCACGTTTTGCTTTAAACCCCTATATAACGGTACCTTCCGATATTCTGTATTTTGATGATTTTTGCCACATTTTTTCACGGATTTGTCTGAAAATTGGTATTTGTAGGTCATAGTGGGTCCTCGTTCATATGGCGAAACATTGCATGTATAGGTCTACGCTTTGGTATTTCCTCCATATAACGGTATCTCACGATATTCGGTATTTTAATGATTTTTGCCACATTTTTTCATGGATTTGTCTAAAAATTGGTATTTGTTGATCATAATGAGTTCTAGCTCCGTTGGCGAAACATTGTATGTATTGGTCCTCGTTTTTGCATAGCCCTCCCGATATTTGGTATTTTGATGATTTTTGCCACATTTTCCCAGGAATATGTCTAAAATTTGGTATTAGTGGGTCATAATTGGTTCTAATGTTTTCATTACCCTGAGGTGGAGGGTATTAAAAGTTCGGCCCGGCCGAACTTAATGTTTTTTTACTTATTTGAATAATCTCCACCAATTGGAACAAATTAGGACATTTACAAAAAATTAAAATCCATTAAAAATTCTGTTAAAATCTTAAAAATACCCAATAACGGAAGATGTCGATGGAAGATATACGATGTTGTGAACCTATATGGACAATTCTATTTCAGGGTGTAAAATACTCACAAAGAACTCCTTGTGTAGAATTTCAGAAAATTCCATTGAAAAAATGTGCCATCTATGAACTTACGTTTTTTCTTCAATGACAGGAATGAAAGACAAGTAAAGAATTTGCAGTAAAAAAATTTGCGATAAGTAGATGCCATACTATCAAAATATTCGAATGTATAAACATTGACACATTTTAAAATCTAAAAACCGCTAAAAGCACCAACAGAAAAGATGAAAAGCGTACGTACAGTGCTTTTTTTTTCCGTTTCGCGCTATGCCACTATTTTGGCGTTTAGGGGGTCTAAAAAGCACCATAAATAGCGCGAAAAGCACTAAGTTGGCATCGCTGGAGGTTGGTACGATACCCTAAGTATGCATGTACCATTGCTTTGTATTCGATTAGTGATTATCGATAATTATCTTGGCTTAAGTTGAGTTTAGGGGCTATGCTCGGATTGACCTGAAATTTTTACGACGTGTAGATCTTTTTAACCTGATTACAGCAAGGTAATTTTTTTGTGGGGGAAATACCCGGTTACCCGGTTATTGGACCCGAAAGTTCAGATACAATATTCGGTTTTTATCCGGTTCTACGAAAACCGATTACTCATTTGGAGATCATTTGAAAGCTTATGAAAATACCTATCCAACAAGGGGTCACATGATGAGGTTACTAGAACCGGTTCTAGAGAAATGCAAGAAAATTGGTGTTTTTACTAGTACTTTTTCGGCCGAAGGCGACTACTTACAAAAATTACAATGTTTACAAAAACTATGGATCGCGTAGCCGGTGTTGGACATATCTTAGAGGAGAAAATCTCAAGCCCCGGCCGAAGGCCGCCTACCTACCAAAATTACAGTGTATAGAAAAACTATGGATCGCGTAGTAAGTGTTGGACATATACCAGAGGAGAAAATCTCAAAAAAATACCAATTACATTTGGCATTTATTCAGGTATTCTTCTACCATGACTCGTTCATAGAGAAATGATACCTGTGGCAAGTACAAGAACGTAAACTAGATATCGAATTTAAATGGCAATTCCTTAAAAGCATTATATCAGCCATATTTATGTGTTTCCTCTTTTTTGCCTATGTCATGTTTTACTAGTGTAGTGTTTAAAAATTATCAGCATTCAATTGTCCAGCAGCTTTTTTCTGGGAGAGTTATGCCATGTTTACGTTAGAACTTTTTGCAGGGTTAACCCACTTCAAGATGATTTATTTGAAGTATAAGTAATTGATATGACAATTTTAATCCAAATCCCGGGGGTTAACCCATTTATATGTAAACGTACCATTAGTTATATTATTCTCTCATGGTAGAAAAATACAGGAAGACGCATCAACGTTTGGAAACATTGATATGTAAAAAAATTGTAAATGTTTTTTCAAATATACGTAGATTTTTATATGTTTTCTTTTCCGACGTCATTCGGAGGTTATTATAATTCCCATTTTTCAACAATTTATACAAATATAAATATTTTTCATTCAACATTTTCACTTCCAAAATTGGTTTGACAGTTCATTATCCCAGCAGCTGTGTCGATGCGTCTACCTATATTATTCTACCATGTTATTCTCTTTCGGAAGAATAAAATAAAAAGTAAACAGGAGAAATCCTCGCAAAAACTCGCAAGCCATCAGCTGATTTGTCACAACAAAACAATTTAACAGCAAGTTATTATAATTCCCATTTTTCAACAATTTTTACAAATATAAATATTTTTCATTCAACATTTTCACTTCCAAAATTGGTTTGACAGTTCATTGTCCCAGCAGCTGTGTCGATGCGTCTACCCATATTATTCAACCATGTTATTCTCTTTTGCAAGGATAAAATGAAAAGTAAACAGAAGGAATCCTCGCAAAAACTCGCAAGCAATCAGCTGATTTGTCACAACAAAACAATTTAACAGCTATAAAAAGAAATGAAGCACTCAAAAATCAAGAATGAGCAAACAACAAAACAATTTGGCATTTGATATGTTTTAAAGTGGCTTGCCCAAATATAAATCTCCGGAAGGAGTTTGCAAACTCTCAGTAAAAAATTGTCAGAATTTCCCTCTATTGCAATTTTTTATTTGTTACCAATTTTAGGATAACCAGACACACCTAGCAATCGTTAATCGGGTAATAATTTACACATTCTTGCATTCTCTATTCTCTATTTTCATACCAAAGAGAAAATCGGTATCATGGTAGAAGAATATAGGTAGACGCGTCGACACAGCTGCTGGTACAATGAACTGTCAAACAACTTTTGAAATTGAAAATGTTGAATGAAAAATTATTTAAATTTGTTAAAATTGTTGAAAAACGCGAATTATAACAGCCTCCGAATGACGTAGTATAAGAAAACATATAAAAATCTACTTTTATTTGAAAAAACATTTAAATTTTTTTGACATATCAATGCTCCCAAGCGTTGATGCATCTACCTGTATTCTTCTGCCATGATCGGTATAAAGTGAAAATCGGTTATCTTAGTAAAAACTTTTACGTTTTTGCAGTTCTGGAAGAAAGCAACTAAGTTAAAGTATCAGTTGTCATAGCCGACAATTTTTCTGTGTGACCAACCCAACTTGCTTATCCGAAAACTTTTCAATCAATAAAATTTAGTGCAAAAATTCTGCCACTGAACGTCTAAATTCTGTTGACATTCACAACATACTTAGGTTTTTCATCAAAAGCTAAGTTTTAATTTAAATAAAATTCAACCATGGCAAAATAATACAAGGTAATCTCATACTAACATATGTGATCTGTTGCAGAACCTGCAAGTCTAGTAGATACTTGCTATTTTTTCGATTTCATAAAGGGAAAATTGGTTACTGTAGTAAAAACTTCTACATTCTTGCAGTTCTGAAACAGTTATTTTTTAGTGTTACCCATGGTACAATGAAATAAAGGTATCTTTAATTTCAAATAAGCATTCCCAGCTCTGCATTTTTCACTCGAAAATATCGGATTGCTTTATTTTTTAATTTTAGAAAATTATGTGTTCAAAGGGTTAATATTGACATAAATACATAAATATATACAGTACCATATCGATCTATAGTGCCCTGAACGTAGCGGCATTCTTGACATTTCTAATGTCAGAGAAACGTTTACAGCATGGAAAAAAGGTAACTTCAATTTCAAATAAGCATTCCCAGCTCTGCATTTTCCACTCGAAAATATCGGATGGCTTTATTTTTTAATATGAGAAAATAATGTGTTCAAAGGGTTAATACTGACATAAATATACACAGTACCATACCGATCTATAGTGCCCTGCCCGTAGCGGCATTCTTGACATTTCTAATGTCAGAAAAACGTTTACAGCATGGAAAAAAGGTGACTTCAATTTCAAATAAGCATTCCCAGCTCTGCATTTTCCACTCGAAAATGTCGGTCAGTTGTCGCTTTATTTTTTAATTTTTTTAATATGCGTTCAAAGGGTTAATACTGACATAAATATACACAGTACCATATCGGTAATACAAGGTAATCTCATACTAACATATGTGATCTGTTGCAAAACCTGCAAGAATCTACTATTTTTGCTATTTTTTTCGATTTCATAAAGGGAAAATTGGTTACTGTAGTAAAAACTTTTACATTCTTGCAGTTCTGAAACAGTTATTTTTTAGTGTTACCCATGGTACAATGAAATAAAGGTATTTCAATTTCAAATAAGCATTCCCAGCTCTACATTTTCCACGAAAATGTCGGTCGCTTGTGGCTTTATTTTTTAATTTTTTTAATATGCGTTCAAAGGGTTAATACTGACATAAATATACACAGTACCATATCGATCTATAGTGCCCTGCCCGTAGCGGCATTCTTGACATTTCTAATGTCAGAGAAACGTTTACAGCATGGGAAAAAGGTAACTTCAATTTCAAATAAGCATTCCCAGCTCTACATTTTCCACAAAAATGTCGGTCGCTTGTCGCTTTATTTTTTAATTTTAATTAATTAATATGTATAATTTATATAATTTTTTTAATATGCGTTCAAAGGGTTAATACTGACATAAATATACACAGTACCATATCGATCTATAGTGCCCTGCCCGTAGCGGCATTCTTGACATTTCTGTCAGAGAAACGTTTACAGCATGGAAAAAAGGTAACTTCAATTTCAAATAAGCATTCCCAGCTCTACATTTTCCACGAAAATGTCGGTCGCTTGTCGCTTTATTTTTTATTTTTTTTAATATGCGTTCAAAGGGTTAATACTGACATAAATATATACAGTACCATATCGATCTATAGTGCCCTAAACGTAGCGGCATTCTTGACATTTCTAATGTCAGAGAAACGTTTACAGCATGGAAAAAAGGTAACTTCAATTTCAAATAAGCATTCCCAGCTCTACATTTTCCACGAAAATGTCGGTCGCTTGTCGCTTTATTTTTTAATTTTTTTTAATATGCGTTCAAAGGGTTAATACTGACATAAATATACACAGTACCATATCGGTAATACAAGGTAATCTCATACTAACATATGTGATCTGTTGCAAAACCTGCAAGAATCTACTATTTTTGCTATTTTTTTCGATTTCATAAAGGGAAAATTGGTTACTGTAGTAAAAACTTTTACATTCTTGCAGTTCTGAAACAGTTATTTTTTAGTGTTACCCATGGTACAATGAAATAAAGGTATTTCAATTTCAAATAAGCATTCCCAGCTCTACATTTTCCACGAAAATGTCGGTCGCTTGTGGCTTTATTTTTTAATTTTTTTAATATGCGTTCAAAGGGTTAATACTGACATAAATATACACAGTACCATATCGATCTATAGTGCCCTGCCCGTAGCGGCATTCTTGACATTTCTAATGTCAGAGAAACGTTTACAGCATGGGAAAAAGGTAACTTCAATTTCAAATAAGCATTCCCAGCTCTACATTTTCCACAAAAATGTCGGTCGCTTGTCGCTTTATTTTTTAATTTTAATTAATTAATATGTATAATTTATATAATTTTTTTAATATGCGTTCAAAGGGTTAATACTGACATAAATATACACAGTACCATATCGATCTATAGTGCCCTGCCCGTAGCGGCATTCTTGACATTTCTAATGTCAGAGAAACGTTTACAGCATGGAAAAAATGTGTGTACTTTTACAAGCAGAATAAAAAGAATAAAAACGAGAATTTAATTCTTATGTTAAATTTAATTTTGTGTATTAAAATGTGTTCTAATCGCTCAAATTAATTTCACGACAAACGATTTGTTTTGTGTGGTAAACATTGGTTGACCAGTAATAGTTATAATCTAGCGATTCTTTTACAAACGAAGGAAATTATTTGCGCGAAAAATGGCAGACTTCGATTTCAGTGATTTAAATTTGGATTTCTTACAAAGCACTCCTCCGAAATCGTCCAACTCGGATGAGCCAAGAACCGCTACACCAGTCCCTGCAGTCAGGCATGAAATATATTTTCAAAAAGAGACTGTTGGGGAATCTCGCAAAAAGAAACGTCAAGAATGGGCCAAGAAGATATCTAGTGCGGATCGCTTGATGAAGGAAATACAAAATTTAAAATGTGATAACTTACAATTGCAAACTCAACTCAAGGATTTTCAAACAACCGCTTTGGATATTCAAAGGTTGTATGCGACTGAAAAAGAACAACATGAAATTAAAACCAAAGCACTGGAGGAGCTCAAGAAGCAATATGAAAAAATTGAAACCGAATTGGTTGTCAAGTCATTGGAATGTGACCAATTTGAGGCATGTTTGGAGGACCAGAAAGAGCGACCTGTTGATTACAATGATCTGGTTATGAAATACTTAAGGCTGGTGAACAAATTAGAAGGAGAGGATATGATCAGAAACTTCCCTGACCGCGGCTTGGCAGAGGAATTGAAACAATATTGTGCTAAATTTAAATTGAGATATCTTCCAGCGCGTCTGATCAATAGCCCTCAAAAGTCTTCTTCTCGTATCAGAACACAAAAAACATGCTACGCAGATGCAGCTGTACAGTGTGACCATGTAACAGAGGCACAGCCCACAAAACTAGAGACACGAAACCAAGGAGTCCAGTGTTGCGTTGTATTGCGTTCGCAGGGTACACAACATATTAGCACCATGACTACACGTAGCACCACAACATCATGTTTCATTAGTTATCGTAATGTGGGCACAAGTAGCTCCGATTTGCAAACAATGCCACCTGCGGTTGATGATATTTTGAGAGAATTGGTTCCCTGGCAAAACATTAAACCCGTATCGCCATTAATAGATATACAGCAGCTGACGGAGGAGGCGAAACCCACATTCAAAACAATTGGAACATGCACCTGGTTGTGTAATATAAGGCGGCCCATTGATTTTATACCAAGAAATAAAATAAAGAGGTCGACAACAAACATTGAATTGTCTGAAGCTACAGCACACAATACATTAAATAGAACTGTTATTAAACAGGAAATGATAACACCATCTCCTTCACCCACACCAAATGCTACCTCTAGCCAAAATGAAAGTACAGCAAACGCCACTTCAAATCGTTCCCCTGTCACCAATATTTCAACCAATCCTCTTCTATCTGCAATACATTCAAACCCGCTTTTGAGTCATGGAGCAAACCCAACATTTCACGAACTTTGGCATATATTTGGTAGAATGGTATTGGGTTTATTACACACAACTAATGATAGCAATGCAGGCATTGCTGCTTCAACACAGGATTCAGTCAATCAGCAACAGTTTCACAATTGGCTCAGGGAAATCTATGATAGCTCAATTCTTGCTGCAAGAGAAACACCTGACATTGGTCATACGTCAACTACAACTCAGCAAGAAGCTAGCAGAACACAAAGTGTCGGCACAAGTCCTTTGCATTTTAATGAAAGTTCTGTTCTAACATCAACCAATATTGTGCGACCGGAAGCAAGAAGAACAATTGCTAATATATCAGAGGTAGAGGAAATGCAATTAGCCGGAGCTGAAGAAAGTGTTCATGAAGAAGGTAATTAAGAATAGAGTTAGAAGTATGAGGTATTGTGTAAACCTTCTCGACGTTGATGCGTTTTTTTTTTAATCTGCAAAATATGCTTCATGCCCATATTTATGTTATTCTACGTTAAACTCATTTTATTAACTTTGAAATATATATTTTTTTATTTTATAGATAATCCCGCCGAAATGACATTGGCTTGTAGCAGTTCACAATTGTCAACCCAGCTGAACTTTGATGCAGATTCAACCTCCTCCACAGTTAAACGTCCAATACCATGCACATCTGTATCAGCTGACAACATGCCGAGCAAAAAACCGAAGAGTGCTGAACATAAAAATAAATCTTCCAAATCAAAATGCGGATCAAAAATTATGGAAGATATTAAGGAACTGTTTCCAGAATTGAAAATAAACAAATCGAAACGGAAACATCTCAAGCGTTTGTTAAAAGGCACAAAACAAAAGAAACAGAAAACAAAATGCAAATCACAGCCAATTTCGGAACATGAAGATGTGGAACCGCAAGAAACGGCAATTGATTTTTTGAAAGAAATAATTGGGAGGAAGGATATTGCGTACAATGGGGAACGTTTTGAACAAGAAGAATCCATACAAAGTGATGCTGAGAGTTACTTACCATGTGAAACATCGCAAGATTGTGAACACAATACAACTCAAAATGAGTTTGCAAAACGAGAAAATAGAGATGAATTGGAAACTTTGTCAAATGAAACCTACACAAAAGAGGATATTTTAAAACATAGTGTATTATTGAGAAGTGAAACTCCTACAAGAACTGACTATGAGAGTGAACAACGTGAATGTGATACAGAAAATACTGCAAATGAAGAAATGTACAACCAAAGCGACAGCGATTCTTTGGATTCTCTACCCCAACCTACGGCATTCAGAAGTGATTTGGTTTCTACTAACCTAAGGGCTTTCCATAACTTACCTATAGACAATTTATACCAACAAAAAACGGATGATCATACAAATTCATCTGATCCACAGAATGAACAAGATAAAAAAGAAAATCTTTGCACGGATAGAAGAGAGCAAAGTGTGAATCATCATCCTTCAAATATTCAAGATCTAGAACAGGCAGAAGAATCTACTCAATATTTGCAGAGCAGACAGAAAATACTAACTGCGTCATTTTCATTTACTAAACCTGTCAAAAAGTTTAAAAACCCCAGAGTCTCCAAGAAAAAAGAATTATACAACTCACTCTTTGGCGAGACATCAGATACGGAAACTGACGAATATTCTGGAGATGATAATCAGCAAAATGCAACAAAGAGGAAAAAGAGGTTCACTGAAGAAACCCACAGTCATAAATCAATGCAGAAGGGAAACAATAGTCCCACATGTAATTTAGAACCAACTACCGAAAATAGAGCTGAAGATGTTGAACATGGTTATGCATCTACAACATCTTATGATTCTACATTTTCAATTCCCGAAATACCCACACCTGTGCTTAGAAATGCCGAAATCACGATAATGAATAACCTGAACACTGGATCTTCACTGCTTCTCGAAACTATGGATAAGGAGAATCAATCTATATTGGAATCAATTATTGAAAGAGAACTAGAAGAAAACCCAATTACAACGAATGATGAAACTATGGAAAATATACCACCAATTGATTTTGAAAAAGATTTCGAAATATCCTCCTCGGAAGATGATCAAGATAATGTTGCACCGGAGAACAATAGGAATTTAGCTGTAAATTATATAAGGAAAGATTCCCCAAAGCCTTTGCTTAATCAGAACACAACGATAAAAAATGACTTTGAAATGTCTTCATCTTCTGATGATGACTGCGAAGATGTTCCAGCGGATTCTAAAAGTCATGCGGATGAAAAGCAAGTAGAGACCAACAGTAATGTAGTATCAAATGATGGGGTCAAGGAAAGTCCAATGTCATCTCTCAATTACGAAAAAATGGTAAAAACAGACATGGAATTGTTTTCCTCTGAAGAAGAGGAAGAACATGTTTCAGATGAAAACAAAACGAATGTGGATTTAAATGAAATATCAATTGAAATGGCAAATGATTCTCAAACATCATCATGTAACAATAACTGTGAGGTATCTGTAGAAGAAGAAACCAGTAACATAATAATGGACAGAACGGAAAATAATTCAAATACATCAGCAGTTTGCAGTAAACATGAATCTAAGAACTGTAGAATGAGAGAGTTATTAAATTATCGCCGTAAACCAAGGCAACAATCGCCCAGATTAAATATCGAAGAAGAAATTGTTTTCTATTCAGATCATAAATATTCAAATGTGGATTTTAAAATACCAAGTTCCAAAAATACATGCTTGCACTCTTCACAAAATGAATCCCAAGAATGCTTTCCTTCAAATGTTCCACCAAATGATGAGAGATTGCCTACCAATTTTTCGAGCTCCGTAATAAGAGAAGATCACTCCGCAGTTCCTAAAAATTCATTGGACAAACAAGATTTTTCGCAAAATTGTCAGCCCAAACTAACACCAATATTCAATAATATTTGCTCCAGCAAAAGAGAGTGTTCAAACACAACAATGCAGGTCGAAGAAATAGTTGACTTTCCTACAAATTCGTCCAATACACAACGAGACTGCAGTGAAGAAATTGCAACAGAAAAAATTGTTACAGAAAAAATTCTGGAATCTCCAACACCTACAGATTCATTAAATGTTAAAAATGGACCTCAAGATTCCAAAGAAGAAAATGTATCAAAATTAGATGAAATATATGTCCAGAGTACACAAAATTCTATGGAGTCAAGTACAGAGTCCCATATAAGCGTAATGGATTCCTCAGACGTGACGAATACAGAATATGAAAGTTCAATTATTGAGATTTCATCCGATCCAGCAGAGAGTGATAAAACGAGAGACACTAAATCGCCTTTTAATGAACTTGTAATTGATGAGGATTTACCGGAGGAAAATGAAAAAGAAAATAATGACTCCTTGTCATCCCAAGACAATAAACTGATCACTGTTGGGAACATCGAGAAGGAAAATAATGATACTTTTTCAGCCAATGGACGACAAAATAATGTGTTTAAAATTGAATCTGTTGGGAGGACAACAATATCGCCATCCAAGATACGAATATCATTTACTGAAAGAAATGCGCCTATTGGAGATTACAACAAGGACAGTTCTTTGTCACCCAATTCCATAAAATCTCCCCCTGAACATGATAAGCCCGATGCAGACCAAGCCAATTCGCATACAGAGAATGTTGGATCAGACGACAGCATTAATCCATGTGAAGTTAGTTCAATACTCAACAGTTCTATTTGCAATGATATCCTTACCGAATCAATGTGTCCCATTGTTGATGATATCTTACAAAACACCGATGCTGAAGCCATACTACAATCTCCGGACGCAAATGTTCCCAAAAAACGTGGACGTAAACGTAAAAGTGAATGCCAACCCGAACCAGCCGCACAACCACCTTGCAAACGTTCAGAACGTATCAAGGCTAAACATATTATTTTTGAAAAATCCCTTAAGCTAAGTGTTTCTCCCGTGGAAATTGGTAAATATACTAGAGTAAGCAATAGGCAAAATATGCTAAAGAATGAAACTAAGAGTATAAGTAAGAAGTGCAAGGAATCGAGTGATACAAAAACACCTGTCCAGGGAGAGGAGCAGGAAGTGGCTACAAGAATAGGATTCTTTAGGGAATTGGATGAAGTTTCAATGGAGGAAGAGAAGACAGGTGATAATACAAATGATAACCTTGAGAATATTAAAAATAATTCCGTTTCATTGCCCTGCAACACAACTTTTGTTGCAGACCAAATTCAAGACATACGTACAAATCCGAAAAGAACGTTGACTACACCTCTAGAAAACAATTCCCCTAAGGCAGAACATTTTAGTACACCTTTTAAGGGTAACAAAACATTTGTTGTTGGTGACAAAAATGGAGAAGCCAATTTAAATCTTAATCGTAACAAAACTTTTGTTGTTGGTGACACCATTGAAGAAGCCAAGACAAATTGTAACAAAACTTTTGTTGTTGTAGGTAATAAATCTGAAGAAACTAAGTCAAATCTTCTAAATGAAACAAGTTCAAATCAAGTTACCAACGCTCCTTTGCCTGATGACACCAGGCTTGTTGTTAACCAAAACGAACAAATTACATCACCACAAAGTCCACTTGCAATGGCACCTGAGAACTACGATTCACCCATGTCCCCACAAAATACAACAGAAGATATTCTAAATACCACCACCCTAGATATTCCTTTAGAACTTCTACCTGAATGTAGGCCGCAACGTAAACATAGTTCGCTCATGGAAAGTTTAATACAAAACTTCTCAATTGTCCATTACAATACGATTACACTTACCAAATGCCTTAACGAAGAAACCTTTTCCAAAAAACAAAGATCCCTTACCAGTTATTATAATGATCTTCTAAAAAGCTATTGTTATAATCCCCTGCAAATAGATCCGGACATTCACGCTTCCAAAATTGTAAAGAAACTACAAAATGATACCATAGATTATTCTTTATTTTATCATTGTATTTTGAAAATAGTCAAGCAATCGGAACCATCCGAGGTAAAGGAACATGAGTTGCCCTCAGTTATACAAGAAATGCCGCCGCGACATTTAAACCTTGTACTACAGCGTATGTTCTATCTCATGAAACATCTGATGATGGCGCTGCAGCCCTACAATTGTTGTGAACAACTAAAATTGAGAATAGAATCTCTGCTGTTTAATTGTCAACAGGCTGAGAAGATAAGCCTACACGGCTGTCTACATTTAACCCAATTATATTTGATAACTTGTAAATTTTTAGAAACTCAAGTGCGTTTGCATCCGGCCCGTTTGTATGTAGCTAAATGTCTTTATTTCTATTCCATCAAAGCTATAAATATGATTCACGAAGTTCTCCTGTGGTATCCCAGCGTATTACCGCCTCGTGAAGATCCCGTCTATGATCGCTCAGATGCCCTCATAACTGTAATACAACACTGCCTCATGAGTACTAAATATGATATGACCAATACGGATATGCGTGGTAAATCTCTGATTTCAAAACTACGCTTTGAATATCACTATGACCCCTTTAAACCCAATTACGATGATGTCATATCGAATCTTACCGACAAATTACGAAGTTCCAAACTAAATGATGACATAACCTTTGCCTTTGGTCTGTTCTCGTATCGTATGTATCCAATCAGAGCGGAAAATATTTTATTAAAAACTCATCTTCTACCGCTGGCCAATGAGTTTTTCGAATATGCCTTAGTAAACAGTGATTATGATATACGTATCTCTGCATTATTGGAAATTATATCGATTATTGTTAAACCCTTTCCGCAGGATTGGAATGTGGAGATATATTTGGATTTATTTTCACGTTTCCTCAACGGCTTTTCAAGGAAAATTATTCAGGAGGCAGCCGTTTGTTCGATCTTACGTCTGCAACGCTTCGGTTATGTGAATTGCTTTAATCGTCTACGTGCGTATAGACCCACATATGAGCTCGAGCCACGAACCCAGGCCATGTTTAAAAGTTTTATACACCGTAAAAAATTGGATTATTTGAAGCAAATACAACGGCAGAGTCCAATACAATAGTTTTGTATTAATTCCGAATCTTAATGGTTAGCAAAAAACAATTATAAAAATGGATCGTTTCGATCGGTTGTTATTCTTCTTAAGTATTTTGTGTGAATACGATCATGCAAAAAGGGAAGGCGCTTGTAACATGTTATCCTTACATATGGTCTGTTCCAGAGGTGAACGAATGCAAACATTTGTTCCAACGGTAACCGATGTTTCCTTTATGTAATAAAAAAATGAAAAATTAATACATTCCTGCTGGGCTAGATAATTTTTCTATGGATAACACAACGAAAAATATTTCCTTTTAACATCATCCATTTCACATTTCTTTTCCTTTTTAAAAAATTTCATGTCACCGTTTCATAGAAGAAGAATTGAGTTCTGAAAATTAAGTTCTTAAAGCAATGATCATTAGGAAATATTCATTTCATTTACATTACATAACTTACAACATTTTAGTTTCGTTTCAACTTGTAAATTATTTATACTATGCCAAATGGCGTTATGTATTTTATAAATACCCTAAACAACTATTTTTAAATATCCTTATTTTGTAATTTAGATTTATAATTTATTTACAAAACTTGTAATTTTTTTGTTTCATATTGTCATTGTATAAACAACTCAACTGTATGTTTATTTAAGAAATTTTACATAAATATTATAGCGTGTAAGATAAATATTTTAAATAATGAGAAACATAAATTTGCCAAAAACATAGATTTGTTAATTAATTTTAAAACATTTGAAAAATGCTTAATAAAGCGTATGAATTTGTATTTTCATATTTCTTGAGTTTTATTTTAGTATCAAGGAAAAAATATGCTACAATTCATCCAAGGTCAATCAAACAGGACCATGACCCATATAAGGTCGCCCAAGAAGACTATCAGGTATGTCACAGGAACGAATTCCATACGAAAGTGATTTTAATTTCGTATTTAGCTTCTTCAGAAATCGTAAACGCAGTTTTTTCGGCTTGAAACCATTTTTGTTTTTGCAAGTGAAATTATATTTTTATGGAAACATTCTCAACACACTTTTAAGTAATAATAATAAAAATTTTGTCTTAATGAGGTAAATTTACATTTTTATACCCTACACCACATAGTGGTAAGGGTATTATGTATTTGTGCATTTGTTTGTAACATGGAGAAGGAAGCGAGATAGACCCATAGTTACGTTTGAGGATCTCTATACAATCACTTCCTGAGTTGATTTATGCATGTCAGCCCGTCTGTCCATGTATTCTTGTGAACAAAATGCAGGTCGCATTTATTATCCGATTGAGATGAAATTTTGTACAAATCATTTGTTTGGCCCAAGGACGAACCCTATTGAAATTTGAGGTAAAAATTTAGATATAGCTCCCATATATGTCTTCATCCGATTTGCCTTTTATTGTGCACCAAACGTGTAATATCGGCCCGATTAGTATGGAATTGTGCCCATACAGCTAAATTAGGCCTGAAAATAAGTATGTATATTGAGTCCAGAAGCTAGTATGCCAAATTTGGTGAAGATCGGTTCAGATATAGCTATAGCTCCCTTATATATTGTTCATCCGATTTCTAGTATTTGTTACCCACAGCCGTAATATGCACTCCGTAACAACGATATTCAGGGAAATATATCAAATACAGCTCAGAAATATCTTTGCCAAATTTTATCGAGATTGGTTCAGATTTGGATATAGCTCCCATATATATCTTTATCTGATTTCAAATTAATTTTGCACCGAATGGGCAATACAAGTCCGAATTTAAAAGATACTTCGGCATATTTAGTCCTTTGAACTTTAAATTATAATTATAATCATAGCTTGTATGATTGAATTCTCCCATAAAAACTTTTAACTGTTACGTGGAGCTCTACTAAATTAGCAAAGTGGTGTAGGGTATCAAAAAGTCGGCCCACCCGACTTTAGGACTTTCTTCACTGGTTTCATGGTAGAAGAATATGGGTAGATACATCAACGCTTGGGAACATTAATATGTCAAAATTTTTAAAATGTTTTATCAAAAATTAGTATATTTTTAAATGTTTTCTTATACGACGCAATTCGGTGGTTGTTATATTATGAATTTTTCAACAATTTTTACAAATTTCAATAATTTTTCATTCAACATTTTCAATTCCAAAATGGTTTGACAGTTCATTGTCCCAGCAGCTGTGTCGATACGACTACCTGTATTCTTCTACCATGACTGGTTTAAATTTTGGCGTCCTTTTCAGTAAGGTTCCACCAGTCCGATTTAGACTGTTTACTTTTGGAATTTTGACATTTTATCGCATTTCTGCTAATTTTCCTTTCCCTTATTTTTTGAGCACACCTAAATGAGAATGACACTTCGAACTGTTCTCTCTTCTTCTAGTTTTACTACTAAAAAAGTACTAGAACACAACTTTAAAATATGGTCTGTTCCAGAACTGCAAGTTTTTACTGCCGATTTTCCATTTATGATATCGAAGAAAATTTCAAAAATAGTAAATTCTTGCAGGAATTTTAAAGGTGGGAGTACATAAAGCACTTATCTGGCTGGCTTCTTCGGAAATGAGCAAACTAGCCTAGGGCCAAAATCGAACTAAGTCAACCTAAAACTCCTTTGGTCATCTACGAAGATGCCATGTCGATGACTTAAGCCAGCCAAATATAAAACAAACAAAATAACAATTTTTTTTATTAAAAGGATCATATATGCTCTGTTCCAGAACCTGCAAAAATCTACTAGTTATGCAATTTTGTTTCAATATCAAACGAAAAGGTGGTTATCCTAGTAGTAATGCATGGTAGAAGAATATTGTCATAGCAGCTATGTCGATGCTTCTAGCTGCTATGACAATGAACTGTCATATCAATTTTGGAATTGAACATTTTAAATGATAATTTATTTAGTTCATTTATTAATTTATATTTTGCGATGAGAAAGTAATTTGGTTAATTCAAATTTGTAAAAATTTCACATTTAATTATTTTTGATATATCAATGCTTCTAATCGTTGATGCATCTACCCGTATTCTTCTACCGTGTAATAATGTTCAGATTCTTGCAACTTTCGACTTTGTTATTTATTGTCCTGTTTTTTCCATTCCAGTACTTTGTCAACTACTTTTTTCTGTGAGATCATTTAACTACAAATTTTTACAATTCGCCTTTTTGTTGCTATTGCCACTAAAAATTACAGGAACGGAGTTAAAATCTTTACGCGGCTTCACCGTCATAATTTACCAATGTGTATATTACACGATTGGTCTGTTCCACAACGGCAAGTATGTATCAGATCGAAAACATTTGAAAAACTGGTAGATTCTTGTAGGATCTTGTAGGTTAACCTTCTTTATGTAGATTTATTTGAGGTATATGTAATGAAATTGACATTTTTAACCGACTGGGTTTTCTAAATCCTTTACTACGTAAACGTACAAAAAGGTATCATGGTAGAAGAATGAAGATAAATGCATCAACGCATGTGAACATTAATATGTCAAAAAATTTAATTTTTTATATAAGTAGATTTTTATAGTTTTTCTTATCCGACGTCAATCGAAGGTATATGCGTTTTTTTCAACAATTTTTACAAATTTAAATAGCTTTTCATTCAAAAATGTCAATTCTAAAATTTGTTTACATTCTCCCAGCAGCTGTGTTGATGCGTCTACCTATATTCTTCTACCATGAAATGTACTTTAACACAAAAAAAAATAAATATTTTAAATGATTTCTATGTAAACGTAAATAGATCATTAAAATACGGTGTTGCATCTGCATGCATTCGTTTGCCTTTCTGGACACTTCCTAATCGATGAGTAAAAAGTCGATTTACATATCCCCTGACTCTCATTTCCGTTCTTGTACAACTAAACGTGAAAGATGTCGCACGCCTTCAGTCCTGCCTTCCGTAGGATAAAAATGGAGTTTAGGCCACGTGAAATTAGTTGAAAAACTGTGAATAGTATTACTGAACGGAAAATTTGGTATTTCGTTAGAAAACATGCGACCGGACTTTTCCACAGTGTATATTTGATGGTAAGTTAGATTCTTGAGGATTATTAAGTATTTGTTTGTGTGATGATAATTTAAAGTAGACAAGCATATACCTGAATAATGTTTTTAACATAATTTGTTGATTACTTTCGTCTGATTTATTTCCGCTTAAGACAAATATGTTCCTAAATATTGAATAGTTTACTAATTCGCTGCATTGGTTCTTTTCAGATGTTGTTACATTGTTCAATGGGATCGTCATTTTTCTCATTAAATAAGAGGTATGTTTAATTATATTTTATACTTGTATTACCAGGCAATGATGAGTTTTAGTTATCCCTGTCATAAAGAAAAACCCTTGATGATAAAACTAAACTGAAAAATGCCAATAATTTATTGTTAAAATCATGTCAAAAGTTTTTTGGTTAGTTAATATGTTATTTCTCTTTTTAGGTCCTGAATTGATGAGGTTCATGCTGCAATGCTTGCGGTGCTGAGGAGTGAATATGCAAAGTAAGTTTCTAGTAGAAAACTCATTTTCCATTTTAAATGCCAAAATTTTTCAATGATGCTCTCTATACCGCCCCAGTCTGACATATGGTGTTGATTGGTTTTTTTCACTGATTTTATTTACAAAAATAAAAAATTTTTTTGTATAAAATACAAAATCTAATAACTCAAATTTTTGTTTTGTTGCAGATTGCATTTTCAAGTGTTGTTCTACTGACTTACAGACCGGAATTTTTTAAACCAACATAAAGGTATGTACCATTTTATTAAAAATTAACTACAGATTTCTGTCCGTTCACTTAGTCTTGCATTAAATTTTGAGTATATGATGCTTTTTATACCGCCCCAGTCTGACATAATAATGTTGATTGGTTATCTCTACTGATTTCAAAATCCATAACAGAAATGTGTTATTTTTCTTAATTTTGAATTTAATGATACTAATAGTCATTTCCTTTTTAGGATAATGGGTACGTATATATAATCCCTGTGCCTAACTCAATGGAAAATGGCGTCAAAAAAAAGGTATGTACCCATCGTCAATTAATTTTTATTGCGTATTTCTGATGATATTTATAGTAGACAAGCATATAACTGAATTATATTGTGTTGATTACTTTTTGTCTGAATCACATATAAAAATAGACCTTCAGAAATTAAAAACAATTTTTTAACGCGTGTATTTTGTTTTCATTCTACTTTCAGAAACACGTGATTTTAATTCCAAACCGTTCCCCATCACCCAAGAGGTAAGAAATATGTTTCCGTATTGCATTTCCTCTGTTAGGCAATGATGAGCTTTTAGTTATCCCTGTCATAAAGAAAAACCTTGATGATACCTATAAACTGAAATTGCCCATTAGAGAAATGTAAAATACTTCTGGCTATTAGTATTCTTAAATATACTAATTTAATTTATTTTATTTTTTTTTTCCAGTTGACTGAAACGAAGTGGAATGAAACAGGAAAGTTGCATTTGGCGGCAAAACATGACAACAAACCTATGAGAAGGTATGACAAAACTTTTTTCCACTAATTTCATATGTTGGAATAACATTGTATTTAAATATGCTTTAAATACAAACCTTAAAATATTGAAATAGAATTTACCCCCAAAAGAATTTTCACGTAAAGATACCAATAAAATTGTTATTTTCTATTTAAATTATATTTTTGTATTCTAATTTTTTGTGATCTATGAAAACAAATGGGATCCGAATAGATTATATTACAAAGGCTTTAAGGCTTTGTTAACAAATTTGGAAGTTAATTAATAATTAAATTAAATGATGTCTTTATATACCGCCCCAGTCTGAATAGCTGTGCTGATTGGTTATAAAAATCTGATAATTAGACTTAGATTAGAATATATACCTTGATATATTGTTACAAGACAACATTGCTTATAAAAATTCAATTTATTTTCAGATCAGACCGAGACCAGACTCGTCCACATGCACGATAAGAGACATATCGTAAAAGGTTGGTGTTCAATAAAAACAAATTAAATAAAATGACTGCTACAATTTAGCTTTTGTTATTGAAACTTGATTTTATCAGTCTTATTGCTGACAAATAATCAAATCTATAGCATTAAATTAAGGGAGTTGATGTCGTGGTGCCATTGAACTTGAAGAATACTTTACAAATATCATTGCAATAAATCTTTCCAATAACAAAAGTTAACTTGTAAGAATGTGTCGTCTGTATTGATTAAAATTAAAATGATGTGATTGTTACCGCCCCAGTCTGAGATATAATGCGGATTGGTTTTTATTTAGCTGAATAGCTGTAACAAACACAATTATTTTACAATAAGTTTAAATTTTGTAATAAAAGTTTTTATTTTTTTTTTCAGATGTTATTTTGCCAACTTGATGCAGCCCTGAAATTACATCCCATTAATTAAAAGGTGTGTAGTCCAATTGGTTTAACTATAGAAGACATGAAATGTAATGATGATATTCACAGTAGACAAGCATATAACTGAATTTCACATTATGTTGATTACTTTCGTCTGATTGTTTCAACTTAGAAAATATGTGTTGTATTTTTTTAGAATGTAACTAATAATTATTCTTTTATTTATAGTTGAGGGTCACTTGGCGTGTTACTAGATTTGATGTTTGCAAGTTAACTCACACCCAACAAAAGGTAAATATATCTGTATGATTAACTTTTTAAGCAAATCTTTGCAAAATACGTTAGGTTTTATAGCATAAAAGTCTTACTTTCTTTAACTGTTTGGCAAGGCAATGATGAGCTTTTAGTTATCCCTGTCATAAGATCAATGTATTGATGATAGAACTAAACTGATAAATGTTTTTCATAAAATAGCCTGTTAAACCTATTTTGTGTACTTACTATTACTAATTTCATTTGTTTTCTTTTCAGATCCTTGAGATGTTCGTGGAAACTGGCAATATATTTATAGTGATTAAATTAACTATGATTTTATCAACAAAAAATTAAATAAATTCAATTTTTACAAATCATATTTGTTGTCTTTTATTTTGGAGTTATGTTTATGACAACAATTGTTTTAGGGGAAAATTTATTTTATAGACAAAAAAATATTAGCTTGAATTGGATAAAAAATACAATAGTGATGTTGGTGGCTTGTCGAATTTGATGATTCTTCCAAGTCTTACCAGATTCCAAAGTAATTTCTGCAACTAGTTCAACATATTCGTATGCGCCAATAAACATTAGAAAGCGCAAGGTCTTTTCGTTGTTGATGCCATTAATCATATATGGTACCATACCATACGGTGGAGAAAATACGAATGATCGTTCGGCATGTTTGTGAGCTAAGAATACAGGATCATGGTCGCGAAATTAACTTCAGTTGTTTTGGACCAAGTTCTCGGGACTACACATGGTACCATGGGACTACATATGTATATTTGCTTATAGTTCTTTGCTTTTATAATGTTAATGGGTACTTGGAGGCATGGTACAATTTCAAATTTTTAATTTTCTTGGCTTAATATGTCAAATTTATTTGTTTATGTGTGTGTATTCTTTTCAGTAATACAAAAATTGTTCAGAAAATATTCAAATTTGGGTGTTTTCAAAATGCTTATTGCAGCGTATGAATCGACAAAGTCTACAGTTTTTGTTGGGAAATATATCTTAAGAGACATATAAAACATGATTTAAAAAAAATTGACCTTTCATTCAGTTTTCGCTGTTTTCAATTATTTATTTAATTCATTTTTTCAAATTTAGTACTATGCTTGGAGGTTCTGGAATAGGGCAATGACTGATGTCAATCATGTTGGATAATGTGTACTGCATATTATTTATCAATGCACCAAGTCGATACATTCCTCAATTTATCGATTTCTAAAAGTCCCATCTCCAAAACAGCTGTGAACTCTTTCTCTCTCTCTCCTTCTCACATTCAAGGTTCCCTAATGTGAGCAGTTGCACTGAATTTGTTATTTGTTTCTTCTGTTTAGAAAGAATTTCTTCAATTTTCTTTTCACATTGAAATTCGTCTTCCTAGGAACTTGATTTCCTTTGTGTATTTAACAACAAAGAAAAGGGACGATATGTTCTCATATCGTTTGCCAAACGGTGGTCTAGTCACCAAGACCTACATTACACCCGAAGGACAAATCAAATTTGATCCACCCGTCTACGAGCAGCGATATTCAACTACAGTACGTATCATAGAGGATCCATGTTGGAAACAGCCCCTCAAAAAGGTACGAAAGTCGGGGATTTCCGTGATATGTTCAGCACCTTGATTGGGGATTGTCTTTTTGTTCATATTATTATAGATTGTAGATTTTGGTTGTGCTGAAGTACGTTTGTTGCAATTGATACGGAGAATACCATTTGTGGAACATATTTTAGAGGTAAGATTTGTAATTGATTCACAAACAAGAATAATTGGTGAAACAAACATTCAAAAACAAATAAGCATACCACACAAATTTGGAATCGTGATACAGGGTGTAACGTCTTTGCGATCTGCTTATAGAGTGAGAAGAGACAGAAGGGAACCCTTGTGGTTGTAGCTGGTTCCAGCTCTAAGGCCAAGTTAAAAATCAGCTACATTAAATTGGGTAGGTTTAGAAATAGCAAAGTAAAAAAAGGGGTATTTTTGGAACTTTGGAACCCTATATCTCGGTCGCCGTGATTAGGATAACAAGACCTAACTTCGGTAAAAATTTAAGAATTTTCGCCAGCTGGAACTAATTTTTAATTTGTTCCAAGTAAGGTTCAGCGAGGCCACTGGGACAAAATAAAGGAGATAATAAAAAAGTTGAATCGGTTAGGGGGACCATAATCGCGACCACTAACTAACCCATGATCTTTCAGGTCACATTTTACAGCATGTTCAAGTTGTCCTGGCATGCCACAGTTACCTGAGACAATTTTAAAAGTGGGGTGTGGATACGAAAACCTAGTTAACCTCTTATAAACCGATAAGTCGGTCTGTGCTTAGTTATGCGGCTTCAGTGCGGTCTAAGAACACGAGTGTAATGCAATATAAACGTATTCAGACCTGCAAGAATGCCGCCCTGTGAACTGCAACGGAGTGCCTTCTGATCACTCCAGTGTACCATTTACATGAGGAGGCTAAGGTTCTTCCTTTACGTTGGCATAATTATATATCTTCGTCTGCCTATTTGGTGTAATTACGTTCAGGAGGAATATGTGCGAAACCTTTGCCTGTCGAGTGAAACAAGCCAGCGCAATACGCTGCACCTCCTAAATTGTCCTGCCAAAACTACTTACCCCACTCATTCCAAAAGATCTTGGGTTACAGCCCGCGAAATTGACCAAATTTTTGAGGGGTGAGATGAAAAAACTACAACCAACTTCAGACTGCTGTCATTTCTAAGCCACTCGTCCGACAGCTGTTAAAATTATGCCAGTGACAGCTCATTATATTGTTTACAAGCGTACAAAAGCATTTTGATGAGAATTTTCCAGAAAAAAAGTTATGATGAGAAAACATTCGTCGTGCTGCAGTTTGTAAACAAACAAAAATGATCGTGTTTACTTGCCAAAGAGATCAGCTAAATATGTGAATCTTCAATTGGCCACCAGAACTCAAGCGCCGGCTATGGTGATGGAGTGGGCCGCCATAACAACCGATGGTCACTCTCCCTCCGTATTAATCGACCGTGGCATCAGAATAAATGCCGAATATTATCGCAAAAATATTTTGGTGGGTGTATTAATGCATTGGGTACGCAAATACGCGCTTCGCGGGAATGGGCCAAGATAACGCGGAGCAAAATTCGGGCAGCGTGTTCGAAGGCCATAATTCGTGCCAAAGATGACCAATTAGAACAAATCTAAACTTATTCTAAAATTTGATGCAATTTCCGACATTTTTGCTTTCACTCGATAAAATTAAAAAAAAGTAAAAATTATTACGTTTAACTTTGTTGCAGTTTTTTATCTCACCCTGTACATATAAATATAACAACGGCATGACAAAAACTAAAAGAGTGCTCGTCAAGTGTAGAATGTGTAGGATGTTTTTGAAGGAATTTTGCTGCCGCTTTAAAATGAATAAAGCATGCTCGCCCTCATTGAGAGTGAGAGTTTCACTCTACTCGAATTAGGGCGAGTTTTTCGAAGGTCCGTCGACAGGAAAACTACACAAATCATAATAAGGATGTATATTAGTTTGTGTGTGTACATAAGTGTTGATATGTTCCGCAATTCTTTTGTAGTACTCCTCACGTCCTTTTCCCAGTAAAACAAATGTTCGCTTTAATTTAATATAATTTTTATTTGATTTTGTGTGTTTCATGGGGGTTTTCTCTTCTTGTATTTTTAAAGATAATTTGTTTCTTATGAGGGGGTGTTTTTTTGTTTCTGTATAGCCTAATTTAATGATTTTTATTTCTTTAAAAATTAATATTTTTAGGTTTCTTTTTGTTTTGTATTCTTCTTTACTTATACGAATTTTAAATAGTTACAACTAATACTAATAATAATAAGAATCCACATAGGGGCGGGGAGATAATAGAAAAACAAATGAATTTAAAAAATTAAGAATTTATATTTCATATATGTATATATATTTATAATAGCTAACTGACACAAACGGATAAACAGGTTAAAAATAATAATTAAATTAACATAAGAACTTAACAAAAGAAAAAAATATCAGTTTAAAAAATATGATTGTGGGGATAATGTGAAATGGCTGATAGGTAGTCTGTTGCAATGCAATAATATGTATGTGGGGTATGGTGGTTACAATGTCGCGTTAGAAGCGGTAACGGAAAGGTGATTGGATTTTCTTTTATTATAGGATGAATATTTGTTTCGTGTTTTTTTGATTTGACTAATGTTTTTTTGTTAAGAATAAAAATGAATTGAATTCAATTTTTGTAATCGTTTAAAAATAAAACAAAACCACTTTTTGTTGTTATATGTGTAGTATAAAACAAAATAAATACAATTTCAAAATACCAAACATAAAACGCATCATTTATATGCGTTTCTTTCATTAAGTTTCTTTCATTAAAATTCACTTTCTTTTTGTTTGTTTGTTTAATAACTAAGTTGTGGGGTTTTACGCGTACGTGTGTGTGTGTGGTTGTGTGTTGTATTTCAATAATATTCAATGTCATTTTATGAATGTGTTCTTCTTGTTTTATTCTATATATATTTACTAAGTGATTTTTAGAAGTTTTATTAACTAGTTGTATTATTACTTGTTATCGAATAATTTCCATTTGTTTTTTTTTTTTTGTTTGTATTGAAAATTCTAAAGTTATTGAATTTGTTTTTGTTGAATACATGCCATATTTGTTGTATGGTTTTTTTATTATACCTTAAGAGCATCATCATCACGCTTATTGTGTAAAGCATTTTTACTTGCAATGTTTTTCTTTCTTTCTTATTATGAATTTAAAAATACATCCATGTTGGTTTTTTTCTTTCTTTTTATAACGAAATAATTTTATAAATATTTAAAGCACAGCAGCTCCAAAATATATTTAATACTTTTTCTGTAAATTTCTGTTGTTGTTTCCTTAGTTATTGTATTGACTTACTTAACAAAATCTTTTTTGTTTTGTATAATTTTTGCTTATTTTGTTTTTTTGCATATTTTGTAATTTTAGAAAATTAAAAGGTGTATCCACTAGTTTCCAAGTTATTTTTCTTTTTAACGAAATCATAGTAAAATAAACTATTTCCAAAATCATAAATGGAATTATTTAAATAATAAAAAAATGTTTTGAACAACAATTATTGTTTTGGAAATTAAGGTAAATGTCTATAGGAACCGCCTCAATGATAACAGTGATGACGGTGTTAGTGGTGTGAGGGAACATTCCTTTAGTTTTCCATTTAACAAATCATTTTTTACAATTACGTGTGTAAACGCTTTCCGTGTGATTGCCAGCCTTCCACATATATCCCTCAGGCGTGTAATTGGAATTCGAATCGTCATCCAAAAGACCAACTTGTTCAGTCTTGAGAAGACACCGTCTGGTGCGGCGTTCCCTCTTTGTATTCGAAGATTGTTCATGTTGTTCTACCTCACCGGCGGCAGAAGCTGCTGCTACTGCTGCTGATGTAATAGCTGTTTTGCGACTGCTTTTGGTCATGGCACTGCCACGTTTGGTTGTTGACTTTGCCGTTGACTTGGCCGTTTTCGCAGTCGAAACAATTGATGTAACGGGCGTGGAATTTGAAGGTGACAGCATTTTCACTTTACTGGCATATTTTTTGCGTGTAGTTTTTTTATCCACTGGCGTATCCGATGCCACACCGTTTGGTGTTTTCAGCACAAGTTTACGGGCGGCGGACACTTTTGTTCGTTTATTGCTGGTACTGCTACGCACTCGACTGCTGCTAACTTTTTGACGCCGAGAATTCGTTGTGTGCACTTGCTCTGAGTTGTCGGTAGCATCGGTTTCAACCTCTTCACTTTCATTCACATCATCATCAACATCCATGGCTTCACAATTGTCTCCTGCCCCACCATCTGCCTCATCACACTCCTCCATTTCAACATCGTTTTGCTAAAAAAACAGATATTTTTTTAAACTCAATTTCATTGAAATTCTTAAGAAATCACTATATACACTCACCTCTTCTCTATCCTGTTTAATTTTATCCTTAAGCCTTGCCTTGATTTCTTCATCTCTTTGCTGTTCATATTGCTCAACCGGACAACCCATTCTATGCAAAACCTGACGTATGGCATAGGTAGGCTTGCCTTGATAACGCCTTACTGTATCTTGTTGTATGTCACTCAACTCTTCTTCCCGATCAAATTCGCGTTCAGCCCTTTCACGCGCAATTAGATCAGGATCTTGTGATAGAATCTCGGTCCATGAGAACTTATTCTTCTTCGTTGCTTTTTTGTCCGATTTGGAGCGCAAATTTTTGGGTGACACCCGATTCGAGAGGGTACGTTCATGGAATGGTGTGCCTCCCACTGCGGAATGCATGACATTATAGGCCATGTTGAATACACCATTTGCCCGATTCATATCAAAGAAATCATTTTTGTTTTCAATCTCTTCTTTGACACGTACACAGGTGCGTTGAATTTCCGACATTTTCAAATGCATATCGGCCAAGGGGTAGCCCAATTGTTCATATTCCCTTTCGAAAAGGCGCCTATAACGACTGTAGTCTGGACGTTCATGATAATTCAACTGGCCAACTAAATGTAAATATTCGCCCAGATATTTGGGAACTTGTTTGCCATATATTTGCCTCAGCATCTCACGCACATCGGTCATCAAGTATTCCTTGGCCCGATGCACCTTCTCCTGCTGTTGATTTGTGGCGGCTTCCTTCCAGGGCAGATAGCCCTGTGACCAGAAAAGTAGGTTATAGCCTAAACATTCCATATCACTGCGCCTGGAATGGGCACCCATGTGAGCGTCGCGGGATGTAAATTCTAATGTACCGTCATGGGCTCTACGCTGATCCATGACAAATGGACGATGTATACCATTGTCCATGAACTTTGAAGCCAGACCATAATCGATGAGAAAAATACGTTCATCTTCGACTAAAATCCTTTGCTGTTGTTCCTCTTCTTGTGTGGCCTCAGCTTTGATGGATTTCTTTTTATCGTTCTCTTCCTCCTCCTCCTCCTGATGTCGTTTGTTACGTTTTATGGATGCAAGTTTTTTATTATTTTTCGCCAGTAGCTGTTCTTGACGTCGGGTGAGGCGACGATTACTGCTTCTGCCAACGGATTTTTTTGCACTGCCCGGTGGCACAAATTCCTCTGATTCGTCGTCAGACGATATGCTTTGCACATCGTCTGCCACACTATTACTACTACTTGCATTGTCTTCATTGAAGAATTCCAAATAGCTGACACGTTTCGTTGGCCGAAGATAATGCGATGAGACCATCTCATCATACATGGGATTACTTTTTTCACGGCGACATGACCTCACCGGGTTTGAACCACTATACGGAACTACACTGCGAGAGGATTTTTGTTTCTGTGTACGTTTTTTGTGGATCGGTGTGCGGTAGTTATCCAAACTGTTGCTGTTGGTACTGTTTGTGGTGGCGCCATCATCAAAATCTTCATCGTCGTCCTCATCTTCTTCCTCCTCCTCTTCGTCGTCGTCATCATCGCCATCATGATAAGTGTCATCTATGACTCTATTATAAACTTTACGTTTAACCACAAAATCCTCATCATCGTCATCGTTGGCCTCTTGCTCGGAACTATTACCACTATCCGTCGTTTGTTGTTTCTCCTCGTAGTGATCATCGTATTTTGACGAAGATTTTATGTGTTTACCACCATTGTTCGAAGTTGTGGTACTGTAACATGAAGCCTCATTTTCGTTTGCCGGGGAAGCCTTCCGTGATTGTGCGAAATATTTGCATTTCGATATCATAAGATTCTGGGCCTTGACATCATTGTGGCAGTATCCTTTGTCATGCAAATTTTCTAAGACGTTTATTATGTGTATCGCCAGCGTCAACACAGATTTCTGATGGACACGACACTTTTTGATGAGTGAATGCAGATCTCGATCGAAACGTGGCAAAACCAAAAAACGATATCTTGCATTGCCGAAAAAATGCGAGCCAGACGCTATGTAATCGGGTATACCGGATGGAGGTTCTGAGAGTATGGGAGGATTTGCGGCTGATGTTGTTGTGGTGGCCGATTTGTGGGCTTCAACTTTTGGCTCCGTTTTAATATCTGGACAAGGAGAGAAAAGAAGTATAATTTTAATTCAATTAAAAATCATTGAAAATAAGAAAGATAATAAATGAGACAGATGGGATATTTCCATACTGTAGGACAATCAATTTGGTCCCATTTAAAGATTGAAATATAGAATTTAATCCTCCTCTTTTCCACATATATTTTTAGGTTGACATCGATGCTGATTTGTTGAAAATCTATCAACAACGGGCCATACCCCTTATATCAGACTATTTACAAAAACGCGAAAATCCACTCAGAGTTGACATTATGGTGGGAAGTGTTACTGATGCTGTTGAAGAATTGTATGATGTTGATGTGGTCATAGCTTTAGAACTGTAGGTATTATGTGACACTTAATAAGAATCGATGTTCAAATCGAACTTTCTTCTGCGTTAAAGTATAGAACATCTACATAAGGAGGAACTCGATCTAGTTCCCGAGAATATATTCGGTTTTGTACAGCCAAAATTGGCAATATTTTCCACACCAAATAGTGAATTCAATGTTCTATTTGATGGTTTGTTGGAGAATGGATTTCGTCATCATGATCACAAATTCGAATGGACACGCGAGGAATTTAAGAAATGGGCTCATGACATTTGTAAAAAATATCCAAATTACTCCGTTTCGTTTATGGGCCTCGGCAAGCCACCATCTAAGAATCGTAAATTGGGTCATTCAACACAAATGGCAATTTTTGCCAGAAATGATATGCTCGGCAGGCCATTACACAACGAGGTAATAAAGAATCCACCGGTAAATCCTGCAGCCAGTTATAGAACAGTGTATTCTGTGGATTTCCCCTACAACAAAGATGAACGCTCAAAGGAACAAAAAATCATAGATGAAGCCCGCTACTATATAAGCCAATCGCGACATGTACCACGTTTTTTCAATCGTGAACGTTGCATTTATCAACTTCCGTGGAAAAGTATTATGGAGTATACAATAAGTCTTGGCGGAACGGAAAAGGAATTATTTGACATTCTAGAGGCGAATGGTATTAAGGTGGAGGGAGATTTTATTGTCTTGCCCGAATATGATGACGACGATTATGATGATGATCGGGGTGATTATGACGAGTGTGATGATGATTATTGGAGTACAACACATCCTCCACGAAGTGATGAGGATTTATCACAACTAACACTAGACTGCCAGCTCAATACAAGTAATACAAGTTATGAGGCCGACGAAGAGAATTGGGATTAACTAGCATTCAACATTTATGATAATTTAATTATAGTTTTTTTTTTCAACCCTCATTGTATCATCGAATAATAGTTATAGTTTAAGGTGGGAAGTTTTTTTCAAAATTTTGTATTTAGTGGGTAGAATTATTACTATGTTCATTGCCTATAAGTTACTTTTAGTACTATTTCTTTTATTTTCTTTAAATTATGCATTGAATAAAAGAATTATACATTTTAGATAATTTTTGTTTTGCCTTTTTCTTAAATAATAAAAGTTGAACAAAATTTGAGCAACCCGAAAGCTGTGGCAAGAATTTTAGACACAAAATGAATTGGTCGAAAATGTCATACATCGCAATGAAGGGATAAAATGGATCAAATAGCAACATCATACAAGCGTACAAAAGCATTTTGTTGAGAATTTTACAGAAAAAAAAATTATTCGTGATAGAATTCAAGCGTGATAGTGTGATTTCTTTATATTTGGCTGGAAATCCACAAGTGGCTATGGTTAGAGCACTCCAGCATTCAAATGTGAATAAATATTTTGTGTTTCGTACCATCGCTCGTTACCGTGATACTGGTAGCGTAGCCCGATGTCAAGTGGGCGGGAGAAAACAGCAGCATCAGCAGAAATGATTCGAAAAGTAAAGAAGCGACTTGATCGAAACTCGTGTAGCAGTGGCCGAAAAATTGATTAAAAATTTGGGATATCCAATAATTGAGCAAGCAAAGCTTAAAGCAAGAATATCAAAAATATAAATTTGTTTGGATCACAGTCATGCTTTAAAACTCATTTCTGAGGGAATGGTATCTAAAAAAACAATTCAGTCCTGTTTAGGGGTAGAGACAGAAACAATTTATTGTTACCGTCCTATGCATTAGGAGAAAGTGAAAATAGTGGCCAAAGTTAAGTACATTATAAGAAAGTGGCTATAATGCCACCAAAGCCGTTAAATGCCTTACGTGACTAAGAAGTACTCCTGAATTTAGCCGGCTAGTAGACGAGAAAATGAGCAAAGTGAGTTAGGACATCTGAAGTTTTGTAACATTTTTCCAAATATAAGTAAATTTCATTAGAAAGAATGCAAGAGTAAAGCCCAGAGGCTATCGAATTTTGAGTAGAAGGGTCCTGAGGACATCTACTGTATAGAGAATGGGCCCAGAAGAAATGTACTACAGAGTAAATGGACCCAGAGGCCATCGAATTTTGATTAAATGGGACCAGAGGACATTTACTGTAGAGAAGATATATCCAGAGGACATCTATTGTAGAAAAGATGGACCCAGAAGAAATCTACTATAGAGCAAATGGACCCAGAGGCCAACGAATTTTAAGTAGATGGAACCAGAGGAAATTTACTCTAGAGAAGATGGGCCCAGAGGACATCTCTATAGGAGATATGGTCCCAGATATTTTTATTGTAGAATAGATGGACACTGATGCCATCTGCTTAGAGTCTCCGGAGTCATCTAGATGTTTGCCACTAACAAGGCGTATTATGCTTCACAGTAACGGATATTTATTCAGACTTGGCAGACTATGAATCTATCCTTAGTCTTTTTGATAATGATTAACTTGGAATGTATATATATTTTGTACGATTTATTTTTTTACTTACATTTCTCCTTTTTGGCAGTGTTCATCAGACAGTGAATTTCAACAAAGAGCGGTCCATTTGAGTGCGGCTCAATTTTAACAACAAATTTTGCATTCTCATTTGTGACCGGAATACTGATGTTATCAGATGCTAAAAATATTTCACCAAAATTGCCTTTGCCTAAAAAAATTAAAAAAATGATAATAATAACAATAGAAAAATAACAATGTGCATTGTTGTTGTGATTAACGTTATTAATTGCCAGTGGACAGCATTACGATATCACATCATCGTTGTGTCTCTAATACTTACCAATTGGACGGCCCAAACGCCATGGTTTCTCATTCAAGTCATACAACACGGTGCCATTGACAACGGATGGTCTCAGGGTATATACCGGTTTTGGAGATTCCGTCAGTGATGCGTTCGGTTCATTTGCCAGACTTATGTTTAGGGAATTATTTAGGAGTATCGAGGAATTGTTGGCTTGTTTACTTGATAGGTTACGTGGAGTTTGTGCTACCTCCGGTGGACCATCATTTGATGATGAATCCTCGTCATCGTTTTCATGCCATTCATGGCCCGATGAAGAACTCATACGTTTAGCTTTGCTGTTGTTGATTTTATCATTGGCGTGGTGCTGCTCTGTGGCATTGCCGTTTGAATTACATTTACGTTTACGTATATTACGTGCTCCGGTTGTGACCGGTGTAACATGATGATGATTGTTATTGCTATGCTGCTGATGATGGTGGTCATGAGATTCAACAACAATGCGCTTACCCATCTTCAGTATGTGTGTGTGGTGCCTCTGCTGTGGCTAGAGTTTGCCTGGTGAAACGTGCTTAGAGCGTGGTTGTTTAGTTATTTGGTTTTATGGCCTTTCTAACAAAGGAGACTTTTAGTTTTAATTGTACTGCCTCTTCTTTTTCAGTTTCTGGAAATTGCTGGGTATTCAAACACATTACATTTGGCTAGGTGGTGATTGCAGTATATGATGTAGCTCTTGTAGTTGTCTGCTGTTGTCTGTCATTGGCCAAAACACAAAACACTGGAATTTGGTTATTGTGTGTTAGAATTTGCTCGGTTTGTTTTGCTTCGATGGATGTTAGTTAAGTTGTTGTTTCAAAGCAAATCAGTCTCTATTTTTTAAAGTTTTGGTTGACTTTTTTCTTCAGATTTTTGCTCATATAAAAAACAGGAACGTAGGTTATTGTTTATTTTTTGTGTTTTCTTTTTAACTAATTGAAGACGTTAAAGTCTCTGCTTCTCCCTCAATGAGAATTTGACATTAACACACACACTCTCTCTCTCCGCTTTTATGTTATCTCTTTTTGTGTGTCAAAAGCAGCGGCAGCAGAGCGGCAACAGAGTAGGAGTACTAAACGCAGCAATTTGTCATTTCTCTGAAATTTTTGCATTTGTTTTGGGATGTCAGTTAATGGACTCCCTCCTCCCCTACGACTAAGCAGTTTATTTGAATTTTGACAGTTTTGGTCAATTTTGTGCAGATTGCTCTTTTCGTCCGTAGAATAGCCTTAATAAAAAATTATCTTTATTTTCTTTTTGGTAATCCAGTTTGTGTGCTGGTGTTGTTGCCACTGATTTGTTTCCTTTTGATTGTTGGTTAAGGTTGTAGTTGCGTTGCATTTGATACCTTCTCACATGTGTCTTGTTTTTGTTGTTTGTTCACTTCTACATCCATATATACCAAATCATCGATTGTTTTCATTTATGTGTCGAGAATATAGGTACCAGCCAGCAGTCATAGTGGTTGGTTGTTTCGTAGTGGTGGAGAAGATAAAATGTAGTTGGTTGTATTGTATGGTGTGTTTGCCATGGAAAGAGGAACATAAAAAAACAATACATTTAGTCAAACGGTTAAATTTAATTTTTTGAATGCAATGATTCCATAAAGGTGGCCTCTCAGCTACAATTGCTTATCAGACTGTGGTTTATAATGACGCGAATTTCACAAATTGGGGAAAAAACCTATCAACCATGTTCAAAACAATTCACAATGCTTTCCTGATAAAATAAAATTGAGAATGCAATATTCCTATTTGTATTCTAAAATGCACCTAGTATGCATGGTATGTATAAAACAAACAGAAACAAGAAAATGGGCAAAAGATAAACACAAGCTTCTTGGAAATTGACATATAAAAATAACTAGCAACAGAGATTACCTTCATAACAAATATTAACTAATAAAAAACAGGTCGTCATGCAATTCTTGTGTGTATGCATGTGTATGGAAGTGTAATTAAGTTTTTTTTTTTTCACAATAGGCTTTTCAAGCCCATTAAGATCTACACATACAAGAAAACAACAGACATGAAACTCTCCATAAAAACAATTTTCAAAGCCAAATCGGACAAACCTTAAAAATGAAGACAAAAAATCCCCAAAATATACATAAATTTGTTTTCATTCGCATAAAGCAACGACGACAACGACAGAGCAAGACGCATTTTGGGCAGAGGAAGAGAGAGAGAAAGAGGGAGAGAACAAAACAACGTTTATAAATCGAGGGGGGTAAGAAACACATTAACCAGCCGACACCGCTTTAATAAAAGAAAAACAACAACACTCATATGGAAAATGTCGAACAAAAGAGAACAACAAAAACATACATTTGATTTTACCGATTATTATTCGGTTTCACATTCGGCATATAATATTCGGTTTAATAGCTGGATTTATTATATGCCGAATTGTTAAACAAAAACAAATGTTATCCTTTTGGAAAAATTAAATCACTTTAGAGTATTGTCAATCATTTGGTCAATACTTTGTTTTCTCTCTCTCTTACTCTTCAGGCATTCTTATTGTCTGTTCTATTTCACCGTGTCAAGAACATGTTTCTTGTTGTTTTCAATACAAAAAAATAAATTTCTATATGTTAATATTTGTTCAGCCGAATTTGAAGGTGTATTTCGAATCAAATGCTTAAAAAACATTACATTCGCTGGTGGTGGAGCCCATCAAACACACGACGAAAAGTGGAAACCCAAAGAAAAAAACCGACCGAGAAATTTAATAAAAAAAAATAGCCAGCTCTACTGTGCTGCGATAATCGTCGTTCTGCTTGTGTCTCGAATGTTTGCTTGTACGTTTTCTTCTGAATAACTTTTTTCCTTCTCTTATGTTTAAACTAAAATACATTTCGGATACATTTTTGTTATCCCAATATTTCACCTTGTCTACATTTCACGAGAAATTTCTAAACGGCTTCCAAGGCACTTAATATATTTTAGTTTCATTAAACACCAATATCGTTTTTAATTGCACTTAAAAAATTATGTTTTTTTCTGCTGCACACAAACGCACGCACGTTACATTGTCAATTTTTTCTGTGTTTCTCGTTTCATTTCACACACCAATGAGGAACCTACATTTTTCTTGATTAGCCACATATTGAAGATGGATTTTTCGTTGCGTATATCAAATTAAATTTTACACTTTCTTTTGTTTCGTATGCCGTAGGTGCACCTTTGATGATTTTACATAAATTTATATATTATTTTACTGATTTTACCACTAAAAACTCACAAAAATGATCTGGCTTTATTTTTGCTTCAATCTTCCGTTGTCTCTCATACACACACAAACTGAGCCCATTACATATACACACGAAAAATCAGAGAATGAAAGAAATGCCAACTGTCAAATTGTCAGTTTCAATACCGAATGTTCCGCTTCCATGTGGTTACTTGTGAGTATTCTCCGTAGGTTTGAACAAAAATCCCCAAACATCTGTAATGGGATTTCGTGAAGGTTTACACGGAATGCGATAAAAAAGGCCATAACAAATTAAATATACAAATTAAAATATAAAGTTTAATGTGAAATAAATGGAAATGGAGGTTAAAGATTTGTTTGCTAATTATATACGACGATACTGTATTGTTTGATTCAATGTTGTTTTCTATTACCAGCAATAGACCATGGTAGAATTAAGGAGGTAAAGTCATGCAATCATATGTTTACAATATTTTCCAAAATTATTCATTTGATAACATCTGATTGGTAAATTACAGAAAATTCATGCAAATGCAATTAGCAAAATTAGTCTTTGTGACGTAGGTGTCCCGACAATTATAAAATCTATTGTAAAATCATCAAAGAAAATGTTATAGATCTTATATTCCCCTTCCCTGTTCGTTTCTGTACCCTGTTATTCTGTTTTTCAGAAATATTTAATACTTTTTCTTTTTTTTTATTTGTTTGTAGAGTTAAAAATCGTTAGCATTCATTGTCTTTGAAAAATGTTATACAGTGTCGAAAATAAGAGCATAAGTCTGCATGTTGAGAAAAATACAACTCTAATTACAAAAATTTGTCTCTTATAAACGATAGTTTAATAAAACTGTACGATTTTTATTCATATCGGACTAGAAAACGAAGTAAAAATTGCCATTGATTTACTTTTGAAACTATTTGGAAAAGTTGTTTTGTGATTTTATGACTTGTTAACCACAGATTTTACAATAATTTGGTCTGTTCCAAAACCGACTATTTTTGCAATTTTCTTCGATATCATAAAGGAATTATCAATAAATGAAAATTGTGTATACTTGGAATCTGCTGTCAATCGATCTCAAAACAAGGCACCATAATATAAAGTTACAATAAAAATTAATATCTCTATGGTCATCATAATTAATTTCCCTATAAAATGTTTTCCTTTTAAATCATTGCCACATTTTAGGAGAAAACTATGGCAACTTTAAAATGTATTTTAAAACCTATTCACAATAACAAGAAATATTCTCTACACGTGCTTACACCAATCACGTTTATAATTTACGGACAATAGACGAAAAGGTATGATAAAATTATGCAGCTAGGCACATCATCACAGCTGCTGGTACAATGAGTTGTTAAAACATTTTTGGAATTCTAAATTTTGAATGAAAAACTATTTCAATAACTGAAATTTATTGAAAATCACAAATTTTTTAAAGCATAATGAAACGTTATTAGAAATTATTGACAATATGAGCGTAGTATAATGGTAGTTGTTCGAGTGATTTATCGTGGTAGAAAAAAATAAACTGTCAAACCAATTTTGAAATTGAAAATTTCGATGAAAACTATTTAAATTTGTTAAAATCGACAGAAAATACCGATTGACAACCTCTACTTATTTTTAAAAAATAATTTTATATTTTTTGCATGTATTCTTCTACCATGTGATTTACACTTTGGTACAATAAGGAGGTAGAACAGCTTCGTAAAAATACAGAAATACAGCCCTGCTACATGCTATGTTTTCATATATTCAATATTTTCCTCATTTTTAAAAACAGTTAAACAGCAAGAAAAATGAATAAAAATGGGATCTAAATAGTTCGATCTTTCAATTTTTTGCCTTGTTGTTTACTCAACGACATGGTATAATTATTACATATAGAAGCAAACCCCAGCTTATTTGACTATGCAGTAATACTTGTGTCAATTTCGATGTAACTTTTTATGATTTAATTCCATTTCTTCATATAAAAAAGGTATACACATGGCTCAATTACAAAGGAACTAGAAAAATGCAACTCTGTGCTGGAGTCTTATAGTGTCAAATAGACTTTTAAATATGCAACAGTTGGCTCTGTTTATTTCTTTTTTTTAAACAAATTTCTTATATTGGGAAAACCCCGGGAAACAAAAATGGAATTTCGAGGTTATTTCACAAAATTGCATCTAAAATAGTAGGACAATACAGTTTTATCACAAAATTGTACAGTTTGTTACCTTTCTTATTGAGCCATGCTTGAACAGAGCATTAGACAATACGAAGGTATAATTAAAAAAAGGGCTGAGGAGCTTTCTATGGCCTACTTTATAAATTATGACGGATTAAACAGGATTTGCTGTACAAGTTCATGAATAGAATACGCCTGTAGAATAAAATTCCAATAGAGAGAATCACGCGTTCAAGTACTCCTTAAAGTTGCATATTGTTTACTTCCATTAAAAATTGCGCTCTCTTCTATTATTTGCTTGTTTTTTTTACATCTCGAATTTGAAGTTGACCCTTTAGTGACAGAAAAAAAGGGAAATAAATTAATAAAATAACAATTTTTTTAAGCCCATCATTAAATCTGCGTACATACATTTTTCAAATTAGTTTTTTTAATTTCATGAAATTAGTTTTTTTTTTATAAAAATTGTTGAAAACCGCAAACGCGATTGACAAGAAATAAGAAAAGTTATAAAAATCTACTTATATTTGAAAATTGTTGACCTGTACCTGTATTCTTCTACCATGGCATGGATAAGTAATCACTTTCATGGATATTTAATTATTTTCTAGCCTTTGAAAAAGCTGAGCTTTTATTTGGCCGAAATCAACACTATTATGAATCTAAATTCCACGTTTTATAAAAACATACTATTTGTAAACATTGCTATATGATTAAACTGTTTTGTTCTATTTTTTTTCATGTTTTCTTTACCTCTTTTTTTTAACAACGATTAAAAATATGGCAACTCTGTTATGTCAACAACATTCGCCGGCATCATAGTTCAGGGGCACAAAAATATATTTTTCACGCAGGCGAATGACGTTTACAAACACAGGGTAATTCAACAAAATTATGTGCGAATATACAATAGAAAATAACCGTTGAATAGAAATTTCAGAACTTAAAAATATAATTGGAACATACACATCTCTCCATTACCTCTTAAGATAGGGGTTGAGATTTAATGTTTGGCCATTGTTCCTTTCAAAACATTTAGCCAAACACCAAGAAATCAAACATGCTCTAGTGTATTGTGGTGCATTTAAGAACAAAAACAATAACAAAACATGAGATTTGTTGGACAATTTCATTGCAAAAGTAGCTATTGTTATTGCCATAAATTAAGGGTGAAAGTACCACATGAAGTTTCGCCATCATTGTTGGACGTGCATGTGTTGGTGTCTCTACTTCCGTATATACTAAAGGGGAGAATGGGACATTTGAAGAAGAGCCATAACCTTACGTTATGTTGCAAAAGTTCGAATGAATGAAAGAGTAGATTTATGCGTTACGTTGTATCCAACAACAATAATATAACAATTTGTAGGAAAATTCTAAGAAAATGGTCATTAACATTGTTGTTGTGATCCTTGGCTGTTGAAGCTATTTAAGGGTGAAGTGTCTCATGTTGATGTTTTGCAAGCAAACGGTGCATTGGGGAGTTTGTGTGCATGTGTGTTGTGATTATACTTCCGCTTTATAAATGGGAGTGCATATGGGACATTCCTTTCGATATTTAACTCGTGGAAACAATGTCAAGAATATATAGTATGAAGATTTTTCTCACACTTTAAATGTAAGAACTGTTACAATATTTTACTGGACGTTTCCTTTTCTATGCAAAAGTGCAGTAAAACGGCGCGGAATGTAAGTCATTTTGACAATTTTGTGCTGAGAGTTAGCTGGATGTTCTGGAGAAAGAATGTCCAGTTAACTTTTACACATATGACTTGTTTTTTTTTTTTTTCATCAGGTGTTTAGAGAGCTAATTTCCCTGAAAAGAGAAAAGTCACTCTTTATCTTCCAACATAACATAAAGGAAAATGTTACTGAAAAAATAAAACGATAAATCTTTAATTTAATTAATTCCATCGTAAATCATATCACTTCTAAAGATGAAGATTTTTCTCACACTTTAAATGTAAGAACTGTTACAATATTTTACTGGACGTTGCCTTTTCTATGCAAAAGTGCAGTAAAACGTAGCGAAATGTAAGTAATTTTGACAATTGTGTGCTGAGAGTTAGCTGGATGTTCTGGAGAAAGAATGTCCAGTTAACTTTTACACATATGACTTGTTTTTTTTCATCAGGTGTTTAGAGAGCTAATTTCCCTGAAAAGAGAAAAATCACTCTTTCTCTTCCAACATAACATAAAGGAAAATGTTACTGAAAAAATAAAACGATAGATCATTAATTTAATTAATTCCATCGTAAATCGTATCACTTCTAAATGGAGCGATTAACAAAGATTTTACAATAAATATGCTAACATAAAACTTATGGAATTACTCATATAATTAATGTTTTAAGACAAGTTCACTTAACAAGAAAACAACCCAACATGTGGGTGTTCGTGAGCGCATGCGTTTCTCCCACCAAAGCGGCATTGCAAATTTGAAGCAGAACACTTTTATAAATGGAATATAACGAATTATCAAGCACGCTACATGGAACCGATTTTTGTCATATGAAAAGGATACAGGAATTAATTTCGTTCTCAAAAAAACTTTTTATGTTAGTCGATACGGAAGTGAATGCGAAAGAAAAATACCATTCGAAAAGGAAACATTCTCCATAAATCTCAAATTTTCGTTCCAAATTCTGATATGATTACAATTCCAATCTTCCAAATCGACTTGATCAATTCTTTTACTTCAACATTATTTGTTTGACAAATTCGAAAAACGCGATACAATTCCGTCCAAGTCTTCCTTGGTATCAAACAACATGACAAACTAAATACACCTCCTAAATATTCAAGGATTTTTGTGGTGAATGATTTGATGACAAAGGATTTCAACAGCAATAACATGAAAACAAAATAATAAACACACTAACACACATGCACTTAACAGAAACGCAACCGCAAAAAACAACTCCAAGGGAAGTTTAAAAGTTAAGAGGGCGACCCGTGTCAGTTGCAATAAAGTAAGGAGTTGCTAATGAGCTCGAAAAACTCTGTGACGCATTGAATACAAATTTTTGAAAATTAATTCTTCAAAATAAAATTCCTTTTTGAAAATCTATTAAGAAATTTTCATTAAAAAATGGCTGACGATGGCGGGAATCCGGAAAAGGAAGCCGATAAGAAAATCATACACGTATATCCCCTAGTCAAGGTAAAACATGGGTGATTTTTAAATCTAAATGAGAGATAAAATGAAAATATTTTAAAATACTTCTAGCATTCGGATATGAATGAGGAAATGCGTACCGAGGCCATTGAGCTAAGCATAACGGCTTGTGAAAAGTATGCTTCGAATTATGAGGTAAATCTTAATATTTTAAATTGAAAGCGTACTACAAATATTGTGTTTGGTGTTTTTTAATAGCAAGCGGCTCGCATCATCAAGGAAGCTATGGACAAAAAATTCGGCATTTATTGGCATGTGGTGGTGGGCGAGGGTTTCGGTTTCGAAATAACGTATGAAACTAAAAACATTCTATATTTATTTTTTGCCGGAAATTTGGCTATATTACTGTGGAAGTGCTCTTAGTTAAGGTATTCGTTTAATAACTTACTCACGTAAATATTTTCCGCTGAAATTTATGTACGTTTTATCTTTAGTTAGCTTTAAAATTAACTCAATGTAGATATTTAGATTTGTACATGTTATTTTCTTGGGTGGTAAAAATATGCCTTGAGATAATCAAATATTTTGAAATCTTTGAAATGCATGTACCTATAGTTAATAGTCTTTTTATGGGTGTATACAAAAACTATAATAATAATAATGGAAGTGTAGTTAAGATATTTTTTTTTTCGTATAAATAAACAAATTTCAGTTGTTATGGCAATATTTTAGTACACACCATGACATTGCTGAGAGGCAAAAGAAAAACAAAATTGCAACAGTTGCCGTTATAATTTTTAATTGTATTTTTTAAATAAATAACTGCAAATAGGGTAAGTTTTTGTTATTGGCATTTAATAATGTGTTTTTGTTTAGTTTAAAAATTGTGTGTGAGCGCCTAAAAGTATGCTAAATATAGTAGTCTGTTTATGTATTTCTAAAGAAAACAAAATATCAGTCGGCTTTGCCGACAGATGTATAACCCCCAGCTTGAGTTATGATTAGTCGCACTATTGACCCTTTCTGGGGGATATTTCGAAGCTGTTGGCCAATATTGTCCAATTTGTATCTGACCTAAGTCTGATATAAATATCACAACGTGTCATATTTGGACTCTCTACTTCCTATACTTTTTATGAGATATGTGCAAATTTGAGGTACCAGATAAAGCAGACCAAAATATTCCACTTAATCTAATGCAGATAAAAATATTCGTATGTGCAAAATTTAAAGAAAATCGAACATTTTTATCCAAATGTATACGGTTTATATCAGATTTCTGTCTAAGAGAAATAATTATAAATAGGAAGTTGTATAGAATCGTCAACCGTCGTTTCGCATGTTATGACAGATATAAGTATTGGGAATTGTGACCCTTTGTAGGTGATTTACCAGAAGGCAGATATATATCAGTTTCACAACAGATTTTGCGTTAGCAAAAATGTTTGTGTGAAAGGTGTGTAATTTGATGAGAGTTGGATGCGTATTTCGTGTTTCATGAGCGTTTTATTTTTCAAAATTTTGAACCCTTTGTGGGGGGAGTACCAGAAAGAGTGCGCCGATATATCCCATTTTCACTGCAGATCTAGGGTTAGTAAAAATAATGGCATGTAAGAAATTTGAATAGAACTGTATGCTTATTTCGGATTTTATAATCCTATTAGTTACTCAAAACATTGACCCTTTGTGGGGTGGTACCAGATAGAATGGTCCGATCTCTACCATCTTTATAGCAAATTGTGTGTTGATGGAAATATTGAGATGTACTAATTCTGAATGGAATCGGATGTTCATTTCGCGTTTTATGAGCTTCACTGATATTCCAAAATGCTGAACCTTTGTGCGGGAGGTACCGGAAAGGGTTGACCGATACATTCCACCTTCATAGCAGATCCTGTGTCAGTAGAAAAAATGGGATTTGTGAAATATGAAGAAAATCAGATTCTTATTTCGGATTTTATAATATTTTTAGTTATTTAAAACTTTGTCCGATCCCTACCATCTTTATAGCAAATTTAGTGTTGATAGAAATATTGAGATGTGCAAAGTCTGAATGGAATCGGATGTTAATTTTGTGTTTTATGACCTTCATGAATATTCGAAATTATGACCCTTTGTGAAGGAGGTACCAGGAGTGGACCATTACCAATATCGTGATGTGTGTAATTTGAAGACAACCGGACTCTTACATCACATTTTATAAGAGTTATAATTATTCCAAATTTTGACCATTGTGGGGAGGTACTTGATGGAGTGGACAGATATTGTCCATTTTTTCACTTGACCTCTCCTCAGAAACCATATACCTCGACCACAACTAAAACTGGAGGAAAAATACTGAGGTCCGTCCAAAGAGAGGCTTAATCGCACTCTACTCTTGCAGGAACTCTATGGGTAAAAGTTCGGGTCTCAAACAACATATAAACAAGTGGATATACAAATTAATTGTTCGCCCAATCCTAGGCTATGCAGCTCTGGTGGCACTCTTTAGGTAAGTCATCCTATAGACGAGACATTTACGAAGTTCAAAGAGGCATTAACACACCCTCCAAAATATTTTTGCGATAATATTCGGTATTTATTCTGATGCCACGGTCAATTAATACGAACGGAGATCGACCATCGACTGTTATGGCGGCCCACACCATAGCAATGGCCGGCGCTTAAGTTCTAGTGGCCAACCGAAGGTGCACATTTTCAGCTGACCTCTTTAACAAGTAAACACGATCATTTTGTTTGTTTACAAACTGCTGGACAACAAATGTTTTGTCATCGGAAAAAACCAAATTCGGCAGTTCACCACTTTCGGCCAAGCGAAGCAGCTCTTAGGTCTTTTGAGTATATTTTCTACCTGTTGCGGTGTCAATGGCTCATTTTTCAATATTTGCCGAATGGAATATTGCGGTATGTTCAGCCATCGCCATCCCGAGCCATTTTTCGGCCACTGCAACGCGGATTTCGATAAAGTCGCTACTTTACTTTTCGAACCATTTCTGCTGATGTTGCTGTTTACTTCCGTAAACTTTCTTGACATCGGGCTACGCTACCAGTATCACGGTAACGTGCGATGGTACGAAACACAAAAGATTTATTCACATTTAAATGCTGGAGTGCTCCAACGATAGCCACTTGTGGTTTTCCAGCCAAATATAAAGAAATCACAGTATCACGCTTGAATTCCATCACGAACAACTTTTTTTCTGGAAAATTCTCACAAAAAAGCTTCTGTATGCTTGTAAACAATATAATGAGCTGTCACTGGAATTATTTTAACAGATGTGTGACGAGTGGCTTAGAAATGACAGTAGTCTGAAGTTGGTTGCAGTTTTTTCATCTCATCCTGTATACCTTACTTTGCTAAATTCCACTTAGTCTGCACGTAGAGGAACCGAAAATTTAGCGTGCCGCTCGACTCAGAGAACTAAAAAGAGGCACTGCCAAATCTTTGGACATTCTGCGATCTTAGGTCGTGAAGTCAATACTAGCGACTGCATATCACCACAGTTGAACTTCGAACCACTTGACGTCTGGGCCCGTAACAATTCACCTTTATGCGGTATAGCTATCTATACTGACGGCTCTAAGATGGAATGAGGGACGAGCGTTGGTGTCTCCTGTGATATCCTTTATATACGTTAATCCTACAAATTATATAAGGGTGGTTTTTTAGTTATTACCTTTTTGGCAATAGTGATTTAAACAGCTCAACCACGTTTTGTTGTTGTTGTTGTTGTTGTTGTAGCAGTAGTACATGTGTGTGTTTGTGTTCTGCTAATCTGGTTCCAGCTCCAGGTTTAGAAATTCGGCTACTTTAACGGGCTGTAGCCAGAGATCCTCTGGAGTGAGTTGGGTAGGTTTGGCTGAGCAATTAAAAAGGTGTAGCGTATTGTGCGGGCCTGTATCACACGCCGGGCAGGCGTCACGCACATCTTCATCAATTCGTGCCCAATACGAATTGAGGCGACTACACCATCCTGAACGTAATTGCGCCAAAACTACCCTGGTTTGTCTAGGCAGCTGACGTTCTTCTGCTGCAATGGATGGGGGGTGGACTCCGAGGACGGCATTCACTTTATAACTGCTAATAGCATCCGCGACTGCATCGGTGTGAATGCCACTCAGACCTGCCTGATAGGCTTCTTGATCTAGAGGCTCTCTCTTGTAGCGCTGGACCTCCCTCTCTAGATCATGTATGTCCTTCCTGACACGCCTGGGTGGGGGAGAGTTATCCACCATGTGATGGTTGGGATGGCTCTCACGGTAACACCCAAGCAGGTACTGCAACGAAAGCATATGACTATGCTGACGTAAGGGAAGGACTTTCGCCTCCTCATGTAGATGGTCCACTGGTGTCATGAGGAGGCACCCTGTCGCAGTTCTCAGGGCAGCGTTCTGGCAGGTCTGGATATTCTTCCACTGCGTAGCACTAGTATTCGCAGACCACACTGGAGCCACATAGTTGACCACAGACCGACCTATCGCGTTATAAGAGGTCAACAAGGTTTCTTTGTCCGCACCCCAAGAGCTGCCGGCTAGCGCCTTGAGGACCTTGTTCCTACTTTTCATCTTGTCGCAGATAGCTGTGGCTTGCGCGGACGACTTGAACATGCTGTCGAACGTTACCCCAAGAATCTTGGGGTAGTTCGTGGTCGGTATTAAATTCCCCTCGACCTGAACATTCAGCTGTGTTCTCATCTCCGCAGACCATGTGGTAAAGAGTGTGGCCGTTGATTTCGTGACGGATATTTTCATATTCCTCGCGTGGAAGTATGCGGCAAGCTCCGCGAGATAGGGGTTCAACCTTTCGCATATGTCATCGACCACTGGACCCGACGCCATGATCGTACAATCATCCGCATACGTTACGATCTCAATGCCGTCTGGAGGGCGAGGAATTCCGGAAAGGTAGAGGTTAAACAGTTCCGGAGATATCACCCCACCTTGGGGAACTCCCTGTTTCACTCTACGGGCTTTGGACTTCTTGTTCCGGAATTCCACGTACGACTGGCGTCCACACATATAGTTGATTATCCAACGTTTCAAACTTGGCCGGAGGGTAGTTCTCTGTACGTCCTCAAACAGTGTGGCATGATTGACCGTATCAAATGCCTTTGATAGGTCAAGGGCTACCAACACTGTTCTGTCACACGGCCTGTTCTGGTTTAGTCCTCTACTAATATGTGTGGAAATGGCGTGTAATGCTGTTGTGGTACTATGTTGTGGACGGAATCCATGCTGGTGGTTGGCAACTGCATAGCTTCCTCTAATGCTGGGGAGGAGTAAAGCCTCAAGAGTCTTTGCTACTGGCGACAAAAGCGAAATCGGCCTGTACGATTCGCCTTTACTGGCATCCTTGCCTGGCTTCAGTAGCGGGACCACCCGGCCCATTTTCCAGGTTTCGGGCACTATGTGGGTGGCTAGCGACAAATTGAGAACTTTTGTTAAGTACTCGACTCCCGGCGTATCCAGCTGCTTCAACATTACCATTGAGATTCCGTCCGGGCCCAACGCTTTGGATGACTTAGCGTTACGGATGACATTTGCAACATCACCCATCGTAAACTGTGGTGGTTCCTCCTCGGCGGGAAGAGATCTGATACGACGTAGTACTCTTCGCTTCGCCCTATCACTCTCGGGGTGCTCGACAAATTGTCGGTTAAAATATTCCGCGCACCTCTTCGGATCAGTCACCGTTACGTCGTTAAAAGTGACTGAGGTCCTATCATCCTTTTTTCCAGGGTTCGAGAGCGACTTAACCGTTACCCACAGCTTACTCATATCGGTTCCAATGTTGCAGCACTTCAGATGGTCTAGCCACTTTTTCCTCTTATGCTCCTGTACCAACCGGTTGACTTCCACTGTCAAGTCACTGATTCTAGGATCAGTAGGGTTGGTACGACGGAGATCATCACGCTCGTTTGCTAATCCCGCTGCCTCTGCTGGGAAGTTTGGTCTTATCTCGGGTATTCGACCAGCAGGTATATAGCGAGCGGCTGCAGCTCTGATGATGTTTCGGAAAATCCTTTCTGCTACCCGAACATCAGAAGGGTTGGGCAGTTCTCTGAAGCGGCGGTTGGTGAATTCTCTGAACTCTGGCCAGTGAGCTTTCCCATGGTTAAGGAAAGTGCGGCGTTCAGAGGTTATGAAATCGGGCGACCTGCTTATGGAGACGATTATCGGGAGATGGTCTGAGCCAAGAGAAATGACGGGTTGCCAAGTCACGTCATTTATCAGACCGGGTGACACTATGGTTAAATCTGGCGAACTGTGACACTCTCCTCTTATTCGGGTGGGGGCATCCTCGTTAACCGTGCAGAATGTGGAGCAGTCAATCTGCTCTGCCAGCGCTGATCCCCTCTGGTCATTACCTAGGACGGAATGCCACAACTCATGGTGGGCATTAAAATCCCCTAGTACCAGGCGGTTATTGCCTACCAATAATGGGCTAATATCAGGCAAATAACGTGGTTCACAGCTATTAATCGGCGGGATATACACATTAAGCACCTCTACCTCGGCAGTTCCACACTTGACTGCTACCCCCATACATTCCATGTATGGGTCACTAGAGACTAGCTCAAGCGAGATAGGTCTGTACTGAACAGAATGGTGTAACAGGAACGCTAATCCCCCACCTCCACTTCTGGTGCGATCCTTCCTTAGTACGTTGTAACCATAACAACGTTGTAGGCTGCAATTTTCATTCAGCTTGGTTTCCTGCACCGCTGCGATCTTAATATTCCTCCGACTCATAAATTCCACTATCTCATCTATTTTGCCTCGAAGTCCGTTGCAATTGAATTGCAAGAATGATGCACAATCCGGAGTTGGAACAGCAACATGTGGCGTTAGGTGCTGCGGTGTTGGTTGCTGTTCTGGAGACTGCGGTGGAGTGCCATACTCCGACGACGTCTCTGACGAGGACGACGAAGAAGAGGACTCGCTGGGGACTACGTTACTGCAGCAAGTCGCAACATAGTCCCTTTCGCTGTAGTCTCGCAAACGCCTTAATCCGGAACAGTTCTTGAAGTGCACCCACTCTCTGCATCCATTACATCGCACCGAGACAGATCTGTGGTGGATGACGTTCTGACAAACCGAGCAGAACCAAGGTCCGGGGTTTTCCTCAATCCCGGCACGGACCAATAAAATCCGGAGCAAGCATTCCGGGATATGCTGCTCCCAATGCAGAAAAATAAACAAACACAAACATGTACATACTGGGTTGGCAGCCGCTGGCCGAAACTGGAATCTTGTTGTTTCGGGTCAATCCGGTATCGTAGAACCCGCTGCCGTGGGATTGACCACGTTTTGTAGCTTTTTTCACTGTCAAACATCTTGAGTTTGGTCTATAATTTAACCATAAGAAAATACTTTTATTAAATTTGTTGTAATTTTATTAGTTTAATTTTACAAATTGTGTTAACAAAAAAAATCATTTCACGAAATAACCTGTCGATATCTCTCATCTTCAAAAGCACGAAACTATGTATTTTATTGAATTCGTTTTGCATTCAAAAGTCTTGTATTCCTCTTTTTCTTTTAAATTCCAAATCAAAACGGTGTTATTTTCCAAAAGAAATTAGATATTAAAATTTGTTTTTGTTTTTCAATACAAAGAAACTCTTAATGTCAACTAAATAGTTTAGATACTAAACCCTTAATAGCTAGACTTTATATAATGATAATGTATGGATAAAATAAACGATGCCACAAAACTACGCATATACATCTTCACGATCTGCACCAGAACCGTCGCCGCCATCTTCCAGATTGGCGAATAGTAAAAAGTGTGATGGTCTGTGTATTTCATGATAGAATTCCTTGGGATTTGCCAGTTGAAGTTCGTATTTCATGTTGGGATCATGACGTACACCCATAAAGTTATAATTCCAACTGCCTTGGGCAGGGGTCATGAAGAAGCCAAGGAATTTATTGGAGAGTAACATTTGTACACGTTCATAGTGCGAGGGCAGATAACCTTTGGGATTGTTGCCTTTGTCGGTGTTCTTTGAGCCCCATTCAAAGCCGGAGGGTGTTAATTTGTAGGCGGTAAGCGAGCAGGAGCCGGGTGTAAACGAGCATGTTATGATTATTGTTTTTTCGCCATCCCAGGTGGAATTTTCCTGCATTATCTTTGCATGCGTTGTAATGTCTTGTGGCGATAGTTGAGGTAATTCATTTGGTTGGGTGTGAATCCATCCAAGTGGTTCCATATCTTTGAGATATTGATGTGTCGGCAGACTGTTGGGTAAATTAATAGTTTGATGCGTTCCCCATTGAGGAGGCATAACAATACAACGTATTTCCTTAACTTGTGGATTATCCGGTGGACTAACACCGTAAAGATAACCAGCAATTTGAGCCCTCAAATCGGAGATGGTTACAAATTTCTTAAGAATGTTCTTGGGCAGAATATAGGTGTAGCCAGTCTCTTTGATATCATCCGAAGAGACGTAAATGTGATTTGTTCTCAAATGTAAGTTGGTGGCTGAAATAGCCCTCACACGCCATTCCGTTTTTGAACTGAACGTTTGAGTTTCGTAATTCGAGGTGGTGGAGGTTATGATTTCATCGCCATGTTTGTTTGTGGTTCTCGTCGTGGTAGCAGTCAATTGATTTTGTTCCTTAGTTTGTTTTTCGATTTCGGCAATCTGTTGTCTCTGAGCCGAGGGAGCACTAATTTCCATACCCAAAATAATATCACGAATTTCCGATTGTGTCAGCGAAGCCACGTTGACATTGTTCTTTTTACCATAATCGGCCAAGATTAAATCTTTAAGTTGCACTTCCACCTTAATCCATTCCTCATCGGTTAATGTGGGCCAAATATGATGGGCTTCGGTTATGGTTGTCTTATCGGGTTTCAAAATAATCTTTGTTCTTTCGGTGTTGACATGAAGTGCCCTCAAAATCAATATCAAACGACTGAAGGCGGTATATGAAGATATGGTTTTCAACCAATCATCGTAGAGATTGAACAATACCATCTGTGGCTCTGTGGCCTTTAAAATCAAATCACCAAATTTCTCCACCTTCAAACAAGCCTGGAAGGGTAATTGCAGTTCAGAGCCTTTGATAACAATGTTGGGGAAATCTAACAAATGCACTTCCAAGGGATCCAACATACCCTTGCGGGTGACAATAATTTGTTTTGGCTGTTCCTCCACGGGTAGAGATCGAATAAGAGCTGCAACTTCTTCGGCTGTTTTCCATTTGGCCAATTGGCCCAAACGTTTCTGACCCGCCCATACTGAGGTATGAATAATCTTCAAAAACAGTTGACCAGTACGGGGATTGAAAATGAAAATTGCACCATTGATGGGTTTCGTTGTTAAATTACCCTCGAATGTCTTGTGAATGGTAACACGGTACACATTGGTATCATCCACAAACCAAATGATTTGATTGCTAAACAATTCACCATAATTCTGAGAACTCAGATAGGGTTCTGTGGGCTCTGAAGAATAAAGTTGCAACGCCTTACGTATACGTTCTCTCAACACATACAAGGCGGGGTTAGCTTTCATAATTTTTGCCATGGCCTGTTGTATGAGAGTCTTGCTGCCAGGGAACCAGTTACCATAAGCCGAATGCAAATTATATGCCAAGTCAATGGCTATCAGAACACCCGTAGGTGAAGGATAAATAGACATATTGTCTGTGGTATAATCCAAGAATTTGGCCCTGGCATAACGTTCCACATCATGAGAATCATAGTCACCCCATCTCAGCTGGATATCTAACCAGTATTTCTGGGTTGTGGTATTGTCCATGGTGTCTTTAGTGTCGGCCAGCAACGATGGTCTGGAAACGTTCCATTTGTAGGCGGGGAAAAGTAAAATATCAGCACAGGACGAATTCATTTTATAGGATTTACGTGGATGTATAGTCTCCTTTTGTACCGTTTCAATTTCCAAAGCATCCAACTCCTGATCGAACACCTGACACAAATCCATAACAATGGATTCGTGTATCTTTTGCCATAAATGCGCTCTGAAGATTTGAATCAGAGATATCTTCAGCGTGGGAATCTTACCGTGCATGAAAATACCCGTCAAATCCAATTGTACCTGGAAACCAACGTAGACATTAGCTCTGTTTATGGTGGGTGACCACCACAGTGTGAAACGACGATTGGGAATCTGATTCAAACCAGATCTCTGGGCATTTGTCAATTTTTTGTATTTCATTGACTCTTCAAACCCCGAAGCCTTTTCCCAGAAAAGACCTTCCCATGTGGGGAAATAGGTGCCCTTGAATAATGTGTGCTCTAAAATACCCTCAACACCACCCAGTGCTTGAATCATATCCGTACGATAATTATTTAAATTCCATAATTTGCCATCGTGCCGTTGATGTGTCCACCAGAAGGGATTTTGTTTGAGAACTTGATATTGTTTGAATTCGGTACGTATACGCCAACCTTTGTCATAGGCCAATGTGTGTCGGTCCTTTTGGAACAGGGTATTAATACGAGGTATACCACGATCCCAACTGTCTTCTAAATCTTCGAGAGTTAATCTTCTATTCTGTGTACTGGCTTCTTGGCGTTTCAAGGCATATTCAGCCCAAACACGTTGCGAATCAATGAATTCACTTTCCCATGGCTGTATATAACGGTAAAGATTTGGAATCAATTGATCCTCATCATGGGACATGCCTGAAAGCAAATACAAGGAATGTATTTGAATTATTATATTTTTTTAATAAAATCATTTAAAACTTACCCGATCTGAAATGTGTAATGCCCACATCGGTCTGCTTGGACCATCTCAAATCTGATTGAGGAATTAATACATGGCCCATACTCAACATACCCAAGCCACCTAACTCTTTGGGTGTATAGAAGACCACCGGTGGAAAACGTGAAGGCATTTTGGAGTTCAAACCAATCTTGATACGTGTCTGGATTTTGTTTTCACATTTCACCAACAAATCCAATAATTCTTGGGTATTTACAACAGCCTCACGGAAATAGGTCATTAGACCAATCAAGGCGGTGTTCCATTTGTTGACAATCTATAATAAAACTGTAATTTGAAAGCATTCCTAGGAAGTCATGTTTGAGAGAAATACCCACCTTCGTGAAGGTTGTTGAACCAGATGCCATTAAAATTTGTCTTACACGATTATGGAAACGACCCAACGACTCATCATCCACACGTAGGAAACACTGAGCTGTTCTCTCTTTGGTCACCTCATTCTGCAAATTCCAAACACCATCTCTATGAGTGAATTCCTCATTTTGGGTGCGACACTATAAATTAGAAAAATATTTTTAAAAAATCGACTCTTCACAAATGTGCGTGTAAAAGGGAACCTTTGGTAATATTCTGCATTCAAAACCGCACATATTGAACAAAAGATTAGGATTGTCCTTGGAATACACAGAGACGAATGTGTTCTCCCAATTGATAGTTGTTACGGAACGTGGCAAACGATTTTTGATATCCCAGAATACCGCACGACCCCTGAAAAGGAAACATATTTTAAAATAAAAAATTGGTTTCCATTACTTTACTTTGAACTTACAAATTGACATCATGTTTCATGAGACGCATACGGGCATCTCTGGGCCAACATTTTTTGTTGTTATAACCAACAATATTTTCATTATTTGGATCTGGATGTTCGGTCAAGTAACGTTGTATCAAGTCCCTCGCCTCTTCGGCAGTAAATCTAAAGAACAGATGTATGCGATCAACATAACGACAATATAAACGTATGGGATGCGCCGTTTCTGTTGATGTATCTTGGAACGTTAGGAAATCATTGGGCATTTGAGGCGGACCAGCCATTTCACTGGCACGATGTAGACCCAAAACCAACAAGTCCAATACCAAACCATAATATTGTGTTATAAACGAGGAGAATTGTAGACCACGGATAATGCCATAACTGTTGGTGTGATTCATGTCTTTGTAATTGATGACAACATTGTTTTTGGCTGTCATGTAATCGGCAATATTGTGATCAACAATAAGGCGTAGCAGACGATTCAGCAGGGTCAAATCAATTTTTTCATACAACTTCTCGAAGCGTGATTCCAACAGAACATTACATTCGCCCTCACCAACATCCCAGACATCTTGCAGATTATTGATACCTTGCGGGGAAAAAGGAAATCATAAAAATTAATATTCAGAAAAATGAAAAATACGTCCTCTTGTTATTTCTTTTTAATGTATCTTCTATGTTGTTTTGAACACCAAATCAGCGTGAGGTTTGCAACAAGGGGATTTCAAATACAAATCACCTTGCTTCAAATCACACGAAGAGTAGGCGTAATGCCAGCACTGAACTATCTCGAATGATCACTCACATTATATCTATCACCATTACCATACATAGATATTCATACCTTGACACCACTTGTAGGCCAACAATGGTGGGGGCTCAGTATCGCTTGGTTTTATCCATGGTGGGAACAATCGTCTCTTGTCCGCCTCATACCATAGATATTGATCCAGGTAAGCATCGGTAATCTTTTCCAAGGGCTCCACATCATATACTGGAATCAGGTGACTGTAAAGATCCATAAATTCTATGCCAACTTCCTTAAAAGCACGCTGGGTAAGCAAATGTCTTTTGATACGTGATAGAGCTTCATGGGGATTATCATACGCCTGTTCTATAAGACCCAACTCTTCACGCTGACTTTGATTTAAACGCGACTTAACACTGTAAGCCTCTTTCAAACGTTCTAAGGCCAAAATTAAAAGTTTTGTATCATGTTTGTACGACAAGGGCGGGAAAGGTATGGGACCAAATCGTCGAGACTCCAACCAATGTACAGTTGTGGTGTAAATGGCTACAGCTTCTTCGGGTGAAATGTAGGGGCCATCCTTTAAATAGTTATGCTGACGTTCCTGTTCTGCCTTCAAATACAAACGTGTTAGACGACCCAAATTCTTTTTGCACACTGTTTTATCGACGGTGGCACCACGTCGTATACGTTCACGATTATAATGGGCCGTATTGGTCCACCAATCAGCTTTCATTTTAACATAACGCAATATCATATTTTCAATGGGTATGGGTAAACCGGGAACTTTCCATGGAATATTAGCCTTCCAACAACGCCAAGCCTCGGAAAGATGTTGTAAAATTGTTCTGGCCTTGTTTTGTTTAATACCCTCAGGCATCATATCGACTATATCGTGCATAACCGAGGCTCTCAATTCCAGATCGAAATGTGATTCAACACGTTGTTTGGTCACCGTTTTGGCTACACCTTTGGAATGACGACCCTCAAACTGACGTGACAGCAAATTGCCCAACCAACGTTCCAACAAAGGTGTTATGCCACGCATAAAGAATAACCAAACACGCCATCCTGGCGCCCAAAATCCGCAACCAGGACCCTTTCCAACTGGACCCTAAAACGGCAAAGAACATGGAAAAATATCGTAAGCTCTATGTACTTTAATTGAGAATATAGATAACAAAATGTATTTACCGTATTAAAACGATAATAGATTAAATGTTTCAAATCCTTGCACATTCTGATCTGCCGCATAAGTTTGTATTTGTAACGATACATGCCTGTCAATTGACCAACATGGGCAAATATATATTGCAAACCATCGGCCAGTTGAAAAGCATCGACATTGTTCAAACGGTATTGAACATGTGAGTCAATGATAAGTTTGGTTAGGCGTAGAATTTCACGACACAAATGGAAGGCTATAAAGAAAATGATAATATAAAATACACATAAATATATTTATGCATTTGTAATACTTACCATTACCGAATCTACTCTTTTTACGCTCCTTGGTGGTCAATGTTTTGACGGGTTTCAAATTGAAATTATAATCCAAATGCAAATAGTTTAAATTTTTGCGATGAATCAAAAGATTCAGCATATTGTAACCCTGGCGACAAACTTGTAGACCAGCTTCAACCCAATCCAGTGTGGTTGTTTGAAAGAATTTCGTTGATTTGAAAGAACGGAAGAGATATCTGTAAGAAAAGATCAGAATTATGAAAACAAAGTAAATGTATTTTGATGTGGAACTTACCGTTTTCTTTGCGGTTTGGGTCTGCGATGTTTCAAGGCATTCAATACATAGTATTTCAATAACTTTTGGTAACTAACACGTACTTTAACCGGATGTCCGGGTGGGCAATGTTCTTTATACCAGCTTTTAACCAAAGGTATATCGATTGCTCTGCGACAACGTCCTGAACGTAAATTAAATGGTCTTGGAGCCCATAACAGAGCAATGCCATTAGCTGTATTGTCAGTATACAATGGAGTGTCTTGCAAGAATGGTTGTACTTCTTCTGGCAATGAGAAATCTTCATCATCGTCGGGTAATGGTTCGGGAATTTTAACAACATTAGCATGACGATGGGATATGGGGTTAATTAGGGGATCGAAATAAAAGGCTGGCAAATCAGGATCCTCAGTTTTTATGTAGACCACATTAGGTGTGTGATACCTGTAGGAGAAATATCGAAACAATTTTAATGAATATAAATATTAAAACAGTATATAAATGGTGTCTAAAAAATTGACGGTACATAATTAAAAAATATATTGTCCGACTTGTCCAGCAGCGTAAATTTCCAAATTCTCAAAATAAACACTTGCGTCAACAAGTCACCTTGTGAATATTTGATGTTATATTGGATTTTTAAGTCATTTTGGTAGTAATAATTTTCTTATAAGGCGTTTTTATATATCACTTCATTTTTAAGTCCGAAATTTACTCTTTCAATTTTGACTTTGGTTAAAAGTGACTTGCTTGAGAACTGAGATCGCTAAATTTTTATGGGTACTTACCACGACAGATGAACAAAGTGTGGCATATTGTTATATAAATAAGGGAATGCAATTCGATACTCGGTACGAATTGGCTGGCGTATAATGACTTTGTTTATGTCATTGAATTCATTCCAATCTTCATCACTGGAAAAAAAGTTAAGAGAAAACAAAAAATAAGAAATGGGAAAACAATGAAAAATTTTAATAGAACTCACCCCACGTTGTGATCTTTGATTAAAGGTTCAAACTTGGGACCACCAGGTATGGCCATATTCAATGCTTTGGCTGTGAAGAAACTCTTCGGGTCAAATAAGTAGAAGAAATTCGAATCCACCAAATCCGTCAACAATTGATTGGCCAAACGATATAATGTGGCCAATTGTGGCAGAGTTAAATTCCATTTGCGATATGTTGAACCGTTTACATATGGTGTACCAACCAATGGACGGTGATCATAGAACCATTTGTACACAGAGCCATCTTCATCCGGATCCAATTCAATTTGTATAGCTTCCAATGGTTCAACATCTAATACGTTATCTGCATAGTCCAATGGAGGTTCTTCATCGTCGAATGGGGGAAAGCGCATACGTTTAAAATGACGACGATCACGTTTTTCACGACGCATCATAATCCACATAGTACCCCATTGGGCTATATAGACAGGTTCGATGACCCAGGGTATTTCATTTACAAAAGTTATAGCGCCCGTTATGTGATACAACACTTGGACATCTCTAATTTGTTCCCATGGCATTGGCATGTTCTCGAGTAGTTTTAGAACGGCGTGCGGCATATATTTAAGAGCACCCAAATAGACACGTTTATCATGCCGATATTTCCGTGAAGTCATATCACCATGATCTCGAATAATTTTACGTATATGTTCTGGAGGCATATCCTCTTTTTGGGCATCCACAAACCCGAATTTACGTTTTTCGGCAAAACGTTTCGATTGTAATTGTTGCCATTTTAAGGCTTTTTCATGTAGCTTCTCCTCTGTTAGTTCAGGTTTTGGGGTGGGTATCTGGCCAAGCTGTGGCTGCCCAGCTTGCGGCGGCATTCCAACCTGTGAAGGAGGTGGTAACGGAGCTCCGGGTGGCGGTATTTGTTGTATTTGATTGGCCATTTGCTGGGCATGCAAGTGGGCCTGTTGGGCTTGAGCCGCAGCATAGGCATGTATTTGTGCCGCCCAAGCATTGGGCGGAATCATATATGGTGGTAAAGACATCTTTCAAAGAGATACTTTTTCTACAGCCTACACATATGTGCGTTTGAAAAACCTGAAAAAAAAATAATTTTCACCCTTTACAAAAAATTTTCACTTGCGAATTAGTGTCTACATATATTTTTGCGGCGGAGACACCACCGACGAAGCACACACGCTCACACAAAACGAAAGCCGCATACATTTCTCAAAATTTTTCAATTACAAAAAATGCCACAAAATGCTATATCTTTCGAACAAAATTTATGCGTACCTTATAGAGTTTTAGTTAAACTTTTAAATGAAAGTAAATTTGTTAAAATATTACATTGATTTTTCCCATAAAATAATAAAAAAAAACTCTAGGAACCACGCACTACACGATGAAAACGTTTTTAGGAATAAGCTGGAGCCGACACAATGGCAATATCGATAGTATCGATTAGAAAGTTAATTTTAATATCGTTTTCAATCGATGCTAATGGATGGATTCCAGTAATTTACAACAATTGAAAAAGGAATAAAAATACAATAGAAGCGTCAAAATATGACTTGGGGTTATCAAAATCATTAAAACAGTATTTGGTGCTCACCAAACATTGTCTTTGTTATGTTTTCACGAAGTAACAATACCATGTAAACAAAATATCGATAGTGTGCCAATTCTAATAGCATGTTTCCATTGAAAACCGAACAACGTTGTTCGCTCTCAGAATTAGGTACACGAATTAACCCGTTCATACGGCACGATTCGTAATTCATAGTAAAATGATTCATTTTTTCAAAAATTTTGTTTGTTGATTTGAATGGGAATTTATACAAAAATACATGAAATTCTCACTAATATGAATAGAAGAAAATATTGTTTTTCTTCCAAAGAATAATTATATCATTAATTTTACAGTTTTCATTCATGTTTTCAACTTTTTGTATTAATTTTGACATTTTGAACATATTTTTGTATTTTTCTATTTTTAAATTTTGCTGGAGAGACACTTGTCAACATTTTTTTCTGCAGATACAAACATTTTGAAAATATTGCCTCTTTTGTTTGCAGTTTTCTATGGAAATTTCAACTCGTGGACAAAATGCGTACCTCTAATGAAAGAGAAAACAAAATGTACTTTCGTTTGAATGTACATACGCCATTCAACATTGTAGTTTTCATTCATAATTTTAAGTCTTCCCAAAAAATTTTAAAATTTCATTAAATTTTTCTATATTTAATTTTTAAATGTCATAATTTATTTTTTCGATAAATGCTCTCTTTTGTTAGGGATGGGACACATTTTTTCGTTGTTCTGAGAGTGATTTGATTTGAACAATGTACGAATATGAGTGTTCGCTCAGGAAATTTTGTGTGAAGAATTAAGTAGTTTTTTCATAGTTAAGGGTCAAACAACGAATAGAGAGCGAATCAAGTGCAGTGGAAACGCCACATAAAGTGTAAGGCCGATAAATAGTGATCGACGTCGTTATAATATTTATGGCGGTGTTACACTATATTTTTATACCCTCCACCATTCTATGGAGGGTATATTAGCTTTGTCATTATGTTTGTAATTCCTCGAAATATTCATAATAGACCCTACAAAGTATATATATTCTGTATCAGCGTAAAATTCTAACACGATTTTAATCAGCCTGTCTGTTGTAATCACGATATCTTTCGAACGAAATGATACAGAAGACTAAAAAAATTTTGCATACATGCATATGGTCTGTTTCAGTACATGCAAGAATCTAGTAGTTTTGTAATTTTCTTCGATGTCAAAAAGGGAAAATCGGTTATCGTGGTAAAAACTTTTACATTCTTGCAGTTCTGGAACAGACCAATATTTTCCATGTAGGCAGGCTAATTTCGTAAATGGACCATGTCGGTCCACGTTTTCGTATAGCCTTCATATAACGGTACCTCCCAAAATTCTATATTTTCATAATTATAGCGACATTATTTACCGGGATTATTTTAAATATCGTATTTGAATTTCGTAACGGGTACTACCGCTACTACGACCAATAATTTTGTATGCAGGTCCACGTCTTGGCACAGTTCCCATATAACGGTACCTCCCGATATTCGGTATTTTCATGATGACAGTATTCACTAGAATTTTTTGAAAATTCGCATTTGAAGTTTGTAATGGGTACTATAGCCTATGACAAAAAGTTTCGTATGCAGGGCCTCAATTCTTGTTCTATGAAAATGTGAAATGAAAACTTTTATAAAGGAAAGAAATGTCAAATGAAAAATTTTATAAAGGAAATATTTTTCACTTCATATTTTCATAGAACAAGAATCCAGCCCCAGGTCCACCTTCCATATGAAGTTCGTTCCAAATGGGTGTTTACGTTAGAACTTTTTGTTGGATTAACCTTCTTTGAGAGGATTTATTTGAAGTAAAAGTAATGGATATGACAATTTAAATCCAAATGCAGTGGGTTAACCCTCAACCAGAACAGGCCGTGCCACAGAATAGTAGTGGTGGCTCTCGACCTATCAAAGGCCTTTGATACGGTCAACCATGCCACGCTGTTCGAGGACGTTGAGAACACTACCCTCCGGCCAAGTTTGAAACGTTGGATAGTCAACTATATGTGTGGACGCCAGTCGTACGTGGAATTCCGGAATAAGAAGTCCAATCCTCGTAGAGTGAAACAGGGAGTTCCCCAAGGTGGGGTGATATCTCCGGAACTGTTTAACCTCTACCTTTCCGGAATTCCGCGCCCTCCAGACGGCATCGAGATCGTAACTTATGCGGATGATTGTACGATCATGGCGTCGGGTCCTGTAGTTGATGACATATGTGTCAGGGTGAATAATTATCTCGCGGAGCTTGCCGCCTTCTTCCACGCGAGGAATATGAAAATATCCGCCACTAAATCGACCGCCACACTATTTACCACATGGACTGCGGAGATGAGAACACAGCTGAATGTGCAGGTCGAGGGGCATATAATTCCGACCACCAACTACCCCAAAATTCTTGGGGTCACATTCGATAGCATGTTCAAGTCTTCCGCGCAAGCCACAGCTATTTGCGATAAAATGAAAAGTAGGAACAAGGTCCTCAAGGCGCTAGCCGGCAGCACTTGGGGTGCGGATAAAGAAACCTTGTTGACCTCTTATAAAGCGATAGGTCGGTCTGTGGTTAGCTATGCGGATCCAGTGTGGTCGGCGAATACAAGTGCAACGCAGTGGAAATGTATTCAGACCTGCCAGAATGCCGCCCTGAGAACTGCAACAGGGTGCCTCCTCATGACGCCTGTGGACCACTTACATGAGGAGACGAAGGTTCTTCCCTTACGTCAGCATAATCATATGCTTTCGTTGCAGTACCTGCTTAGGTGTTATCGCGGGAGTCACCCTAACCACCATATGGTGGATAGAACTCCCCCACCCAGGCGTGTCAGGAACGACCTGCACGATTTAGAGAGAGAGGTCCAGCGATATAAGAGAGAGCCTCTAGATCATGAAGCCTATCAAGCAGGTCTGAATAGCATTCATACTGATGCAGTCGCAGAGGTAGTCAATAATTACAGTATGAATGCCATACTCGGAGTCCACCCCCCATCCATTGCAGCTGAAGAACGTCGGCTGCCTAGGCAAACCAGGGTAGTTTTGGCCCAACTACGTTCAGGATGGTGCAGCCGTCTCAATTCGTATTGGGCACGAATTGATGAGGATGTGCGGAACGCCTGCCCAGCGTGTGATATAGGCCCGCACAACACGCTGCATTTGTTTAATTGTCCTGCCAAGCCTACCCAACTCCGTCCAGAGGATCTATGGCTACAGCCCATAAAGGTAGAAGAATTCCTAAACCTGGACATTGAGGAAGAACCAGATTAGTCGAAAAAAAAACAACAGAACGTGTAAAACTGCTACAACAACAACAACAACATATATATAAACGTACTAGTTTTTACTTGATTTCTGCTTACACTTGAAAAACTCAAAATTCCATGACTAGTTAAGTCCACTGGACCCACTGAGTCTAATAGATAAATTTTATTTATTGTTTAAAAATTAAATTTATAAATTTATTTATTGTTTAAAATTTAAATTTATTATTGTTTAAAAAAAAAAAACAAAATATTTTCAAAATCGATGATTGAAAAAACTTACATTGCGGGGCGCACAATAAAGTTAATAACAATGTTCGTCATAGAATTGAAAGATTGAACACTTTGGATCATATTTTTTTAAAGAAAATCTAGGCATTTTATTCATCTTTAGCGCTATTTTACTCATTTAAAAAATGAGAACAATACCAGATAAACCGAACCAACTTATTGCATAAAGTTTTGAATAATTCTGACAGTGAGCGGGCATAGTCTCAGGGCTGCATTTCCATAGTTTTACAAAGGTGCTAAACTTCCTTATTGTAACATTGTTACAGCCGAATTTGAATATTTCCTAAATCAGAACTGATATTTATGTTACAAATGTATTGCTTGATTGCTTGATTTCACGCAAGCATGGAAATAAACAACAAACCTTTAAATGACCAGCAACCAGTAGAACTTTTCTGGATGTCTGATATTCGAGATGTCAAGAAATCGACGATAGTTGATAACTCATAACCATGAGAATACGTGAATGGCTTCACACTGGATGGCTCCAAAGTAAACATATCCTTACTTTCTTAAAGATCGCAAATCACCGATAAAACGACATATCGTAAAAATCGTAAGGGATTTAATCGATATGTACATTTGATTATAAATCGGTTTATAGATCCCTATACGAGTTTTTTTTTGTGGAGAAGAAAAAAATTAATTTACACGTATCGATTCGAATGTGAAAATAAACAGATTTATAATTACATTTTGGAAACCAAAACCTATCCCACTTAACTACGAATATACAAGAAAACAAGAGAAATGTTTGCGAACCTTAAGAATAAGTTAATCGAGGAAGTAAAAGCTTCACCTTCGAAATTTTTCACACAGTCAAGTCAGGTAAGAAGGAAGATTGTAAATCCCCTCCTCCTCTTCCTTCTATTCCACAAGATTTTTCAACAACATCATCAAATGTCAAAAACTGAGGCCCATAAAAGATGGGGACAACATAAGGCAGCTAAAAACTCCATATACAAACGATGCATATTTTTGCAATTAAGCAAAAAATGGGAACGCAATTTTTTCGGCTAAAAATATCATAATACCCCATTGTTCCATTTTTGTTGTTTTTGTGCTAGATTTCCGATTTATGTTTACATACTTTGTTTTGTTTTCTTTTTGTTTGTAGGCAACAACGACATCTTCGGCGTCTTCGACTACTACGGAAACCAATGCGACAAATAATACCACTAATGAGAACTTTTTTAGTATTACTGAAGAAGGTAAGCACGAGCAGGCGGCTGAGAAGAGGGTGTGGTGTTTTTATAGTGAAATATTAATCTGTTTTGAATTTTAGATACACCACAAAATTCTCCCTACAAACCATTGAAATTGCCAGCTGGTGCTATACGTGGTAGGAACCAAACAACTCCACCACAGGGTCAAAATGGAGGTGCTATACCAAGAACACGAAAACTTTCCAATTCATCAATCCAATCGGATATCTCATTTCGTTTGCCCAATTGGGATGCCGGTTCGGTAAGTGGTTCTAGGTCTGTGTATTGAATGTAGCTCTAATTTCGTTTGTATCTTTTTTTTTAGGTTTATAATTTCCAATCAGATTTGGATGAATCTGGTAGTGAAATGGGCGATGCCCCATCCTCAGCCAAGTTGGATGTCATAACGAAGGAACAATTATTCGATGCATATCGTAAATCATTAGATCGTTATCACAAATATCGATGTCGTTACACAGATTTGGCTAAAAAATATAAGGATTTGGAACGCGATAGTACGAAGGCAAGGGTATGCTTTCAATTTTTATATTTTTTTGTTTTTGTAGTAAAAACTAGTTACTCATTGTTTTGACATTTTGCCCGGGACGGAATACAGAGAGATTGTTTATATAGGCCATATTGATAAGCTTGTAGCGCTTTGTACAGGTAATGTTTGTGGAGAAATCGATAAGAAACATAATTACCTAGTAGTTGTTGTTTTGTTTTTGTTGTATTGTCAAATAGACCATTCTGTGCTAACGTCGTGTAGTCTTTTTTGTATCTAAAAGAAGGAGAAACTACAACATTGAAGTTTTTGACAATTTAATCTCTAGACGGTATGTTAGAAAGTTTAGAGGGCGTTAACAATGTTATGAAGTCATTTAGCAAGCGGTAAAGGTTCTCATAATTATACCAGTTAGAGTCTACCATAAAGAAAGGACACTTCCTAGTATCTTTGTAGCCACTTTAAGCTTTTAACGGAATGTAGAATGTGTATTGGGAATGTCCATGTTATTCTGATTTGAAAGGGCATGACTGTTAATTAGCATCAGCCAGTCAGTCCGATCCCTCAGTGGCGATCCCTATTGCGATAATGATCAACTAGTGTTGCACATCAATCTCACATAATACAAATCTACGTTTTGTTACTTCATCTATCGTAGTGACGAATGAGGACATTGGATTTTAATCTATAACTATAACGTAACATAAACTTTTAGATGGCATATGAATTATTTAATAGTCTTAACTTTTAGAATTCATGGAAGCCTATCCGGCCTCTTAGATTTATACCCCAGCATTTTACATTCTCCGAGAAAACACTACTTGCTATCCATTTTTGTTTACCGTCCTATTTTTGGATACCTGTCAAGTATGCAATGGAAACACGAAAGCTAAAATTTAGGACAAGCGTTTGAATTACTCCTATGATGTACAGTTGGAATTTTATATATTTTTGATAGCAGCATTTCCATCGAATTTATTTAGAAAATGTTTAAGGGAACCTCTGATTTTCATAAGAATCCTTTCTACTACATTTGACAGCCCTTTATGTTTATTTATTTAGCATCAATAAATTATCTCCATATCTGGCCTATTTCTAAAATGTATCTAACTCTTTTTTCCCTTACAGTCCGTTTTGGTGGAAACCCAAGAGAAGGCTATACGTCGCATCAGCGAATTGCGTGAACAATGCTCCTTGGAACAACAGGCCAAGGCACATTTGGAAGAAGCCTTACGCATGGAAATCGACGATATGCAATGTAAAATGCAAGCCTATCAAACAAAATTAAAATTGCTGGGCGAGAATCCTGACAATATTGCAGCTGCACTATCGGGTCAGAACAATGAACAGCTAATCGATTTGAGTAGCAACGAAGAAACGAATAAACCCAGTGACGACACCACGACATCCGCAACTAATGACGAGTTCAAGGAACGTTTAGAAAGTTACGAAAAACTAATACAAGAACGAGATCAACACATCTTAGATTTAAACAAAAAACTAGAATCACTCAAAAAACAAGAAGAGGAAAATGTTTTGCTTTTGGCCCAGACTAAAGCAGCTATACACTCAGAATTGGAGAACAAAGAAGCTGAGGTAAAGAAGTTATCCGAATCGGTAAAACAATTGCAAGCGGAAGTAAACAAAAAATCTGCCACAAATGAGGAGATCAACGAACTAAAGGAAAAGCTAAAACAAACGGTTAGTTCCAAACAAGAATTGGAAGCCAAGGTCATTGCCACGGAACACATTCTAAGTGAATTAAAAGAAAAACACAATGAAAAGGAAAAGACCACAAAAACCTTGGAGGAAAAACTCCAATTACAGACCAAGGAAACAGCGGAGAAGTTACAAGAATTGCAACAACAAAATCAACAACTCAGTGAAATGGTACAACGTTATCAACAAAATGAGGTCTCCTTGGCGGAGGTGGACAACGAATTGAATCGCACGAAAAATGAAAATGATATTCTAAGGGCAAGGCTTGAAAATAGCGAAAAAGAATTCAATCAACGTTTGCAATCTCTGGAAGAACTTAAAACAGAATTGGTTACTAAAGAAGATTTACTAAAGCAGGCTTTAGAAGAATCGAAGAAACTGAAAGAGAATTTGGAGGAACAGCAAAATCGTGAAAAAGAAATTCTGGAAAAGACCAAACAATTGGAAAACGAGCTAAAAACTGCCCAGGAACAAAATGCTAACACAGAATCTGAAACAATTTCAAATCTGAAACAGGAACTGGAACGAATTTCTGCCGAACTAAAAGATGAATTGAAAGCTACCAAAGACCAACTGGCCACAAAAGAAAAGGAATTAAAAACCCTCACGAAAAAATCCTCCAAGTCAGAAAAACAACATGAATCGCATATGTCTCAAATGCAACAACAATTCGAGGAGATTGAAAAACTGAAAAATGATTTGCTACAACAGGAAAATCTCATTGAGGCTTTGCGTGAGGCATCATCCCAAAGGGAACAGGAAGCTGAACAGGAAAAGAATGATCTGAAGGCCCAAGTTACAGGGATATTAAGTGAAATAACCCAAATGGAGGAGCAAATGCGTATTGTCCAAGAATCCCACAAAGAGCTGGAAACGGAAAAACGTCTGCTAGAAGAAAGGGTTGAAAATATGCAACAACAAAGACAATCATCCGAAGAAGACAATGAAAAATGGCATGAACTACTGGAACAAGCCGAGATGAAGCTACGCGAAATGGAAACTAAACTTCAAACGGTGGAAAGTGAACATACCCAAATTGCTGAAAAGAATTGTTTGTTAGAAGAAAATACGCATCGTTTGGAAATGTTGCTGGCCGAAAAGGAAAGGCAACAGGCGGCCACCGAAGAAGCCTTGATAAGTGAGCTACGCCTAAAACTGCAAACCACAGAGAATTCCTTGCAAAAACTCAATGAAAAAATGCAAGAAGTTTTACATGAGAATTCCCGTCTACACAACAATCAGGAGCTAAATGATCATGATTATCGTAATTTGCAGGATAAGTTCGATGCATTGGAAAAGGAAAAGGTTATATTGGAGGATAATCGGGATTGTTTGCAACATGAATTAGCCGATATAAGAATTGAAATGGAAGAAAAGCTGAAAAAATTGGAAGATCAACAAAAAATTTTGCAAGACACTCAACACAAGGTCTTGGAATTGACAAAATCTTTGGAAACCAAGGAGCAGACCTTAAGTGAGGAGCAGAAACTAAGGGAGCAATTGGAAAAGGAAAGGGGTAATCTCAAGGAGCAATTGCAAAACCTCGGTGAGAAACAAAACGAAACTGAAGGCCTAAACGAAAGGTTAAGAGAAAAACAACAAGATCTCGAGGAGTTACAAAAACAACTTGATGAGTTAAAGGAAACTGCCAAGGATTATGAGACTATCAAACAGTCCTTGGACGAAGAGAAGAAACAAAAAATATTGTTGGAAGAGGAAAGGAACAATCTCCGACAACAACTCGAAACATTTGACGAACAACAAAATGAAATGCTTCTCCTTAAAGAAAACCTTAACGAAAAGCAGGCTGCTCTGGGGGATCTTGAAAAGCGAGTGAGTGAATTAAAACAAGCGCATATGGAAATGGAAAAACAGAAACAAGAATTAGAAGAAAAACTTAATGATTTCGATGCCAGCAATCAAAAATTGGAACATCAATCGGAAGAAATTGTTATGCTTAGGGAGCAAAATTCCTCAATGCAAAAAGAGTTGATGGAAAATCAAAATAATTTGAAAGAACTGCAGCAAAAACTTGAGGATCTCAAAGCTTTGGAGACAAACAACGAAAACATCAATGAAAAACTGAAACAACTGGAAAATCATAACAAAGACTTAGAGGATAAATTGAAAGAAATGCAAGAACAAAATAAGCTCCACGAAGAAGCTCTTTCTCATGCAAAGTCCAAAGAAAATGACTACGAATCGTTGAAAGAAAATCTTGAGAAACAATTGGAAAGCAAAACAATGGAATTGCAAGAATTAACTTCTAAATTGCAAAATGAGGAAGAAGAAAAAGCTAAGCTTCTACAATTGGTGGCATCATCACAAAAACAACTGGAAGACTTGCAAAAGAAATACTCCTCAAACATTGAAGAAATGGAAAAACTGCAAGACCAAATAAACAAATTCAACTCCCAGGCCTCTAACACGGAACAATTGCAGCTGGAATGTGAATTCCTGAATAAACATGTCAAACAATTGGAGACAGAGTTGGCCCAACACCAGGATAATGTAAAATCCAAAGATTTGGATACCCATGAATTGAAAGACAAACTCAAATCTCTACAATGTGAGCTGTATGTACTTAAAGAGAATGCCGAACAACATGAAATTGATATGTTGGCCAAGGAGAAACAGTATCAAGAAAGTACGGCCCATGCTAAGCAATTGCAGAATGATTTGGAAAAGGTGCAATCCGAATTGCAACGACAATTGGATCACATCAAGTACATAACCGAACAGGATGATACAGTGCAAAAAGAACTACTGGCCACACAAACTAAACTTAAAGAAGTAGAAACGTCCAGGGACAATCTATCGCAAGAGTATGATCAATTCAAATCCTCAACAACAGTCAAGGAACAAGAACTAACAACCCTAAATGAGCAACTTAAATTGGATTTAGAAAACTCGGCACAGAATTTGGAAAAATTACAAACCGAACTTAAACAATTGAATACGGAACTTGAGGATAAACAGAAGCTGCAAGAAGAGTTGAATTCCTTAAAAATAGAACTGGAGGAAAGGGGAAATACCGTTCAGAAAACTCAACAATCGCAAAGCAATGAATTACCAACAAATATTCCCACGGACTCTGAACATTTGCGCAAACTTAACGATACTCTACAACGAGAATTGGAAGAATTAAAACACAAATCTTCAACGGAAATATCCAATTTGCAACAAGAAATGGAAGATCTACAAGCGACCAACAGTCAAATGGCCGAACGTATTATGGATTTGGAACGCATTAAAGCCACACTACAGGCCCAGAAAATGTTCGGCATGGAAATGCATGTTGAACCTAAAGTCGCGCCTGGAGTTGCCTCCACCTCCACCTCCAATGCCAATAACAATACCATTTCGAATAGCTCCAATACAGATGCGGAGAAACAAGAACTGGAAGCAAAACTAAAAACCATCATGGCTGAAGTTCAAGATGTCTCCAATCGTAATATTTTCCTAGAACAGAAATGTGAAAATTATCTCATTTTGGAACAATCCAATGAACGTTTGAAATTACAAAATGCCAAACTGTCAAGGCAATTGGATGAAACATTGGTAAGTTTTGGGAGGAAAGCTGTAATTTTGAATATTTCTCTAAAAATTCATATGTTTTGTTTGTATTTTAGGTATCCATGCAACACAACGAGGGTATATCAGCCAATACCGAGTTCGAGTACTTAAAAAATATTATGTTCCAGGTAAATATATGTCAATTGAATTTGCTGCTGAGAATCTTTAGTTTATTATCTGGCACAGGGTAATTTATACAAACAATCCATTGCCAGGAAACCTTATTGTTATACTAAGAGTAATGAAAAACGAAGACTTACATAGAGTCTTTGGCTTTCGGGGTTGCGATTGGCCGATTGATGGAATTCTGTCGTAGTTCGTAATCTTCTATAGGTTGTGGTCCTTAGTGTTTATCCTTAAAGAATTTATAGATATAGGCGCAGGAAAAGTTGAAATACAAGCATTAAAAGAAAAGTGATAAGAAGGAATACACTGATCGTAAACATATAGAGCCTGAGTCTTTTTTAAACAACATTGGAAAGCTGCGATGTTCCATAATTTCTGGTCTTATAAGTCTTCACCCATAAGTTTTCTTGTTCGAATTGGTCACCTTTGGCAAGAATTATAGCCTTCAAACGGCCAATGAAACCGTCATACGCTGCCCGAATGTTGCTCCGCGGAATTGAAGCGCTTGCTGGAGCCGATCGGCACTTTGGTATTTTTTAGTGCTAACCTTGCTTTCCAAAATACTCCAGACACAATAATCAAACGGATTAGTATTCGGAGATTTTGGTGGCTGGACATGAAGCGAAGAACCTCATTTTGTAACAATTCTTTGGTGGCGCGTGCTGTGTGCGATGGTGCTGAGTTCTGTTGAAATGTCCAAGGTCTGCGGTCAAAATGTTTGCGTACCCAAGGCTTTAATATTTTCGCGATAATATTCGGCATTTATTATGATGCCACGGTCGATTAACACGAGCGGAGAGCGACCATCGGCCCACAGCATCATTTTGGAAAGGTGAGAGCATCAGCTATAAATTGCCATCAATTTTGTTGACCCCCATAATGGGCCCTTTTTGACTTTTTGGGAGTTTTATAAAAAATCCGGGTACAAAAAATCAATAATTTAACTAACTTCCAAACCGTGGAAGCTATAAGCGATACCTATATTGTCTATATCGGGTAAGTGGATCCGGGTCTAGACGGGGTCTTAAATCCGGACTTTAGGGTCAAACATCTGGGGTCTCGGGTCCGTCCCCCAAGAAATAAAAAAAAATTCCCCGAATCAGGATAAAAATACCAACCTCTGGAAAATTTCTCGAAAAAATCGAAGAGTTTTTACAATTTTTTTGCAATTATTTCAATAATGGGTTTAAAAACGGCCAAGGAACATTGTAAAAATTTACCTTTCCGAATAGTTCTTTGACACTACTACTTTGTTGATCCACAGACCTATTAACATCAAACACGTATACTCTAATTCAAATATTGTAAATTAGTTTAAATTGATTAATTTATTATATTTTATAAAAGCAAAAGCACTTCAAGTTTGCACCAATTCCAATTTGTACGCGACATGTAGGTTACACAAGGTGCGGTGTAGTGTTGCCACATTCGCAAATTATTTTTCTCTGTTATTTATGATTGGAGGAGCTATCTTTCAAAAAAAATGATTTCCGTGGCGATAAAGTTCCTCTCGAATATTCATGCTTAGACTTAAAAGATACTCTCTGCCCGCTATCCAAGTGCTGCCAGCTAGCGCCATCAGGAACTGCCGCGCGATTTTCTAACTAGTTAGCGAAATAAATAATGACAATTATCGATAACAGCAATTGATTATGATCTGCTCCAGATCTACAAGAATGTTTTAATCTCTAATATGATAAACGGTTTTCCCTTTAGGTTATCAAAAAAATTCCAAAAATAATAGATTCTTGCAGGTTTTGGAACAGAGCGAATATTTTCGGCATAATAGAATTAAGAACGTAACCGTTTGTAGTCAATTTCTTTTCAAAATTATTCCTTTGACAACATCTCATTTTCAAAATGTATATTCATAAATCAATGCAAACCAAAAATGGGAACTTATAAAAAAACTGAAGCGCTGTACGATTCGCCTTTGCCGGCATTATTGCCGGCGCACTTTCCACGATTTGAAAACGATGTGAGTAACTAGTGAAATGTTGTGGACTTTTATTAAGTACTCAACGTGCCGGGAGTTGACATTAGACAGTAGACATTTTATCGTTATCTTTAAGATTCTTTCTGAGCCTAATGGTGGAAATACATAAAGCGCATATTTGGCTGGCTTAAGTCATCGGCTGTCTTCTTCGTAGATGAACAAAGGTGTTTTAGGTTGACTTAGTTCGATTTTGGCCCTAGGCTCCTTTGTTCATTTCCGAAGAAGGCAGCTGATGACTTAAGCCAGCCAGATAATCGCTTTATGTATTCCCACCTTATAAGCGCTTTATGTATTCCCACCTTAACGTTTTGGATGACTTAAGGTGAGAATACATAAAAAGCATTTTTGTCTGGCTTAAGTCATCGGCTGGCTTCTTCGGAAAAGAACGAAGGATCGTAGGGTCAAAATCGAACTAAGTCAACCTAAAATCCTTTGTTCCTCTACGAAGAAGCCAGCCGATGACTTTAGCCAGTCAAAAAAGCGTTTTATGTATTCTCTCCTTTAGTGTTTCAGATAACATTTGCCACTTCAGCTATCGTAAACTGAGGTGGTACTGTCGGTAAGTTCAATTGGTTAAAAAAATACAGAGATGGGTCGATCGGCTCTCTCAATTGACTAAATTACTTTGTATATTTACTTGCAACCAACAAATTCAATGATCTGCCAAAAGGTGGACTTATTTTTTCCGAAGTAACCAAATTTTTAACGAAGCTTGGCAAGAGACTAGTACATATTTGATACCTAAATCTTTAAACGCAATTTCCTTCATACGAAAGGTTTATCTAACGAATAACTTAACCACATAAAACGCTTCTTTGACTGGCTTAAGTCATCGCCTGGCTCTCGTCTAAAAGTGAAGCATTTGTATTTTCCCGTTTTGGCAACAGTGTTCTATTTTCACGGCGAAGTTTTGATTTGTTTTAGCCTTAATTTCTGGTCTAGTGTATAGCTTTAAATATAAATTGTAATATTAAATTGGTATTGTAATTGTCATTTGATATTTTATTACTATATAAATTAAATACCTTTTTTAATGTTTTCAGTACCTAACCGGATCAGCAAATGGCAACAATGAAACTTTGGTTAAAGTAATATCGGCGGTGTTGAAATTTTCACCACAACAGACACAAGTAGCTTTGGAAAAGGAACACCAGAGGAGGTCGCTGGTAAGCATTTGGCCCAACGTGCGTCAATGATTTTTATGTTAATTATTTATCTAATCCGTCTTTACAGCTAAGCAAAATTCTATAGCAAGAAAATGAAAAAAGTTACTACATTTGGTAGCAGTAGCGTATAGGTATGATAGATATGTAACAAAAAATTATTAACATGTAATTAATATTATGATCTACCTTAATTATTGTATGTATAGTATAAATTATTATTAATAATATTTCTTTTGATAGATTTTAAGTAATAATATTAATATTAAATAATAGAAATTATGTTAACTAAGTAAACACATAAAGTACCTTTTAATGAAAACAACAACAAGCTGAAAACAATTATATACAACAACAAAAGTTATAGGCAAACACACAGAAATCCTAAAATGCTTTCTACGTAAATTAAAAAAAAAAAAAAACAAACAAAACATTTTTGTACGATAACCGCAAACAACAAGAACACAGATAAATTATAGTAACTGTATAGACAAAAATACAAAACAATCAGCAAATTTATCTAATTGTATAAAACAAAAATAAATAAATATATTTAGTTATAGTACTGCATTTTATAAATATTAACACTTCATAATCCCACAAAATAATATTCAATTTAGTTAACAAGAAAAAAAAAACTTGCTTCAAAGTGTCCCGTTCGCTGAACCTTCAAAAATTTATAATGTTTATATTTGTTTGTCCCTTTTAAAGGTTTTGTTCTTATTTTTGTAAATTATTTATTTTTCGCCAGTAAATTTAATATCTTTTTGTTATCGTTCCTTTGATATTGTTAAAAATCTTACAAACATACAGTGCAATCCTTTTTATTAAAAAATCAAAAGTATCACATACAATATCCAGTAAATGCCATAAATTATTGTATTTTATTTTGTATGAATGTGTATTTTACAATTGAAATTTGTGTTTTTGTTTTCTTCTCCTGTATATACCTAATTACACCATTCACAAACATGTTTTAATTATGTTAAGCAATAATTTACTTTGATTAAAAAAAATAATAATAATCATTTAAAGAAAAATAAAGATTATATATGAAAGAAAGAATCCTGTATTCAATATCGGGTAATTGTCTGATGTTATCAAAAATTCTCGAAGGTCATACTTTTGGGGAGAGTTTCCAATTTAAAAAAAAATCAGATTGATTTTCGGTAAAGCCTTCATTACACAGAAAACTTAATATCGTGCTTTATAAAGATTCGCCATTTATTTGACGAATAATCTTTATCTTAATTTTTCCATTATATGAAAAGTTCTTGTTTTAATTTTTCAAAATATAAATGCCTTGTTCCATATCCTACAAAAATCTACTAGCCATGGCAGATTTAAGAATTAAATTTAAAATTATTCCTTTGACAAGGTCTCACTGTCAAAATGTTTATTTATAGTGATGGGAACGTACTTTATAGTGCGGTAAAATTTGACAATGTAAATTACAGAAAATGCAATGATGGGAAAGCTTATTTGAAATGACTTAACCTTCTTATTTGCAATTTTTACGAAATCATTTTTGATCTGTTCCAGAACTGCAAGATTTTAAAACTTTTTACTACAATAGCCAATTTTCCCTTTATGATATGGAAACAAATCGCGAAGCTAGGAGGTGTTTCATAAAACAAAAAATAAATAATGGCCAGTACGTACAATTTTTTGCATTTTCATTTCTTTTACTTCTCTTTCCTACAGAGACTTGCCGCAAAAAAGCTTGCTTGTTAAAAATTATTTATTTGAAGTTTCAATTTCCCTGAGAACCTAGTATAATCCATAACGACAATTTAAATATATCGATAACATATGTCTCTACCACAAACTTTCGATAAATGTGATTTATCAAGAATCGACTTGTAGATCCCTATAGCCCCCAACTTTGTATTGTCAGTGGATGTCAACGCCAACCATCATTCCTCATCAAACCAACCTTAACGTAACAACAACAATCAGCTAACGTCAGATTGAAGAAAAAATTTTAAGTTTAATTGATTAAAAGTTAAAGTGCACTAAATTCTATCAAAAAAATCATCCTGCTCTTGGTGTAAAACAAATTATCCCAAAGAAACAACACCACAACATTACAAACCAACGGAAGACGGAAAGAACGGCAAAAACGAGTGACTACATTGGCAGGCAGACGAACGGAGAGGAATAAGGCAAAAACGAAAAAAAAAAATCAATCAGACAAAAAATATTTCTTCAAAGGAACGTAACTTAAAAAAAGTAACTTGATCAATTCCCATTTTCGTCCTGCCAGTCAAGGTTGTTAATTGAAAAACAAGATCATAACAATTCAGTAAAAATTATACAAAATATATTGCAAATTACACCGTGACTATTAAGAAAAAAGACTGATCAAAGAAAATACACACAGGGATATTTAACATCTAAGTGCAAAATCAAAAATAATACAAAACAAATTTATTAAATTTAGTGCTTTAATTTAAAGAACAGATTTTCAAAAATGACCACAAATCTACGACAAATTCCATTAACATGCAGTGGTCACACTCGTCCCGTGGTTCATTTGGATTTTAGCGATATTTGCGACAGTGGCTACTTTCTAATATCGGCTTGCAAAGGTAGGTTGTGTGTGCGCTGTTTTGTATATAGTTTTATTTTTAATTTGTTGTTGTTTGTTTTAAAATACTCTACGTTTTATGTTTTTTATTTGTTAAAAAAAAAAAATAACAACAAACTTGATAACTGTGATTGCGAAAGATATAAAAACTTTTCGAGAAGATGAGTCGGTGACAGGGGCATAGTTGCATGTTGTAAATTGAAAATTTGAAAATATTTATGTTCCTTGGACGTTTAAAGAAAAATATTTTTCTTCAAGACCCGGATGTATTTAAACTATTTTTGGATCCGGATTTTTTTGTAAAACCGACAAAAGTTAAAAGGGACGAATTATGGGTTTCCACAAGCATATATACCAAATTGTAGCTGTAACCTTTCCAAATTTGTTCTAAAAAAATCATTTCACATTTTTATAGAACGAGAATTGGGCCCTTGGATATATTTAAGTTTTGGATATTGCTCAAAACCTTAGTTTTTGTTAATTCGTAACCTCGCATATTTCGTTTATTCAAATTATACGCGTATAAATTTTAAATAAAACAAGTAAAAAATATTAGGTTCGGCTGGGCCGATCTTTTAATACCTTCCACGATTGGGAAACGAAAACATTTTTATATAAAAGTAACAGAATTCAAACTTGTTTGGATAATGCTATTAAACTTTTCAAAAACCCATAACGTGGGTGAGGCCGTTGTATGAGGGCCTTACCAAAACGGGAACCTCTATAGACAATTTAATACTCTAAGGATTATCATCTACCAAATCTTCTTAAATACCAAATTTGAAACAATTTCGTGGGTAAATGTGATTAGGATTATCAAAATACCGAATATCGGTGTGTACCGTTGTATGTGCGCTATACGAAAACGTGGACCTAACTATTCAATGTTCTACCACCGGATCTAGAACCCATTATGAACTACAAATACCAATTTTTAGATAAATCCGTGGGAAAATGGGGCAAAAGTTATCAGAATACTGAATATCAGGAGGTACCGTTATAAGGGGGCTATACAAAAACGTTGACCTATGCATACAATGTTTCGCCACCGAATCTAGAACCCATTATGACCTACAAATAACAATTTTTGGACAAATCATTGAAAAAATGTGAAGAAAATCATGAAAATACTGAATATCGGGAGGTACCGTTATATGGAGGCCATACCAAAATATGGACCGATATATGTCATTTTCAATGACAATCATTCAGACACGACACAAGTTGTTCTGCGAAATGTTGAAGCTCTACGTCAAATAATGTGGGCTATTACGCGTTTTCAACAGACAGACGGAAATCTTTAACTAGTAGATGGTATAAAAATTAACATAAGAAGCTTCTGGGCCCCACAATACCCAAGATATTGGACACTTAAATTCCGTAATCATCTTACTTTTTCTCATTGTTAAGATCGACTAAAACTGTGAGACTTTTGTGTTTCTATAATATAATTATTATATTATAAAATATATAGATCGTAACCCAGCAATACTTTTCCTTTTCCCGTCATAGGTTGAGGTATTCAAACTTTAATTTTCAATGATAGTTGTTGTTGTGAAATTGGTACATATATGGTTAATAAATTTCCTTTGGTAAATGAATTATATCTTTGGAACGAAAAGACACAGAAATATGGAGGCTCAATCACTAAAAGTATGGATTTCCGCAAATAAAATCTGAATTTTTACAAAACAGAGCTCAAGGACTTGGTTCGGGTAAGGAGACACGCAGCCTCAAGGGGATCAGCAACAATATGTAGCGAAATAGAAAGAAACGGTTGTAGATGTAAGCTTATCACAATGTTTTTTTTTTTTGCGAAATCCCCTCTTGGAGCTTTAATCGATTGTTAAAATATAAGAAATAACTTTTTTGTTCTCATTATAATTCGTAGTTTAACAAAAGAAAAATTTCTTAAACATAAATTTTTCCACCTTTGTTCTTTGCAGAATTACCTCTAATCATCCTCGTCTTTGTGAGGATTCTAGGAATTCTCTTCATAAGTCTTTTAGACAACACAACCTTGACCTAAATATTCATATTTTGCAATGTAGCGACACAACAACCATTGTCTACAGTTAACTGGTAACAGACAGTCATCATATGTGTCGGTCGGTAGAACACATGAAATAAACGTGAAATAGTTTTATCTCGAAAAAAAAAAAAAACAAAAAGCAACCAACATAAACAACAAAACTTGTTTCGCTAAAACTGAATATGCTTAACTTTTTTTGATGTGATATTGAAAATTTTTATTTTAAATATTAAAACTCATAAGAAATGTTCCTTATGAAACCTGTTTTCTGGCTCTACACGATTATTGTGCACTTTTTACCTGTATTCCGAAACAAATACACATATTACAATATTATCACCAATCCTTATTCAAGTTTATCCCCTAATGCGATATTAGGTATTTATTATTGTAAATTTTCCTCATATCTATGCCGGAAAAATGTCAACAGAATATTTAAACTTTGTCATGTTGCCATTATTTCCGGGTAAAATGTTATTGTACAATTTCTTTGTTAATCAATTGTGGTAACAATAATTATAACATAGTCTCTCAATATGCAATATGAAGGCAACAAATATAAATAATAATTATAATGTAAATATGTATGAGGATCAAATTGTGTATGTTGTAAATTGTTGTATATTATTGCAAATAGAAAAATAATAATTTTGTAAATTATATTTTTCTGATGATTACTACACTTACTCTACTTATATTGGTTCTTCCCACGTTTAGGTATAGCCTCCATATAAAGATACCCCCTGAATTTAGGAGTTTTGATTATTTCAGCCCCTATTTCAAATCAAGCTATTATTTAATATTTCGAGTAGAACAAATCCTTCAAAAAAAAAAAAAAAAAATGAAATAATTTTTTGATAAAGGAGTTATGAACAATACTACCTAATTTTCGGAATTTTTAAAATTTTCCGCCGAAAATGCCAACAAATTTTGCCGTAATTTGAAATTTCGGATTCTCAGTGGTTGCTTCAACTCCTTGCAATAAATATATTTTGAAGGTTTCAGTCCTACTGTTAACAAAGTTGGTTGTAATTGAACATTTCAGGCTTTCATCGGGTAGTTTAACTCCTTCCCACAAAATATTAAATTTCAGAATTTTAAAGGCTTCTGATTTGACACTTGGAGTTCTCGGTATGTAGTTCAACTCTTCGCAAAAAATGTTCAATGTAGGTCCACTTTTTTATATAGTCCGTATTTGAAGGTTTTTTGTTCCAATTTCCCAATTGAATTTCCGAATTTTAAAGGCTTCTGCCCAAATGTCCAACCAAATCTTATGTGATTTGACAATTTGAGTTCTCAGTAGGTAGTTCAACTCCTTGCAAAAAATGTTCTATGTAGGACCACTTCACCAAAATATTAAATAAATGCAATTGAAGGAAATAGGTAATGCAATTTAAATCATCAGTTCTTAATTCTCATTCAAACAAGAGATAAACAAGCAATAAAGTAGCTAATTTCGGTCATTCGAACTTTTTATACCATTTGGAAGCAACTTGAAAATTGAAAAAAAAAATCGTCGAAAAATACCGCTAAAATAAAAACCCTTATATGGGGCTATACGAAGACGTATAGCCCCAATATCAACAAAATACCGAATAGAGGGTGGTACCGTCGTATGGGGATCATACTAAGACGTGGACCTGCATAGACAACTTTCTATCATAGGTTGCAGTACCCATTACGATCTTCAAATTCGAAATTTGACGCAATTCCGGTGAAAATCCTGGAAAACTCTAATTTTTCGGGGTATCGTTATATGGGTGCCATACTAGATCTATATAGACAATTCTCTTACAAGGGGTAAACTACTCAGAGGGAACTCCTTGTGTGTATTTTCAGACTATTCCATTGAAAAATGTGGCTAAAATCATCAAAATACCGAATATCGGAGGCCACCATTGTATGGGACTTTACTATATAGTTGGCTATACTATATCGAAAAAACTCTATCAGGGGGTAAAGTTCAAATGGACTTGGCTTAATCGTCTTAGAATTTCACGAATGATGAGTTACAAACGGAATGACGAACTTAATATACCCTTCATACTATGTATGGTTGAGGGTATAAAAAGGAACTTTCAAAATTTCATTGAGAAATGTCACTAAAATCAGAACATCAGGGTTATATGGGGAAAACGAGGACCTCTATAGCCATTCACTTGCCAAATAACACGATGCCATTACGAACACCAAGTTTGAAATAACGCTGTTTAAAGATGTAGCTGAATTCACAAAAAATGTCAAATATTGGAAGTTATATGAAGGCGTTTGTAAGGCAATTTTCTGTCATATGGAGTAGTATCCCATGGTAGAACACTAAGAAGTTAAAGTCATGTAATTACCAAGTTAATTCTGTAAAAAAGGCAGCTAAAATGGGGGCTATACAAAAATAAGGACTCCAAATCCAATGAAAAGTGTAACACAAATCATCAAATTCCCGAATATATAGAGGTACACTTATATATCGACGATACCAAAAGTTGGTTGTATATGGACACCTCAATGTCGTGTCTAAAACAACTAAAAGACTTTAAATCTGCCGGGCCATACCAAAACGTGGACCCATTTTCAATACTAAAAGTTCTACGGATCTAAAACACATTTGAGTAAAATTTTATCAACATACATTCGTTCGGAAGCTTCAGTGATTTTCACAAACGGACATCACTGTACCGATATAGTATTTTATGCTGATCAAGAATATACGTACTTTGTGGGTCTAAAATGTATATTTCGGAGTGTAACAAACAGAATGGCGAATTCAAAATACCATCCATACTATGATGATGGGGATAAAATTTAAGTTAAGAAGTTCGTGAACCCGTTTTTTCTTTTAGCACAGTTTCCTATAGCTCCACAAAACATTTGTATGCCTTAAAAACAATTGTAGCTCTATTGTGGGAAATACCTTTAGGAGCCCTGGTTCTGTTTTCAATTCTCAGAAGAGTTAAGAGAAGTAAGCTTTTTGT